TGAAAAAAATATTTATAAATCTATTTGTTGCTACATATTATTTATATTTATACATATTGATTTTAGTATAACACATCAAACTTAAATAATTTTTTTTTTGTTTCCTAAAGCTCTTTTTTTTTTTTGTTTTTTTCATGATTCTTAACAATAAACTACTTAAAAAATAATAGGGATATTCCTATTTTATTCGTTTTAAATAAAATATCCTGTTTTATTTTGTTTATTAGGGATTCTTCTCGATGTCGGTAAACATAATAAGTAAACAACAAGTACTGTTTACTGTCAATAAATTATTAACTAAGTCAACATATGAATACTCATTGTGTAAACCAACAGTTTTTTTTTTTACTTTCTCAATTTTAATCCAGTAATATTCTGTTTGACGATGAAAATACATCATACTGAACCACAAGTTGGCAATATTATCGTAAGGATGAGTGGTCAAAGATATCGCCGACGCAGTTGGCGTCTCCCAGATTGTGGCTACCGAGCTTTAGCCACATTCAGAGAAACTGGAAATACCAATAGTATTAATTTATCTCAGCGGATTGTGACACCAAGGGATGACATAAACATTTTCATTACTGCAAAAAACAATAGTTTTCATAGTTTTCTACAGAGCCTAAATTTTTGTTCTGCCAAGTAAATTCGTACCATTCGTAATCATTTGTGAGATGTTGTCTAACATCTTATGTCCTTTTGATACGACCTGCAGCAAAAGTGCACCATCATTATGAAATGTATGCCCAATAAGTGCAGAAAGGTATCGTTTACTGAAGATATTACACAAATTATTCGATTTTACAAAATTCGTAATTATAATAGCAAGACTAGACCACAAAAACATTTGATTTCCCGAGGTGAAATACAATTTTTTTATATTAATTTTCAGTGTATTTCGTAATATTCATAACCAACAATATCTCTATTCATTTTTGAGCAGTATATATTTTGTTTCTTTCATATTTAATTTTCACAACTTAAATTTTTTTAGGATGAGTTTGAAAAAGCAACATCTATGACCTTGGTCACAAGCCTGCAGCTGTTAAGACGATACTCATTTAAGATACTCCACTAATTTTCTTTTGGACGGTCTATGAAATCTCTGAGGTGAATGTCTCAGACGGAAATATCTCACGTACTGCAGTCACTATATGACATCCAGTGCATTTTCGACATATTCCTCAATATCAAAGACTATAATATTGGTCCCCGACCTATGGTGCGCCACATTGGCCTCGGCGGCTCTTATTTTACTCACGTTTCTGAAAATAAAGATGTTTTTTTAAAGTTCAATGCCTCTTCTCCACAGGAGGATCTACGGGGGGGGGAGGAGGGGAGGGATGCTTTCGGGCTGAAGCCCCAACCTCCAAAAATGGGAAAATATAACCATATTTTATGAAAAAATAATTATCTCTAAATATATTATTGTTCGTCTAATTACATTTAATAGGACTTAAAGAATCACTTAAACACCACTTCATATAGGTACTTAGTTTCTTTCTTTCCTCCAAAGTAATTATATTAATATAGGAATAAAAAAAAAATTTCTGGCTGAAGCCCCTCTAAAATTAAATCCTGGATCCGTCTTCAAAAATAACTTCAAAAATAGCATTAAAATATATTCTTACTTAAGCACCTACCTATATTTTTATATTTATTAATTAAGATGAAGACATGTAAATATATCAGAATTATTGTTATGTAGAAATTTATTAATTTTTTTTTTTTGTGATAAATGTGCTTTGCTCAATATGTCGTCTTGATTTTAAAAATGTATGTTTTTTAATTCCTAATTTTAAGTGTTTTATAACAAACTATCACAACTAAAAATTAATACGATGATAAGATACAGCATGAACCCGGACGTTGTAGTTCACTGACCTTTGAAGAGAAAGATAAATAATTCTATTAGAGTTGAAATGTGGGCTTACTTGATCCATTTTGACAATATAAGATATCTTTATCCAAATCAAATATACCCTCTAATACTTCAAGAAATCTGGTGCGCGCATCACACAACTTTCACTTACCTTACTCTACTTCGTAAAGCAATTCTTGTCTGGCGAAATTAGGCTATTACAGGAATTTTTGAAGCGCATTATTGGAAAACGTACCAGAATACAGTTAATTGCTTTTAAATATAACCGCGATTTTTGTCAAAAGTCGTCACACAAATTGTAAGTGAATGGGAAATTTGTTTGTAATAAATCGACGATATATACCTAATTATTTAAAAATAATTATTAAACTACAGTTATTAAGCTATAGTTATTAAACTATAATAAATATATTTGAGGTTAATAAGCATATGTTTTACTCATCCATGAAATATTTTTATATTTCACTTCTTATTTCACACAAGTACAATAAAATGGTTTTTTAAACAATATATATTGGCTTGATTCGGTGGATTTTAGATTTTTTTTCAAACTTTTTTTTGGGGGGGTCCTCCCCTTCCTCGCCGTTAAGGCTATACAGGGTTTTCCTGGGCCAGAGAATATGGGTGGGGATTTAAAAGACTCCCCCCGACACCGGGACGCGAACTAGTGACTATTTTATATCATTTGGTTGATATATCAGGTTGCCGGACAACGGCGGTACTGTGCACACGCGTTAGACCATTCGGCTACCCCGCCCACAATTGTTTTTTTTTTTCAAATCTAGAAAATTTTACATTTATAGTAAGTAAATTTCATTTAATTTCCTTGTAAACATGCGATTTCCGTTAAATCAGCGTTGCCCAAAAGGCGTTTTCATGGCGCAAGTTGCGCCATAAAAAATTTTGAGGTGGCCACATTTTGAGGGGTTTTGTATTTTTGAGGGGTGCACATTTCGACAGGGTTTTGAACTTTTGGAATGAAAATTTTGAAACCAGAGGACAAGGGGAAAGCAAATAACAGAATACTGAAACTGTAATAGTTTATAGGCTATGATTTTTTAAATTATTCTTTAGCTTGCATTGAGTTAAACTTGAAAATATCTTGGAAGAGGGGGGGAGAGATGTTTTTGTGCCATAAAACTTGGGGAGTGGGAGGAGGAATGGCACCCATGCATTATACAGACACACCCATATATATATATATATATATATATATATGGGGACACATGTGTGTGTCTGTATATATATGCAAATTAATCTCCAACCAGTCTACAGTTACAGCTATTTTAAAATTTTTAATAAAATGTTTATATGTTTTAGAAATGACATAGTTATAATAACTTTTTGGTTATTGGCCATAAATAGTTTTTGGTATAACTTTTATTTGCTTGTCTAATATGTGTAACCATACTTTAAATCCAGTTATTAAATAAAGTAGAAAAAAAAATTACTTTTTTCTTAATTAACATGATTTCTTTTTTTTATTTAATACCTCTATTTAAAGTCTGGCTACTCATATTGTGAGGCAAATGAACAATTTATATGAAAAACGTTATCATAGCCCTATGGCTATGCCATTTATGAGTCCTGAGGAAGAAGACAGTAGGCTCTTACAGAGCAGCTTTTTCCGCCAATTGAGTACATTTTCTAAGGAACTGTTTCAAATATTTTAAAAATTATTCATCGATTTACAAAGAGTAATGTATTGTCCAGATATTTTACTTCTTGGCATTTTTCGTTATTGTTGGCCGTTTAAAAATATAAATTGGGCTCATTGGAACAAAAGCTGCTAGGGCATGTGTTTAATATTGTTCAATGTAACCGAAAAAAAAGTTGTTTGAAATCAGTTTGAAATTAAGTGTAAACTCTCCTTGTTAATTACGAGTCAATAAAACTTTAAATTTTACATTAGAAAATGTCATAAAACCCTACTTCAGAAGACCCCAGTTGCATAGACCTGCTGATCAACTTGTGCCCGGCCTTATGATGGTGTTTGTTGGAAACTTTATGTACTTTCATTTGTAATACAAAAAGTTGATGATTTTCAAGTTAAAATGAAAATAAAATGGATTTCTTACTTTTTTTTTCAATCTACTATCACGAAATTTTCTAAGCCAACCTCAGATTCGGATTGAGCCTCCTCCCAAAAAATAAAATAAATAAAAACTTTTCAAAATCACATCGTAATTAAATTATGTGCAAATATAATTACATCTTATGATTTTATTTATTTTCTCCCGAATCTTTCCAATTTTTTAAACTGAAATAACGAGGAAAAAATTCTGATTCAAGTTAATTTATATAAACCCTAAAACTTTTGTTCCCACTCTTGTCACTAAATACAGAGAATTTTCTAAAATTTACTACTCGCAACTTATAGCTCGGCTCTAATATTGTAACCATGATAAATCTTGCTCCTTACCTATTCCTATATTAGATAGTATAACCTATATTAGAAATTCTTAAATTATTCTCTATGTTTGCCAGCAACTTTAAATTATCCCACTTGTCGATTTTATTCAAATAACTCATTTAATAAAACAATACATGGTTTAGAATTTTTGTTTTTGTAGTTATTTAACTTGATGTTAAGATAACCAAAGATGCAGCAAGGTCTAGGAAATTTCTCCCCCATACAAGGACCAACTTTTAAATTTAATTTTACCTTGTAACTCCTTACCTGGCTTAGGATTGGACTATCAAAATTAACTCACCTCCACCTCATTACTAAAGCTGCACCACGTGGATGCCATCATTTCAATACAATTCTGTCCAAGCAGTCAAATAGTAGTCATCCATTTTACAGTCATAAATTAAACAATATACGGATATCACAATTTTTTTCCCCTTATATTTGTATTATTTATATATTTTTATCTAGTATTCTATTATTTATTTTTTTATTAAAAACAACAACTAAATATTTTAATAATAATTTATTTTATTAATTGGGTACTGATGATCTAGATTTTTTGCATCTGAAACATCAAATCCACCAACCAACTATAACTAAACTAGTTATCTACATTTATTTGTTTTAAATTCATATTTGAGGATACAAAAACTAAAAAAAAATCTACTTAGTTTAAATATATTTATATATTTAAATTATTATCACATTAAATCTTATGGAAATTCATTAAAAAGTACCATTCACAAACTCTTGTTCAATAAATTATTGCTTAATTTATTTAAATATACAACAAACTTAAAACTAATACATGTATAAAATAAATAAAAATTGTCCACTTGATAGTTTATTAATCATTGTCCAGTTGAAAGGAATTCATTTTTATTAAAGTTTATAATTTAATCATCCATGATGAATACACTTCAATAAAATAGAAACATTTATGACTGAAAAATTTTCACTGTTTTCTAATGATTATTTTTAATTTTAAATGAGTATCAATAATTACTTTGAGTAAGACAAGTATTTGTTTTATATTTTTTCATTAAAGATCAGATCTTATATGTTGATTCAAATGTGAGAAAAAAATCATCTTTCCATTGTCATGAATCACATTTAACAGTTTTAAATTTATTAATGAAATCGAATAAAAGTTTTTCAAAACAAGTTAAAAAAGTTTAGTTAGTCATTCAAAAAATCCAGTAACATGGCTTAACAATGGAATGAATGTTAAATATGGCATGGATTGCTGAAAACGTTGAGGCTAAACCTCCAAAGATTCCAATCAAGATCAGCTCCCACATGTAGATTCGCATGTGTAGTGGAATTTCTCTGTTGCAAACAAATAAATAAATTATATATTTTCAGAAAAAAATCAAACATTCTGAAATAAATGGTTAAAATATTGTTATGTTGAAAATTATATTTAAGAATTAAATGTTTTCAGAAAAATATAATTCTACAGTATTAATTATTGTCATAAATATCCATAAGAATTAATTTAAATTACTGTCAGTAAACCTTTTTGTGTTATTGCTTCTAAATACCAAGCTAAAAGTTATGTATGAATTAATTATGTTTAAAGGTCTGATCCATATTTTATAGATATAAGGGTTGTCCATGGTGCTGAAAATTCATAAATTTTCTTTCCTAACAATGAGAATATCTGAAATTGTTGCACCAGCTATTGTGTAAAGTATATCAACAATGCATAGATATTTTCACACACCATTTAGTGAAGATACAGACAAGTTCTAACAAGATGTCAACCTCACTTGAATTACAGAAAAAACTGAATTATATTGAAATTTCTTAAAAACAAGCTTAAGAAGAGGTACTTTAGATGATATGAATTTCTAAAGTTATGATGAATGACCAACAAATACAGTAAATTTTTAGTATTTATACCTTTTAACCCAGTCTGGAGATTCTTGACTACAAAGCTTCATGTAAAAGTAGTTTGGCAGAACAAATGTCAACAAGGTAATTGTTGAACCTCCTACAAGAGCTAGAATTTTTGAAAATTGAGGAACTGACTCTCCAACCATTACCATAAGAAGTACCATACAAGTTCGCACAATGCAACGTAGAAAGCCAAATTCTGAAAGAATTACTTAAAATTAGCAAACAATTCTGGAATTTTAATCTGATAACTAGTTCTTTTGATAGTTTATGACTTGTAAATCAATTTTATATACCTCTAGTTATAATAATCAAACATAAAATATATCAAATAAATGCATGGGTACCTACAATGTAAATATTATATATTTATGTAACATAATATATATTTATGTATTTTTTGGTTGGTATTCTAAACTATTTAAATCATTGGCTGCATGACTGTAAGGCAGTCTTCTTACAGATTTATAATTTCAGGAGTACAGATAGCCTGGGGTTGGGAAGATAGGCTTACACAATCTCAATTTGTTACAGATCATGGTCTGCATGCTGCAGCAGTGGGCCGGCCATTCATAGCTACAATCTGGCAGAATTCTTCCGGTTTTACCACCCAGGAAAACCCTATATAGCCTAAAATGCAAGAAAGGGGAGGACGAAAAAAAAAATTATTCTTTCCACCGACTCATTCAGGTTCAAGGAGAGTGACCCATCCACCTTTAATTACTTGATACACTTAGAGAGGCCTTTAAGAAACTAGTGGACGCTGCTTCAGCCATGAGATTGGCCATAAACGAGGAAAAAACCAGTCCCTGAGAGCGGCAGCACAAAATCGGGCCGAATGGCGGCGGCTCATTGAGGAGGCCAAGACCCACCCAGGGTTGTAGCGCCACATAGATAGATAGATATAGAGAGGGAAGGGGGAGGGGGGACTTTCAGGCTGAAGCCTCTTCCCCCCCAAAATGGTAAAATATAACCAAATGTTTTCTTGAAAAAAAATTAAAAACTATCTCTTAAAGTATTATTGGTTGTGTAATTACATTTAATTGGACTTCAAGAATTACTTAAACACCATTTCATATACGTAGCAAGTTTCTTTTTTTTTTTTCAAATTAATAATCGTTATATGTATGAAAAAAAACTTTCAGGCTGAAGCTTCCCAAAATTAAAACCTGGATCCGCTAGTACCCCTTACTGTGACAAACCCCATCAACTTTCTGGAATGAAATTTTTTATATGCTAGCCAAAGATTGAACTGGACATATTTCAATCTTTAAGGTACCTCTCATCTTAAGCAAGCATTTGCAGGTTAAAATTAGTAATCAATATAAAAATATACAAATACAAGATCTATTCAGATAAAGAAATAAAAAAAATAGTACTCACCATGAGGTACATCAAATATATTTTCGATTTCCTGTGCAACTGGATTAATTACAATAAGAAAAGCTAAAACAAGATGAATTACTAGGAATACATTAGCAAGTGTAATCATTATTCCTCCATTCAGTGACAGAATTATATTGGCATTTGTGTGTTCTCCGTAAACAAAATATGCTCCTACTGCTATAGGTAAATATAGGACTAAAATCACTAGAAAGAAATACGATAGATTAAAATGAAGAATATGCAGCAGAATTTAGCTGGCTAAGTAAATAAATTTAATAAGTTAAAAAGTAAAGTAATTTAGTTAGTATTGTATCTGAGAAGAAGCTTTGGAGGAATGACAGTGGCCCTAGTTTTATTGGCATTTAATGTTAATCCATTGATGTTTGCCCAGACACTGATTTAACCCAACACCTTCTAGAATCTTAATGAAAGCTAAAAATAACTGAAAGAAAAAATAATACATAAATTTGTCAGTCATTAGCATAAATTTGAGGGGAACAACGAAGAGTTGATTTATGAAGTCTCTTAAAATTTCAGGTGAATAGAGGAGGAGATATGCTTGAACCTTTAGGTAAACTGCTAAGGGGAGAGTAAGATAAGAAGATAAAGTTTAATTGCTAGAAAAAGACATTAAGGAATCTCACCATTAAAAATAGGTGGTATAGAACAGTTGGATTAACTTATGGACCTATTACTATTCAGGATTTGTTTTTGATAAGTCTCTTCTGACTATGATTGACTACATTCTATTGCCAAATTATAAATGTTAAATTATCTTAATAATTTCAACTTATTAAAAAAAAAAGTATATATAATGTTCAATGTATTTTTTAGTTTTTTTTGTGTCACTTTTATTAACAGAACAATATTTCAATATCTGGAAAATTGACAACGTTTAGAGAAAACAAATTGTGATGTAAATTCAGTATCATATTTTAAAAATTAAATTAAAAAAATATTTTTAGAGTAGTATTTATTACTTACCCACAAAAGCAGCATAAACACTTTTTGTAAACTTTTTTCTGTTTGTCATATCATTTTGTATAGTTGGAAATGTTGATGCTCCTCCAAAAGCAAAAAGTATAACGCCAAAAGAAAGGAAGAAGTCTTTAAAGTTATGTGGAATATGAGGAGCTGGTTCAGTTTTGTTAATGCCATCTTTGACAATTTGTACAAAAATTAATGTACAAGCAATGGCTGTAGATAAAATGGCTCCAACTCCAACCAAACTAGACATTCATTACCTAATCAAAATTAATTCTTGGCAGTAATTTAAAGTAATTCATTATATTATTTAGGGCAGATTTTATTCAAAAGGGAAAACAAAATTGTCCTAAAAACATTTTTGTCAATTTCAGCATCAGAAAAACAAGTTAGAAACTTTTTACTATTGCATGTTAATATATTTTAGAAAAATGTAATTTGTGCGTGTTAATGCGTGATGTAATTAATTTAACTTAAGTCAGGTCCAGGACAACGGAACACTTGCCACAGGCAGTAGAATTTAGAGGAGGGCGAATTTGTAAAATTTCTTTTTGGTTAACCTTTTAGTGGTAATGAGCTTCCTGCTTTGGGGATTGTGGCGGCTTGAGGACGTCTTTAGCTGATAGCTCTCTGTACTCCTTTGACAGCACAATTTTCATTCCTCTTCCTGTACTCACTACTTTAGCCTTTATATTTAGATCATCATTTCATACTTTTTGATTTTGTTTTTTATCTAACTTTTATCTGCTAGTAATGTATTTTTATAACATGATCTTTTTTCTATAAAATAGAAACCTTTAATCCTTTATTTTTTATACAATTGAATGATTAAAAAACTAATAAAAACATTGTTTTCTGTTTTTGTCATGCTCTCTCTTTTTAAGAAATATGTTATTTATTACTAAACTTGGAAGTAATTATTACATAAAAAATTATACTGCAAATTTATTATTTTCTAAAAAAATATTTATTTAATTTTATTGCGAAATTGACATTATGCATGTTTTAGAGCTAGGTATTGAAATAAGTACAATCTCAAAAAAAAATAAACAAAAAAACACTAGGCTTGCCGTGGCATTGAAAAAAAAATAGAGGATTTGTTTTAAATTTGACTTACCTACTGCCTCAAATGTTTGAAAATAGAATTCATCATTGAGCCCCCCATCATTTAGAGAAAGAGCCCTACAGATTCCCAACTCATAAATAAATCTATCTTCACCAGGGGTCCAACTCTGTCTTAACTCATATATAAATTCACCGTCATCTGGTCTAGATTTCCTCTCGATTCATATATGAATCCACTGTCGTTGAATGGTTAAAGAAAAATAATCTCCTTCTACTTTTTGGTTGTTTAGACCTTAATTCAGTTAATTATTGACAAACTATCATATATATATGTTTAATGACCTAATACCCAAATAAAATAATTATTTCAATATATACAGTCAATATAGTGTATAGTGACATACAGCATAGACTATAAGTATTGACCTATCGTGGAGAAGGGAGGAGCAGCAAAAGGTAGAAGAAGAAGGAGCATCAAAATTAAGCTTACTCCTACAGGCAAAAATTCTAGTTCCGGTTCTGCTTAAGTTTGCTTATTTATTTTATTCACAACATTTTATTTTTATTTCAACAAGATTAAAAAAAATAATGAATACTTTTTTCTATTCTAAAAAAAAGAAAGAATTATGAACTTTCATTTCAAAAGAACAATCTGAATAATTATTATTAATACAAAACATAAAATTGGACATACAAAAATTAAATTTCTTTGCAATTTCTTTGCAATGAGCAAATTTTTTGGCAGCTTCACATCGTTCCATTACAATCCAGGAAATAGTTCAGTTCAGCAGGTCTCTTGGCCACCGTCTACGTAATCATCAAAGTGGGCTGTACGGGTTTCTAGTGCTTTTAAGGTTTTCTGTCAGAGTATGAGATTTGTGTTGTAAGTTAGTCTTTGGTGAAAGTTGCTGTAGTTTATTTTTGCAGTGTCTGAAATTGTTGGGAATAATAATCTGAATAATTAAAAAAAAAAAATGAACTGAGGTATTTACAGATTGCAGTGAGATACCGTTCAAAAAACAAATAGAAAAGTATAATAATAATAATAATAATAATAAAGAAACGATAATCTAGAAAAAAAAAATGTTACAGTTGAATTGTACTTGTTTGAGAGGAATTTACTTAATTGATCATGCAAACTTACAGAAAATCTTTGGGTGAACCAAGCCACATTGGAGGAGTTATTAAAGCTGCAAAAAGAAGAAACCATGAGCAAAATGTCACTTTAGGAAGAAAGTGTTTCAAAAGTTCTTGAAAAATTTGTGAAGCCAAAAGTAAATAAACCACTCCAGCACCAAACAGTGTAATTTGTATGCATGCTGATACAAGCTTCCTAGAAAAATAATTTTTTTAAATCTTTAAAATATTTTCTTCATTAAAGTGGCCAATGTTAAAGGAAGATAATTGAATAATGTATCTAATTTAGTATAGTACCTAATGCATTAACTAGTAAAATAAATAATTTTCATACCTACACCATTGCCCTACTGCTCTTTCAGCAATTGTAGGATATGGATTTCGTGTAGAGCCTTTATATTCTGGATACCTTTCTTCTAGGATTTCCCAGCAGATACCAAGTCTAGTACCACCATAGCAAGAATTAACACAAAATACTATCACCAAAATGAGTCCGATCCAACCTGAAACAATCATCTCTATATATATCAAAGCTCACAATAATTCAGTTTCCAATGTTTGGAATTGAATCTCATGACAGTAAATTACACTGACTTAGGTTAGATAAAATTAAACCTAATATTTTTGTTATATAGAAGAGACAAGAAGATTAAAATTAAAGTCAGTGGAGTAACTTAGCATGACTGCACCCCAATGCAATGTTTTTCCTGTGTCCTCCAGGAAAGTTAGTGAACTGTGATAATAAAGAAGCCATTACTAACTCATTTATTGACCCTAACCTTTGTGATTTTATAATCTATCAAGAAAAAGGAAGGAACCTAATTTTAAAACTAATGTTCAATCTACTAGACACTGCATATTGTCCACCAAAGAATGCATGGTGCTGAAAATTGAATTATTTGAAAATGAGCCATATGCCAATATCACTACAGAAATCAGTCCGAGACAAATATTCCCATTAGCTCAGAAAAAAAATAAATATTTTTAACAGAACTTAAACTTGTTTATCAAAGCGATGAGGAAACTTGAAAAGCTAGTTAATGAAATTAAAAAGCTTTGAAAAAACTATACAAAAATTAAGTAAATATTATTATACCACCATTATAAGTCCAAAAAATAATCACCACTGAAGAATAAATGATCTTCAGGCAGATCTATAAGGCATTGAACTTATTGATAGTTTTTTTTTTTTTTGTTTTTGAAATAAAATAATAATGTTTAACTGTGTGAATTAACTTGTTTTATGACGTTATATTATTTACTTAATTTATTATTAAGTATATGATCATTCCATTAGATTACTATTTTATTGGTTTCAGAAAGAAATTAAGAAATATTTTATATATCTATAATTTAGGATATCAATGCATAGATCAATTTATAGGTAAAGGAACAGAGAACCACTCATAAATTAATATGGAAATTAAATATTTTTGAATGAGTCTATTTTGTATTACTTATAAGTGATTTTAAGTAGTTTCAGATTGATTTTTACATCATGAATGGATATAGTAATAGAACAAAACAATATAGATGATATGCCTAGTGATGTCTTGTTCAGAAATTAATATTAAGAAATACTGTTTTTGAGTATTGTAATAGGGTATGTAAAGTTTTCAGCACAACATTCTTGACATGATTGGTTAAATCATCAGAAAATTATGAAAAATAATAACATTTAACAAGCACTTTCTTTGAGAGTCATAGAGAGAATAAATAGAAAAACAAAATGTTTGGATATGGGTAACATTTTTAAAAAGGAATGAAAAGTTATTGTAAAATGTATAATATTGAAAACAAATTAACTAATTAATTGAATGTATATCAAAAATGGTTCTCTGTTGCTTAATCTATAAATAGGATAATATTTTAAATTTATAGCTTACGATAAAATAAAAAACCTAAATAAAGTTGTTTAAAACTGATTCTATGTTGAAGGTAAATATTATTTAACTTTTACAATAAAATTATTAGCCTACCTGAGTCAACAACAGCTCGTGGCAGTGCAAGTACTCCACTACCAGCCATTTCACCAACAATAAAAATTGCAGCCGACAGAACACTGAGGCCATTTTTTTTTCTAAATGGAGATCCAGCAATTTCCTAGAGAAGTATTATTATTACTATTGTTTTTTTAGGCTAATTACAGGTTAAAAAACAGGTATTCTATTTTCATGTAAACAATTGAGTTTTCACCGTGTCAGCTCCTATAATCTTTATCTGATTTGATATGTTATCATAGTAGGCCATTTTCAGAACTACTGACTATATCTCGATAATATCTAGGTAAATATAAAGATAAGAGCTCACCTCGCTAAGAATTGAAGTGCTTCCAATTGAGCCATATGAGCTGAGGATAGATCCAACTGAAGATCTACTTTGCAGAATACCAGTTGGGCTGCTAGTTACTTCCATGTTGTTCGAGTCAATTAAATGATTGTGGAATTATTTACACAATCATTTATGATTTCATTGAATTGTTATGCCTATTATTCAGTATGCATGCCACCTGACACCAAATGCTTATGTAAAGAGTATGAAGAGATTTAAATGATAATAAACGATGCCATCTGTTGTCTGTTTGCCTGAACTCAATGAACTGTTGTCATTCTATAATCCTTTTTCCTTATTTTTAATGAACTGATGCATAGTAATTATTTATTTATTAATATAATGATTTATTATGTTTCATATTTTTAAATAAAACATTGAATATATTATCAAAGCATAATTATAGTATATATTCTTAAAAATAAAATTTTTATTCACATTATTTTTCTTATGAAAACTATTTTTCCTTATTTTAATTTTTTTTAGTCAAGTATTTTACCAGTATAGAATGAAAAGTAACATTTGTTCAGTGACATGCTGTATTCCGAGAATAAAATAATTTAACTACATAGTTTTACTGTTTGACAGGTATTCAAAACAAATACCTACTTGTCAATTTAGTACCAACTTTAAAGTAGTTGATTATTTAAGTACTACAATTGTTATATTAATAATTAACAATAGAGGCATATAATTATCAAACCCATCCAAATCCATTTTTATATATTTTTTTTTTTTACTTCAGAACCATCCTAACCCTCTCGTTTCTAACCTTGCTTCCTTTTCGATACCTGACAACCCTCCGAGGCGTCTGAAAAGAAGATGGCCTCGAGATCTCCTTTTGTAAATACATTTTTAGAGTGCTACCAATGGGTAGTTTCTCACCAAATGATTTCATGTTATTATATTCTATTGTACACATTTACTGAATGTATTTTTACTTGTAATACAGTTGTAAATATCATTAATAAATAAATAAAAAATATTTTTTGTTTATTTTTTTTATAAACTTTTTGTACTATATTAGTATGAGATGAAATTATTTTAAATTGTTTGTGAACTTTATTCTTAAAGTGTTTCATTTTTTATTCCATATTTCACCTTTACTTTATAATTCATTAAGTTTTGATTTCAAATTTATTTTTCTATATTTTCTCCTTATTTATAACATTTATTTTTATAGAATATAGTACTGATCTTTCCATATATTTCTTTATACAACTTACTTTTGTATAGTAAACAAAAAGTACTGATATTCCAGCCTTATTTAATAATTATAAGATATGCAACAATAATTATTGGATACATTATCAGCATACAGGATTCTTTTGAAGAAAGTTTGTGAATGTTCATAAACAAAGACTATTCTAAATGCAGAGTACTTTTTTTTTATCGAAATAATATTTGTAGTGGAAAATTATAAAATATACTCCAACTCAAACAATATATACTCAAACTCCAAAATGGCACCCTTAAGAAAGTATTGGAAAATATTTGCTATTTGTTATTTTTATATAGAGTGATGGGAATCTTTCCTCATTACAACCAAATTGCACCTGTCATTATACAGGGTGTCCTGTAAGTAGTGGAAAATTTTTAAAGGTATAGCAGATCTCAAGAACTACAAAAAAATTCATATAAACTATGCGCTAATTTTCAGCAGAAAAGTAAGAAATCCAATGTTTTAATTGAGTTGTGTTAAATCAAAAGCAAGAACTAAAGAAATATTTAATTTAAGTAATTGCTTCATTAAAAACAACATAAATTTACTTTAAACAAAAATGAAGTTTATCATTGTTAAAACCATTTACAGATGACTTTTGAACAGCTAAACTAAGCTAAGTTCTGTTTTTGAAAAAAATCATAAATTATTTGAGATTTTTTTTATCGTCATCCAACTGTACTGCAGACACCCCACTTTCTCAAAAATTTCTTCGTTTAATAGGCTTTAAGTCCGTATTAATTAAGTTGAGATTTATTGGGGAAAAACATGAGATTCAGCACAAGTTGTATAAAAAAGTGGTGATATTTTTTTCTCCTGTCAAGTAAAAGTACCTCTGTTTTTAGCAAAATTTACTACAATTAATTGCTACATAGCTTTTATTTCTTGTTTTTCCATGATGTGAGATTTATTATAATAAACCCAATTGCCTAACATACATCTTTTATATTTTTTTTACTTTATGCCATTTGCACCTGTTCTGCAGTTTTGCTAAGTTCTGTTGATTAGCTTCATTTTGTTATTATTGTAGGAGTAGGTTCATTGGCAATTTGCTTTTTAGTCTGTGTTGATCAGGTTACAGGGAGCAGAAAATAGAAAAGACTAATGGATTGAAGTGATTTAGAGTTGAAGAATGAAATGAAGTGTATTTGGTGTGGATGTAGGATTTTTCTATTGGGATGTTTTAGTCGTTATGTATAGTGTTATTTTAAATGTACCAAGGTGTGTTGACAATTTTTCATAGAATATTTGAATCCAAATTGGTCTCAAGATTGTGTTGTAGATTAGTTGCTTGTTTTGTAAGTTAAGTGAGGATCTGTAGTCCAGAAGATGTAAGAGTTGGTTATATTGTATAGTCAGCTCTTGTCTTTTTAGTTTAGTTTTCAAGAAAGTCACCTGGGTGGATTTGTTATTTATTTTAATTTTCCATTTTTGAGCCATTTTTGAAGATCATAGAGGTAAGTTTGAAGGACAATTGATGCAATAATTGAATTTTTGTGGGAAGAAAGAATTGCAGTGTCATCAGCGAAGCAATAGATGGAGGTGCTAGGGATATCAAAAATGTTTAGCGAATGAAGAATTGTACTTAGATGCTATCTTATGGTAGACCATTGTGTAGAGGGAAGAAAGAGAAGTCAGATTACCTACGGAAAAACAGAAAAACCTGTTTAGAAAGAAGGATTGAAGAAATAGAAAATAAGTAGAATTTAAAAAAAACCTGTACCACTACAACCCATGAAGGGTCTTGGGGTTCAGTACAATTTAGGGAAAGCACTGTTTCTAGGTCAACGGTTGTGCAAGGAGGTGATGTGACCAAGATCATGCTCAACCGCCAGGTTTTCCCCCTTAATTAATTATTTAATTAAGAGTACCCACTTTATAGAGGCTGGGTGTGCCCCAGGAGGATCTTCTGACCCAGGATCGCCCCACGGCCAATGAAACAGATAAATAAATTTTCTGCCATGAGCCGGGGTTCGAACCTGGGATCTTTATAACATTGGAAGCTCAGTACCCTACCACTGAGCAACCCCACTCCCAAGTGAATTTAAGTGCGGTTTTAATTTTCATAATAGACCCTTGTGCCAGACATTATCAAATACTTTCTCTATGTATTCCTTTTTATCAAAACCAACAGAGATAGCATCTACTATCCAATGGCACTTTGCATAGTGGATTGATAAGAACGAATGCCGAACTGGTGATTTGGTATCCCTTGACTACTTTCTAGGATAAGCTTTAGATGGTTCAGGAGAAGTTTTTCAAATATTTTTTCCATTATATCATTTTAATTGTGGAAATTTTCCAAAGGGGAGGAAAATAGGTTGTGTATAAGATAGAGTTATAGATGTGTGTAAGAAAGAGAACAGCTTTTCCAAGTAGGTGTCAAAGAATAAAGGGAGTGATCAGATCATAGTCATAATGGTTTTTATTTGGAAGTCTATTTATTTCTTTGTACATTTATTTTGGATGAAATGCTGGTGGGCGTAGTGATAATATCGCTTTGAGCCAATCAACCAAATACTGTTTCACTTTCCTTGATAGTGAAAGCGTAAAAAAGAGAAAGAAAAAATTTAAATTATATCGATTCACCATATACTATCGGACTATGATATTATAAGTCATTTTCATAATAAACAATTAAGTGATTATTGAATTTATAAAATTCATGCTATTAAGTAGTTGGATATGTCTAAGACTAACTATTTTTCAGCGAAAGTAAACTATGATTTCTTACAAAGAATTATGTACCTAACTTTACAGAACTTTACCTCATGTTGAATATCCCAAATCTACAGATTTTGACTTAAACCTCGTTGCATTCAATTGTTCTCACAAATAATTAAAAATAAATTATAAATTAAAAAAAGGTGATTTTGTGTCAAATGTATAATTGATCTTAAATTAAACACCATTTTGTTAATTATTGATATTAATGTAAAGTCTCTAAATGTTCTATGTAAGCAACAACTTCATAGAATTTTAGTTCATGAGCATATGTCTTTGGAGTTCTGCCCCACCTAAAGAAAAAAAAAATTGTTTAAATGAAAAGGATCTTCAAATTAAAAAAAAAAATTAATTTTCTTACTTGTCTTTCACAGAGATCAGAGATGGATAATTGTCTGCGATGAATCTGACGGCATCTAAAGCTCCTTTGGCTGCAGCTACATGAAGTATAGTATGGCCAAAGAAGTCTGTTACGTAAAAGTTACCCTTATTTTCTTGAAGGCTGTGTGATAATCATCATGAGATTTTTTAGAATTAATCTTTTGCAAAACATTTAATATCATTGTTGGAAATAATTTAATTTTTTAATTTATAAAAATATTTGAACTTGATTTTTTCCTATAATAGTTGCTGAACTAAAATAATTTTTATTTTTTTTATTATTGAAATTTATAACTGTATTAAATAATAAATATGAAAAGTAAATATGAAACAAGTAACATGACATGCACAATACAAAAAGAAACCACCCATTGGTAGCACTCCACTTATATTTCTATATTAGAAGGTCCCGAGACCATCTTCTTTTCAGATACCTTGGAGGGTTATTAGGAATAGAAGAGGTTCGGAAGGTTCAGAAGTTTATTATGGAAGGATAGGTATCTGGATTGAGCTAAATCGGAAAAATATGGTACATTAAAGTCATTATGGATGATTTTATTTGTGACAAAGTAAGGAGCATTGAGGATTTTATGAAGGATTTTGGATTGTAAGGATTGGATATAAGAGGAATTTGATGGTTTAGCAGAGCCCCAAAGCTCGATCCCGTAAGTCCAAATAGGCCTTATATAGTAATACACGAGTCTCTTGTAAATAGTTGGAAGTTTGAAGCATTTGTTTAGTAAATGCTGCAGTAGTTGAAAACGTCGGGCAGTTTCTAGTTGTTTCAGTCTGGTATGAGTGTTCCAAGTGAGTCGTTTGTCCAGGCGGAGTCCTAGGTATCGGATTTGTTCAACAGGGATAAATGGGGTATTGTTAAAGGACACTGTAGGACAGGAAGTTATTGGTTTACAACAAAGGGTAAAGGTAATTTTATGGGATTTATTGGAATTTATTTTAATCCTGCAGTTTTGACACCATTTTCAAGACTTGTGATGTGTGATTGAAGAGTTTGGGATGCAATAGATGGATCATTATTAACTGATAGGATACACTTGTCATCGACTTAGGTGGAGATGACAGTGTTGGGTTAGGATGTCAGTTGTAAAAACTGTGTAAAGAATAGGACCTAGGATATTACCTTGAGAAACACCAGCAAACTGAAAAAAGAAAAAAAAAGAAATGGAGTTAAGCATTGTTATGATTTACTTTGAAGTATCTGTCAGTAAGGTAGGATAGGAAGTATGTAGGTGGTAGGAATTTACGGATTTTGTACATCAGTCCTGGATGGCAGATTCTATCAAACACTTGTTTAACGTCGAGAAAGACTCCCATGCAGTACATTCCCTGCTCCAATGCAGAGGAGACTGTCTACCACATGATGGCATTGCTGAATAGTGGGGTGGGATGTGCGGAATCCAAATTGGTGATCTGGAATAATGTTTTTAGAATCTAGGATGGGATACAGGCATTTTAAGATGAGTATTTCCAGTATTTTGCCCATAATGGGTAAAAGAGAGATATGACGGTAAGAGGATGAGTGTTCTGGCAGCTTCATGGGTTTAAGTATCATTTTGACAACGGATAGTTTCCAAGGGTCAGAAAAAAAAAATATTGCGAGTGGGCAGGCTCCTTATTATATTAATAATAATTATAAAAAATTGGATATATAGCAATAATATGTATATATATATATATATATATATATATATATATATATATTATTGCTATATCTCCAATTTTTTATAATTATTATTAATATAATAAGGGGCCTGCCCGCTCGCAATATTTTTTTTTTCTTTTATATATATATATATATATAGGTGAGGAATAGTGTGTCTTTCTGAGGAAGCAGTTTTAAGATCTGAGATGTGATTAAGTCATGGCCAGCTTTGTGTGAAGGTAATCTTTGAATGATATTGGATATTTCTGAAGGATGAAATGCTTCAGGTGGAGGAGTCCATTGGAGTGGAGTATCCAATTCTTCAATAAACTCAAGGGGGATTGGATTAAGGATATCTAGTTGTGGATTAAATGTTTTGAAGAGGTGCTGAGCAAATATTTTGATTTTTCTTTGTCAGATCTGGACCACATTTGGGTTTCAGTAATTAGTGGTGGTTAAAATCTTTGAATTTAAGGAGCTTTTTAGTGGTCAACTACAGTGATTTGTCAGTAGTAGTAAATTTTTCTGTCAAGGTAAATAAATTTTGAATTTTCTAATTTCAGAACTTTTAGTTGGTTAGTTAATTTGTTGTAATATGTATTATCTGATGGGTATCTAGTCCTTTGCCATTTTGATTTTTCTCTGCAAAATAAAATAATTAAATAAAGATTCTAAAAGTTTTATTACAAACAATTACATTCTCAGCAGCTTTGTTGAAAATAAAATATGGCAATACCTGAACTAATTAAGGTTGCCATAATATGGAAAGATGATTGAGAAAAAAATGGGACTTATAAAAGAAAGACTCAATAGGATTATTAAATTATAGATTTGTTTTTTATTTTTCATGTTGATATTGTCATCATTATTTCAAATCAGGAGTCGAAAAAATATTCTGAAAAGGATTAGAGAAGAAAGTGAAAATCTATTACATAGCTTCTCATTTATTAGCATTTTGGCTCATCTTATTTTCAAGTTTTCATGGCTTTATTGTAAAAGATATATTTGGCAATTATTATATGAGTGGAGTGTTTACTGGATTTAGATGAACTGTTTGGTGATGGAAAAATTAGAAAATAGTGATGAATTGGATAATACTGAACAGGAAATTTATGTATAAACTTTATCTGGCCCATTTAAAGAGGAACAAACATCAGGGTGGTTTCTAATTTCTATTATAGTTTTTTGACATGATAGATTTTTTTTATTGTACCTGACTATCTACAATGAACTTTTTTCATTTTTCTGATTTGTTAGTTCTTTCAGCATAAAAAAAAGTTTGACCATTCGAATTATTCTGTCTTTCGCCAATACCGAATTCTCTTTTCTTTTTTTTTTCCTAAAACATTCCTGTCCTAAATCAGGTTTTTAATGATGGATATGAACAGAAACAAGCAAGGCCGGAAAGCTGCTCCCGAGGACTGTTCCAATTTATAAGAATTTTTCCCGCGTCCTGTGTTGTTTTCAAAAAGTCCCGATCTTCAGAAATAATGCAGAAGCTAGGGAACGGTAGGAGAACGGAAAGAGAATATAAGATTTAAGGCGGCCCCGTAGCTATTTCGACAGGATATGAGTTTCATATTATTTACGTTGACTTTATAATGCTGAACGTTAATAATAACGAGCAATTGTTAAGAAACTGATTATCGGGAACTGCTTAGCAAATTTCACATTTTTGATCAGTTATTAGAATTCGGCCACCATTGTTTGGACTGATAACAAAAACACGAAAATTGTCTTCTTAATGAGGTATCGTTATAAAAAAAAAAATTGATAAGTAAAAGCAAGTCAAATCTTGGGCATCACAGCAAATTAACTTCATTTACTACTTCGATGTTGTCACCTTTAATAAGTTTTTAGCATTTGTAAAAAAAATTACTTGGTTGTGCACAAACTTCTGGCACAAAACATTTAAGTCTTAAAAACTGTGTCATTAATGAAGTCATAAATTAGTTGTCAAATACATCATCAAACTATTCGTTCTCAAAAATACACCTATAGAACTAAATTATTAACCTTATTTCAGCTAAATACTATGTCACCTGATTAACATTTACACCAGATTATCATTATGTAAAATCAATTATTGTGACAACAAATTTGAATTATTGTTTGGAATTAATAAATCTAGAACCTCCCCAACACCTTCGGTCAATACTGTCCCGCTTTACCATCTAAACTCCTTCCCCCCTAGCCATTGGTGTCCCGCTTTACCAATGCTAAAATCTGGTCACCTTAACATATTGGCAAATTACCCTATTTTCTTAATTGATTTTAGTTTACATATTTTATTCATTCATGTGGGTTAATTGTTACTGATTTTATTTTTGTTCTTCGAAATAATGGGGGAGCGAAACTATATTCTCGCTCTTTTCTTATTTTTATTGGTGGTGAGTGGTGTGAAGGGGGGATGGAGAGGACTGCAGACACCCGAAGTCTGCGCCTATGGTTGATATTGGCCTATGTGATTAGTTTTAACTAAGAACGACGCCAGATAAAAAAAAAAGATAGTTTTCTAGCCTGTTTTAAAAAAAAATAAAGATTTACTAGTTTAAAGTGATCATTAAAGGTATTATTTTAAAATGACTGTTGATTTTACTAGCACAAATAGTACTATGTGAGGGGAGAGGAGAGCAGAGGTTGCGAGTTGTAACCCTTAAGTGTTGACAAAGTGTAGAGTGTTGTGTTAATCGTGAAAAAAAAAAATAGATTGAAGATATGCGTCGTTATAACTTGTTGAGAGCTTTCAATATTATTTTAATAGTTAATAAAAATTTTGGTTCAGAAATTCATGCGGTGTTAACTCTGTCACCCCTTAAAAAATATAATTCATAATCATCAGAAGTTTTATAAATCAATAAAGGTGTATCTAGATAAATAGATGATAAAGGTGATAAGTTGAATACCGTGATAACTTGTTCACATCATTTGCAGCTGCTGCAGTAAATAACTCACAAAATGGTTCGCAAACGCATGCTTTTTCTCTCCTATTCGGAAACTTCTTTAATATGGTATCACCATTGCTGTCGAAATGATGTAACCTCAGTTTTCTGACTAATTCCTGGATTAATAAATAATTTAGTTTTAGCTATGAAAGCAAAATTATATTCTATATTATTATAGGGATTAAAACATAACCTATCAAAAAACGTTATTTTACTCCAGATTTTACGAAATCAATTTACCACAACTAAATTTATTTCTGATCCATTAATTTCAAACGTTTTAGTATAGCTTCTGCCACAAGAAAAGAGCCTGACGTAGATAAGAGAACAAAGTCTTATATAATAAAAATAAAACAAGTTGGAATATATGAAAATGTTTGAGAATACCCTCCAGGCAAGGTCTTACCCACAAGTAGTTTGCCTGAATTTGATAATATCTATTGCTCCATACTTGGTTTTAGGCAGAAGACCAATTATATACTTATTCTATATGGGATCTAACTGTATCACCTCTTTCGTGACTCTGGCGATACAACAAAATAAAAAAAAAAAAAAAAAAATATATATATATATATATATATATATATATATATATTAAAAAAATATTTATTGAAATTTACAAATGTTTGACATGAAAAAAAAATCTGGTGCGGTACGCGCATCATACAACTTTCACTCACCACCCCCTTAGCAGAAATAAGTATTTTTAGTCAAAGGACTAGTGAAAGTAAAAATTATAGACCCTATATTTGTTTATGTTTCATTGTAGGCATTTTTATTTGTATAAGTACTCGTGTATATTTATATACATATAAATTTTAATATTTACATCACTGTAATCTGTATAATTAAATAATAAATAATACTAAAAATAGCATTTATGAAAACCGCATATATATATTTACATAATATTGTCGGCGTCCATATTATATTAAGCTCATGTTACGTATGGGAGCCTGTTCTAATCTTTCGGGCGCGATCGTATTCCTTTGGTTCCTTAATTACAACTATTCTCCGTTGCAATCTCTTATTTCTCCTCTAGTTAATTATCAAATTCTTTCATATTTGATATTTAACTATCTTTTATATTGAAGATCAATGTGAAATGGTCCATTGTTTCAAATAAAAAAATTAAAGGTACTTTACAGAAAGCTTTAGCCGTTTAAGCTCTGTTAGAGAAAAACAATTACAATAAAACCTACATTTTATTTAAAACTGCTAAATTTTACACTGATATAATGACATTAATAAAAACCGTTAGAGCCGTTTTCGAGGAAATCGTAAAAATGTGTAAGTCCATGACATAAAGTGGCACTTCCGGTTAGCCGATTTTGACGAAAAAGCTGCTGTAGAATCCCAATCAGCCTTAAAATGCCAATCTTAAATATTCAATTTCACTTTCGTACGACTTTTCGTTTTTGAGCTAGACTGTTAACACACACACAGACCATTTTGCGGGACTTGGTTATTTCGACTGATGGGACCTCAAAACGTGTATTTCGAAAACTGAAATTCGAAAATTTTCACGATCGCAATACTTTCCTTTACTATACATTTAATATATAGGTAAGTGAATGTAATACAACCTTATTTTTCAACTTATTGCAGAATTTTTAGGAGGAAAAACTGCGTGAAATTGTATTTCAGGTTTAGTAAAAAAAATGTTTTGCTTATTTTTTTTTTTGTTGGTCTTAATTCAGTTTATGAAATGACTTAAAGTTGAGACATTATGTTATTTATTTTGAAATGTTTTACGTAAAATTCTGTTTCAAAACTATAGATCGTAATGAGAAGGGAGTAATAAAAAGGATGGAAAAATTAAGCTTGTCCTTTCTGGCAATAAACCTAGTTCCTGCCCTAACCCTAATATAAACTTATTTTTCAAAAGTCACTTTACATTTCTTATTGAATAAAAGAGTAATTTTGATTTTTTTCACCTTGCAAAACTGATATGATCTTTCACTTATTTGGTATTCATTCAACAAAGGTGAATACAATGCCACTCCCATTTTGTCCGGTACAACCATAATCAAAGCTCCAGAGGTTGAGGACTTCATTGGCAGACCGATCTAAAACATTTATAGGGTTAAGCAATCTTAAAAATTAAAACAGTTTGTAAAGGGGCTATTAGTTGTTCAATAAATATATTTAGGTATATTTATTAAATTATTTTCCGTATCTTACTTCCATGACTTACTGAAGATAGCAAATTGTAAATCTAATCCAAATTAAAAAATTTTCGGCGATCACATCAGTAATTTAATACTCCGGAATAGAACTATTTTGAACTCATTCCACAATCATCATTTATTGAACAACGTCCATTCCTGGTAACTAGAACACACTTGCTTTTTATATTAAAGTGGAGAGCAAGTGCTTACTACCAAAGTGATTATCAATCACATTAAAATTGGCGTGATTGAATCGTGGGATTGAGTATAATGTTAAAAACATAATGGTTTCAGGAACATTAAAAAAAAAAAGAATAGGAAATCTAACTTTCGTAATAATTACAACTGTGTAAAATATAGAGTGCACACTAATTCCACATGAATCTTCCTTCATGAAATCATTCAGGAGTGCCCCTCCCTCAAGGCCAGTGCCGCATGAACCTCTCCCTTCCTCACAAGATATTTTATTGTTCTCATCTTCTTAAAACAGTGCAAGCTAAAGTATAATTTTAAAAATCATAGGTCATAAACAATTACACTTTCATTGGTATATTCTTTGCTTACCACCTGTCTTCTGGTTTGGAAACTTTTTGTTTCGAAAATTCATAATCCCTTCGAAATGTGCCCCCCTCAAAAGACACAGAAAAAAAAATTAAAATAATCTAGCAACAAAACAATAACTTATGAAATGTTATCATCAGTGACAGGTCGTTTCAACATTCTAAAATAAGCTAATTAGGAAATAAAAACTAATTTCTCCATCTTCAATTTCCCCCCTATTTTAAAATAATATACTCCCTTTTGTAAACGCTCTCGCAATTATTTCAGATAAAATTCGCATTTAAAAGGAAAAATATTTTAAAACGAAATAATAATGAATTCCTGGCATGGGCATATGCAGAGGAAGACAGTGGGGAGCCTTGCCTCCTCTAAATATTACTGATGTTACTTGTTGATTGTAATTGCCTCATGTATTGAGCCTTTAATATTCTGGAGAAACAAACCAATATTATATCTACTATATTTTAAACTAACACTGAAATTACATCTCATATAGATACATATTAATTATATAAGTGAGAGGGACATTAATATTTTTTTGGGAGGAGGGGGCACGAGCCGTCGGCCTTGGGGAGATGGGCACTCCTGATAATAGCTATCATGACCAGATAAACAATAAACGTTAATGTAGTTCTGTGTCATACGTTATATATCAAATAAAATAAAAAAGGAAAGATAAAAAATCGGTAGGATGTTCAGTAAAAAAATTATCAATTATAAGAATGAAGAACTATAAGGAAAATGAAGAACAATTCATGGACGAGAATTAACCGATACGTGTCCACAAAAGCGTTTAAAAAATAAGGTAAGATAAAATAATTTGATACTAAATTTTATGTTAAAGTTCTGAATCCTGTTTCATGTACTAGTATTAAAAAAATGAAATTATTATTTTGCAAGCGGAAAGTCTAATAATACTGGCATTGTCTGAAATTTGTAATAAAAAATCTATCAGTTTTTGAGAAACTAGTTTAACAGTAGAATGAACCAAATTTCAAACTTTTTAAGATAAAAAAAAAACATATAGTATAATATCTTAATACATACATATATATAACGTATTTAGTAGCTGAATAAAACCAGAATTTCTAATGCTCGAAAAAAAAATTGAATATTATAATATGATATGTCACGCCATCTACCACAGTGTAATTTATTTTCATATATTATTTCTGATAATATATTCATTTCTCACATAATAGGGAATATTGTAGTGTTGCTATAAAACGACGAAACAAGAAATCTGATGAAAAATAATGGAGTTATAGAATCATGACCAAAAAATCCAGTTGTTAGGAATCACTATACCCAAGGAAATTATGAAGCTCATATTCTGAGAACATTAATCCACTGTATTGTCGCTTAGTTCCATTATGAATACAGGGAATCGGGTTTGAAATAGAATTTGAGTCTTAACTCTTTGTTGCTATTTCCACTGATTTGATTGTAATATGTCAACATGGTTCCGGTTAAATTTCAAAGAAAAAGTTATGTTATTAATGAGTGTGGCAGAAAGCTCAGTATTCGCAATTTAGACACTCGATTAAAACTTGGTGGTTAGACATTTTAAAGAAATAACGAATACTGTGAACAGCGGCCCAAACCCGGAAATGATAATGCAAAAAAATAATTTCTTTCAAGGTATGCCGTTGTTGCAGTAACATATAGATGGTTTCGTCAGGCTTGTATCTTAACCCTTCTGCGTTCGTGCATTAATTTCGAACAATTATACTTATATTATTATACGCTGGACCTTTGAGCTGACAATACATTTTCGAGATCTCAGAGTGAATATTAAAGAATTTCTCAATGAATATTTAAGAAGTTCTTCCACAAATTAATTGGCTTAATTCCAATGGGGCATCATATCTTCCAATGACTCTATTGATCCTATGGTATCTACCCTAACCTCAAACCTACAATCCTTATTAGACACCCATGCTCCTCTGAAAACTACAACCTTACGTCGTCCCACTGCACAATCAACTACTCTGTTCGTTCCCGGTCTTCTGATTTATACATAAGGGCCCACCGGACCGCTGCTTTCGACAGATCGTTCATTATCCAATCATCCTCATCCCTATGGAACTCCATCCCTTCCCACATCCGTCAATCCAATACCCACCCTTCCTACCTTTAAATCCCGCCTGTTCAATCATTTCTTATCCATCCAGTCCCCATAAAATTGTAAATAGATACCACTGTAAATATTTATATAAATTATTAAATTGTTCTTCATTATTTTTAATTTATTTTTAATTTTTTATTATTAACTTATTTAAGTTAGAAAGTAACATATAATTTTTATTATGACTATTTCATTACTCAACATTTCTTTCTATGTATCTCTGAGGCTCCTTAGCCAACATAACATTACTGTCCTTATGTATTATTCTAAAAGGACTTGTCCCAGAATAAATAAAGTATTATTATTATTATTAAAACCAAAATGATTTCTTATTAGTAATTAAAAATTATTTTCAAGGATATCTTGATTTGTGGAATTTAACTTGTTCCCTATTTTTATTTAACTAAATTTATCTACTTAATTTAACTAAAATATATCTACTTATGCGTAAGTTATCCGTGAAATCTCGAGACTAACTTTATGAAAATGAGTCTCATAGCTTCTGGCCAACTCTCAAGGAGAACAGCTCTGAATGGTGAAAAGTCCCAAGTGAAAACGCTGATATAGTTATAAAAAAATTGTTATGTAAAAGTTGAGGATAAATGATGTTAGACTTTATTTACCAAACATGTTTCAATGAAATTTAATCCCTGTATTCATCTTCTGATTTGATATATGATACAATAAATTAATAAAATGTTTCATACAGTAATTATTTAAAAATAACTAGATTATTTTTTATCAGAAAATATTTAATGACATATCTATGATGTTTAAGCCAAATTATTATAATTTATTTGGTTACTGTTTAACTTAAATTGGATATAAATTATTAACTTTAACGAATTAAAAAAAAAAATAGTGTGATGATAATTAACTATAAAATTGTAAGAAACTTTATTTGTACCACTAACCATAAAGCTGCTTTCTCCGGAGAACTGGTAAAGTCCGTAGCTGAACATGGCCGATAAAATTTCTTTGATATCATCGGAAGATATGACTCTTTCTTCACTTATAGGATTGATTCCACCATTGGCCAACGTAGCGGCGATCAGACTCAAACTTTCAACTGTTACTTCCATTGAACATGCCTAGAAAAATTGATATAATGTCAATTCGAAACTGGTCTATATTGCTGAACTAAAACGTATTTTTTTTTTTTTTTACTGACTACTGCAAAGCCACACGGATGGTTATGCGTTCGGGTTGTCCGCAGAAAGGAATGAAATGATTTTTTGAGCGCACGGCTGAATCTATTTTCATTTGATAAGGTCATGTTACTGTTTTTAAAAAAATTCGGGTCCAAAACACGGACAAATTGTTGTGTAATACGTGTTTTGATAATTTCGCTTAAATGTTATGTTTTGTTGCGGGAATGGCTCCACCGAATTTTTAGTTAGGTGGTTTAAATTAGTCAGTTAGATTTCGTGAATGGTTTGAAACGATTTAAGCTCAAAATAGTGGAAACAAATATCTTATTATATTTTAAATATTCTTAAATTGTTTTTGGTTTCATATCATGTGTAAGCTATTTGAAAAACTAAAAAGGTTAAAAAAAATATTAGGAAATCCGATCCACTTTCAGGAAATATACTTACACATCGATTTAAACACCTTTGTAGATTGTCAGAGAAATTCACATCTATAAATACTCACAATTGGTGTAGGTAGTAGTGGGGTTCCTTTTACTAGAAATTATGGTTCCTGGCAAGTAGACTCCGTCCAGTGTGTTGGTGCATGTCGACATCCGATTGAGTCTTTTATCAAGTTTCGTTTGGGTTAGAATGCAATCGACTATTACATCATCAAGTTTAAGTTCTCTTTAAATTTTTCTTACAGTATACCAAGGTGTTTAAGTAAATGTGGAAATACATTCCCTTATAGACTAGAATTAGCGACCATTTCATTTAACTGAAGGACTTAAAGCTAGTAACCATTTTAAATTCAAGATAAACGTCATCTGAACATACAACTTTGGATAGTCGGTTGAAAGCCTTTGCTTTCTATACGAAAATTTAAATATTTATTAGTTATACATACTCCTGGCTCACCATAAATTTGCTATATATCTCGGTTTTCAGCAAATATGATATCAAGGATAAGAAATGATAGCATAAAAAAAAAAAGAATAGTAAAGATAAAAAAAAAAACAGTAGCAAAATAACAAATACATAATAACATACAAAAAAGATAATACAGCAAGTAGCTCAATGCAATAAGTGTCTTGGCCAGCGCCTCAGCAATCTTCTGGGCGGATTATATGGATTTGTAGCAGTAGAAAGAGCTTGAATAAGTGGATTGGAATTTAGAGTCAGTCTGTCATGAAAATTGTTAAAGCGGTCAGTGGCAGTTGCCGTGATGAAGGGAGTGTTAAGGTCAGTGTGTAACGTGAGGTTTGAAACATAAAAGATCTACAATTTTCCGAAGGACTTTTGACTAGATGGTTTTTATATTTGTTTTCTTTGCTGTTACCCATAGTTCGATCCCATATGTCCAAAGTGGTTTGATGAGGACTTTGTAAATAGTTAATTCATTAGTCACAGATAATTTAGAACGTCTGTCAAGTAGCCTAGATATAAGTCCGTATCGCTGATTAAGTTCTTTTCTTTTTTGTTTTATGTGGTATGTCCATGTCAGTCGTTTTTCCAAGTGAAGAACCATATATTGTACAGTTTTTGAAGGTGGCAGAGCGATATTATTAAAGAACACTGGAGGACAAGACATGTTTAAGAGTAAGCCCTTTTAGCCCAACAAGCTATGTTGTCTAGGTGTTTTTGGACGCTGAATCTGAATTTGATGTTCCTGAACGAAATGTTTCATTTCATTGCGAGTTATATGCAAAAAACAGCGAAATCGCAACACTTTTTTTATTGTTTTTGGACGTGACTCCGAAACTATCCCTTTTATCGAACTTAATTAGTACACAAAAAGTTGAAGAAGAAAAAGTATAATATCAATTTTATACATAGTTTTCTGATGTAGGGCCAACGGGTGAGGAGTTAAAGCATGTTGACTGTTTGCATATTTAATAACAAATATCTGTTTTTCCTCCAAAACTCATAATCTATGCATGTCTCCAAGAAATTTATTTTAACCGATTTGAAAGAAGTTTGAATTCCCTATGCACTTCGTTAAGACACGTTAATATGTGAGAAGATTAAGCAGCTGTTAAAGCGGATGGAATCGAAGGTGTATTTCACTCTAAGGATCTGCCGCACTCAACTGAAGCGCTATTCGGTGCTTTTGATTCGGCTACTTTAACTATATTTATAACAGAACTAGAATGTATAAACAAATTACATAGCTTTTATTATATGTTCTGTTGGCATGAGGGACATCAACATCCATAACAATAAACAAACAATTAAAGACCGAAATAAGCTTCATAGTCCGAGCGATCCTACGGCATTTTGACTACTTGCATGTTACGACTCTATATACGCTTGAATTAAAGTGAAAGTGCAACAAAATTCTGATTGTATACAATACAAGAAACGTTGAAAGACCTGTAGAGCGCTCGGAACGGTTCTAATACAAACACTGATAGATTGACAACAAGGCACTCTGTAATAACGATTACTTAGCCTTTAAAACTGTAGGAGAAAAATAAATATGTAATTATAAATTTACAGATTTGCAGAAAAAAAGAAAATAGTTTACAACTCATTGTTATTGAGCTAAAGCTAATTCCGAAAAACAACTTTGAATATATTAGTAAATTATTCATGCCCTTAACTCCTAACAACTTAATTGTTAATAGAATTATTTATTTATTTTTTTTTTTTTTACGTCTAACTCAGTTGTAGTTGAAAATGACAGCTGTTTCCTTTTAATTGAATGAAATTAGTTTTGCACATCAAGTAAAAATTAATTATTTAGTTGTTGGCTCGAGTAGCAACTTACATATCCACCACCATGTGCATGGGAGCGGATAGGGAGAGAGTTTGTTTGCGGGGGGGGGGAGGGGAGGCGTGCCTGTGTTACAGCATTTTTATATTATTATTTATTGAATACGTCCACTGTACTTTATGTATTTTTTATGTATTAGGTTAGAAAGAGAGAGGAGAGAGGAGAGAATGTGGGGAGTGGGAACATGTATACGGGGAGAGAAGGAAGAGAAAGGGTACAGAATGATAATAAATGAATGAAAGAAATAGTAAAAATAAAAAAATAAAAAAAGGAAAAATAAAATAATAATAATAATATATACATATGTATAAAATATTGTATACTATGCTCATACATATTGTTAATCCTATATAATTGTATAATAACTTTAAATAATGTCTGTAGTGATTAATAAGTATGCTGTGTTGTTAGCAACCCAATGTAATTGGGCAGCACCATTTTATTTTATGATAATAAAGTGATTCTCTCTCTCCAATAAATCTCTTAGAGTCCTGCCTTTCCTTCCACGAGCTGCTTGACTCGAAAATCTTGAGTGAATGAATTTTGTAAATATTATATAAAAGCATGTATGTATTTATGTAGTTATTTTGATTAGTTTATTTTATTTTTGTTTAGTTTATATTCATTTAATTTTAATATTATTATTTTGCTGTTTATTTATTTTTATTTATTAAATATAATGTGAATGAGTTACTATCCTATCACCATTACCATAGTCCTTAGATGTGACAGATTGTAATATATATATCAATAAAGAATTTTCAACAACAAAGTAAAAAAAATGGCCCAAAAAATAAAAAATTATACAAAAATTCACAAACAATTACTGTCGCGATTTAAGTGGCAGATGTAAATATAAAAAAATAATAATTATTATACAAAATGCAAACATTTCAATAGTGATACAACTTTAGATGCACACTAAAATAGTAAGTTTTTTAAAATGTGATATATAAAAGATAGTGACTGAAAATAACAGTCTTTTGTACGTTGATAACTGACAGACTTACACACTAGAAGGTATAATTCATTGTTTTCCTTACAGTTTCTACTGAATTCAAGACTAAAATAATTTACGTGAATTGAATTTTAACCTTAATGAAAAGATCTAAACAGTTATTTGTATCATAGCCTGGAGGCATAAGCGATGTACAGGTCACTCCGAAACTCATACATCGTAATTCATCAGCTGAGTCCAGTTTTGAAATGAACGATGAGGCTTTGAATTCCAAATATTCATCACCAATAAATTTCTGAAAAGCGAAACATAAAAACAATCAAATTTAGATTATTATGTCGGTAACGAAGTTCTTATTTACTAGGAGATGCTATTTAACTTGGGAAAGCCGTGACCAAAACAGATTGAAATATGATTATCAAAGGAAAACCTATAAAATATGTATCAGCCAATTCAAAAATCGAGTAGATTGTACCAGTATCATATCTGAATTTACTTTTCTTTCCCTTTGTTTCTTCAACTTTGAAGATAAAGGATTAAAAAAACACTTAAATCGAAAAAAAATGTTTTGATCACGAATCGAAAATTTCAACTCGTGTCTTACGTTTTATACCTTAAGAAACATTATTGTTTCTCTGTATGTCTGTTTATATCAAATCAAATAAAATCAAATTTAATAATTCAAGTTGAGTCAACTATTCAGTCAACTATAAATATTATTTTGTTTTTAAAAATTCACATTCTCCGTTGAAGATAAATCCTTATTTTAAAATTATAATATTGTTGTGTTATATGATGTTTTTTTACCACATTATTCTCTGAAAATTATTATTTTAAAAAAATACTTGAATAATGTTATTATTATTTTATTTTATTATTTATTTATTCTTCCAAATTTATTACATTTCCAAGCAAGTTGGATTGAGGACAAAGGCGAGAGGGGAGAGGATAGTGGAAGGTTTTACATTACCCAATAATTTTAAAACCCAAAGAGTTATAGCGTTAGAGAACCGATTTCAAACTGTAAAAATTAAGATACAATATTTACTTATTGAGTAACTAAAATTTAAAACGAATAATAAATAAATTACCTTTAAAAGCTCTAAATAAATTAGGCTAAGAAAATAAAATTTTACTAAAAACATTTTTTGAATTCGATGCACATTAGACCACTGAGACAAAATTATTGGCACATTTAAAATTTTTGATTTCCGATTAGATTGATTTTCGTTAATATCATTATTAATTTACTACAAGTGTAAGCCTATCATTCATAAGAACTACACGTCCTTGACTTCGGGCCGATTTTCAGTGAAAAGCGAGACGTGATTCGACTGGCTGAGGCCTTTGATGTATTGCAGATTCATTACTTACTTATTTATGTGAAGTTAATAATAATGTTTTTTCAGTCTGTATTTGTTTTTATCATCATGTGACTATAACTTACCTTAATTTGTTTAATAATCTTACCTATTTAAACATAGTATTTGTAGTAGCTGCTACCTGGACTTAATGGAACATTATTTTAATTTCTTTTGCTCATACGAGATATTATTATTTTGATATTTCTCAAACAAACAAGCTTTTGATGGATCAAATCATGAAAGATTTATATTTATTACAGAACGAAAGACCCTTTTTTCTTAAGTTACATTAGAAAACATTTACAGTTCATTAAAAGCTAATATAGCATCTTATAAAAAATATCGAACGAACTCATAATGTTCTACCCAAGTACGGCTAATAATGACTGCTATTGACTGTAATAGATGTTCTCTTATATATATATATATATATATATATATATATATATATATATATATATATATATATATATATATATATATATATATAATTAAAGTACTAACTGCCAAGAAAAAATTAAATAAATAACGTTAATTCAGTTGAAAAGGCCATTGATAGAATTACACAGCTAACAATTTCTTTATGCTACATAAAATTTATACATATAAAAATCAGAGAAATCAGAGAATATGAGCAAGCAATTTTTTTTACAGAATTTACCTTTGTTACTTATTATGGAATGGAATAAGTCCCAGCGTGTAACTTAGTGGAGCTAGTTGTTTATTTTGCGTTTATACTTAAATCATACTTCGATTTTTTCATAATTATAACAATGAAAACCAAAGAACTGTAAGACTGTACCAAACTTTTTTTTTTTTTTATTTATTCATGATATTTACAACTGTATTAATATATAAAATACATTTAGCAAATTTGATAACAGAAAATAATAACATGAAATCACTTGTTGAGAAACTACCCACTGGTAGCACTCTAAAAACAAAATTTATTTACAATAAGAGATCTCGAGGCCATCTTCTTTTCAGACGCCTCGGAGGGTTATCGTGAATAAAAGAGGAAGCAAGGTTAGAGACGAGAGGATTCGGATGGTTCTGAAGTTTATTATGGAAGGATTGGTATCTGGATTGGGCCAAATCGGAAACATAAGGAATATTAAGGTCATTATGGATTATTTTATTGGTGACAAAGTAAGGAGCATTGAGAATTTTCCGAAGGATTTTGGATTGTAAGGATTGGATACGAGAGGAATTCGATGGCTTAGTGGAGGTCCCCCCCCTCCCCCCTCCCGCCCAAAGCTCATTACCAAACTTAATTTATTTATTTATTTTATTTTTATTTTTTATTCTTATTAATCCATAGCAATGGAATTTCAAAGAAAAAAACAATAACATCACTCTTATTGAGATCTAAAAATATTTATTCAAAATCACTGAAAAATGCTCTTTAATTTGTATTTTTAGGGGTTAAACCAGGAGAAACTGGAGGAAATATTTATTGGTCTACGTCACTAGCGGATCCAGGATTTATTTTTGGTAGGGGGCCTCTGCTCGAAGGATTTTTTTTTTCATATATACAAAAATAATTAATTTGAAAAAAATCGAAATAAATTAACTACCTACATGAAATGGTGTTAAAAGTGATTCTTGAAGTCCTATTAAATGTAATTAAACTAATAATAATACTTTAAGAGATAGTTTTTAATATTTTTTTCCTATTAAACATGGCTATATTTTACCGTTTTTTTGGAGGAGGAGGAAGGGTTTCAATCCGAAAGCTGTCCCCGTATATTCGCCTGTGGTCTTCGTTTTAGAGATGTTAAGGAAAGACGATATAGCACAAAAAGTGTGATTGGAATACTTTCATTTTTAGATTTTTTAGATCAGTATGCGTCTTCAACAAATACAGTACTTTAAACTTTACGATCTCAATACACTTGATGCATTATACAGAATGTTATTGGTTTCAGTAGTCTTATTTGCAAGTGGTCCACCTTTTCCAAAAAAAAACTTTGTCAAGTATTTCCCATTTTAGGTTTTTCATTATTGTTAGCTACCATTAAAACCCTATTACCGTGAATTTCATAGTGAACAAAACAAAATACCTTTATAGAATATTTAATGTTACCTGGTGGCCATTCCTCATTCTAATTTACAGGTAAAACAAATAAGCACATATCTACCTGTTTTTTGACATTACAAAAATGATTTGGTAAGGAAGGAATGAACAGAAAACTAGTAACAAAACTTAAATTACTATTTGGTGAAGTAAAATAAGATTATTTACCTTTAAATATCTTACATAGGCATCATGAATGAAAGAACCACTTTGGCCTTTGAAAGATATTGTAGTCAACAGTGCGCACAGCATGAGTGCACCGGAGTTGGCCATTGCGTTAAATGGTTTCCCTAGAAATAAAATTGAAAATGAAAAGCATTAGGGGAGTGGTCAATTTTTAAAAATTCATTAATGGCACGGAAGTCATAACTGATAATTATGTATGACAAGGCGTTGATCATCTAGAAGAGGTCGCTGTCTATATTGTGAATATCAAACCGCATATTTAATGAACCAATATTTTGACGGTAGCACGGCAATAAGTCGTAACCCTCAATGTTTCTGTAAATGAAATTGAATCAGTTAATACAGAAACTGATTAACATTTGTTATCGGTTTTAAAATGAGACTTGTGCTTTAAACATTTTTCAATGTAAAAAAAAAACTTACATGAATAGTTTAAAGATTGATTGTTTACCCTCTATATTTTTTGTGGTCTTTTATCTATGAAAACATTAATAGGCGTGGTTTAGTCTCGTGTGTTGTCCAAGTAATAATTGAATCAATTGGGTTTTAGGCAATTTTCTAAAAAAGTGTATATTCGTTGTCCTATTGTTTCAACAATTCATAGCTCTCAACTGAACAAAGCTAAACAATCTGATAAATATATTTTGTTCATTTTTAATGCTAGTTTAGAATCAGTGTAAATGTGATGGAAATTAATCATTTGCGTGGCGTAAATGTAATTCTAAAGAAGAAAGAATCTCATGTATACCATGACCTGTTGTTGAATATATATTTTTAAAACATCCTAATCTCTTTGAAAAAGTGGATTTGACATTTTAAAAATACTCTTTATTTATAATATAAGATAAATAGAGCAAGATATGACCACCAGCTTAATGATATCAACAATCTCATGAATGTCATGGCTGTTACAATTTACAAATTACAATATTCGGCTCTTTTCTACTTTAAGCAAACCTGTGAATTTGAGAAGTGTTTTTGCATTTAGATTAAAATATCTGAGGCATCAAATATTTGCATACTCTAAGTAAAACTTGTTGAGAATTGTATCTTCTTTGTCAGGAATTATTACTCAAAATTATATCTTAAGTGACGCCGTGTTAGATAGGCAAAATGGGGAACAGGCACACGTTTTATTGTAAATATATACTGATATATCTCAGAAACTATAAATCGGATCTGGATATTGTAATGAAAATAAATGTTCAGAATTTCATTCTCTTTGTAATGAGATGATATTCAAAATTGTATCTTAAAGCGACACCGTATTAGAGAAGCGAAAAGAGAAAAATAATGCCGAAGACCAACAGACAATTAGTTTTATTGAAGATATGGATTAAAATATCTCAGAAACTAAAAATTGCACCTGCATACTTTATGAAAGAAAAATGTTCAGCATTCCATCCTCTTTTTAATGGACTATTATTCAAAATTGCACCTTAACAACGCAGCGTTAGAGAGGCGAAAAGGAATAAAGATGCCCAAAACAGAAAAGAGCCCAATATTCTTTCAATCTAAAAATATAGTAACAATTTCTATTTTAAATCCAAGGACCAAGTGTTTGTCTTAAGTTCATGCCGTACTTCTTACTAAATTTAAACTTTCCTGAATGATTGAATGAAGCCATATCAGTGTCTTTCATCTGATTTTAATTTTAAAATCTCAACCTCTAGAACTCATGAAAGCCATCCAATCCGTAAGGTGTGGCGTACATTTGATTTTGCTTCCACATTGTCCCAAGATAGGAAAGTAGGGTAGGGATGCCCCTTCCCTCTAACCTCGATAGCGCCCGAACCTTCCCCCGCTCCTTTCAAGATATTTTATTGCTAACCTCTTCTTAAAAACAGTGCAAACAAAAGTATAGTTTAAAAATTAGTTTACAATTATAGCCTTTTTCCTGTAGTCTTTTCTATGCTTCCATTTGTCTCTTGATTTGAAACTTTTCAATTCGAAAATTCACAACTCCTTCGAAATGTACCCCCCTCAAAAATTCAAAACCTCATCAAAATGTGCCTTCCTTAAAAATGTTGATGGCGTAACTTGCGCCATAAAACCCCCTTGTGGACACCCCTGAAGTAGGGTATCCATGTAGAAATTAAAAATAAAGTTAGTCCTTGGAACAGAAATTTTCATTCGCCTTTTACACTTCAGACATTAAGGAACAGATTTGTTTCCTCGTCAGTCTATTCGTGGTGAAAACTACTTGAAGGCCATCAATAATGCTTATTACTATTAATCCGATTTTAATAAAACATTTTGATATTATACGTGTTGGTACCTATGTGGTTCCATATAAATTTGATCAAATTTAACTCACTTCTTTTGTCTACGTCTACACATATGTATTTTTTACACACCAATGGTTTAAATAAAAAAATTATCGGCAATTGGTTTATTTTTAAATTTCTTCTTCTATGTTTGATCATGCATCTTCTTTTCTTCAGCACTCTCCTTTGTGCCTTTCAGCTAGGAGGTGCACTTATCCAAGTCTACCGAATATCCTTTTCTCGAGCCAGCGCTTTCATAGAATTATGTAATTGACTTTCCCTTTTTTTCTCTAATCTTGGATATGTGATCCTTCCATAGCAATCTGATGTATCACAAACTTGAAAATGAAATTTAAAATTTGAAGTTTTCAATATTTTCTTTTCGTGTGACTCTAAGCAATCATTAAACTTTGTTTACCTTTTCTTATTTGTTCTTGTATACTTAAAGTGTCGGAATGGATTAATGGGACGGCCGCCTTTTGTTATGTATTAAATTTATATAATTTTTTTTTTAAATTGTAGACATTTATTGAAGTTATTTATAAAAATATATCAAGGAAAATTGTTTTTACCGCTTGTATTTAATTCTAGGATATCATCACCAACGTTGTTTGGTTGAAACGCTATATATTTCTTAATAACTTCAATTCCTGCTGTTTTCAAAACAAGTGCCATAAGAAGTGGTTTGCTGAAATTTTTAATTTAAATTAGAATATTAATCTTAACAAATATAAATGATTGCAATAATCTTCCTATTATTCCCAGAACTCTGTTTGAAACTATAGTATTGATGAGGAGAACGTAAGAATAGTGCATTTAAGTAAAGTTAATCACAAACTTCAATCTTTGACTTATTCAGACTTTATTTATTACTTTCCTGCCTATACTATTTAGGAAAAGTATTGCGATCAAATTTTCTTTCAATTCGTACTTTAATCTTTTCTTTGATCAATTTTCAGGAAAATAAATCTTATTTAATTTTTTTTCCTTAATGGACATATTTGAAGATATAAACATTTTTCTGAAATATTTGGGAAAGTAATGTCAAAAAGAAGTGGATATACCAGATTTTTTTTTTTTTATGGCCATTTCATACTATTCTTTAAGTTGAAGAAGGATATAGATTTTTTGCTTCATTACTAATACCAATTTTGAAAGTTTAAAAACTATTGCCTGTTCCATTGGGTTTAACGTGGTCCATTCGATAGAAATAATTTACTTTCACGGGATGGAGAATTGGTCCATTGGATTGACAACTAAGATGTTATCTGATCCTAAACTTTACCAAATGACGATGGTTCGATTTAGTAAATTATTATTAGTTTTCACTTATCTGTTGTTGTCTTATACAAGGACCCAATTCGGCTACTTTTTTAATCGTGTGCCTCTCCACATTACTCGTGAGAATCAAAATGTTTGAGTAAAGTGCGAAGGAAGGAAAAGAGAAGGAATGATATCATTCTAAAGGAGGAGGATTGAATGAGCGAACTTTTGAGACCTGAGATAAAAAGGAAAAAGGTTAAAAAAGTTTATTATTTGCAAAAGTTAAGGGGAACGAAAGAAAGCAATAATGAGAGAGAATCCTGAGATTATGATTAAATAACAACAATGTACTGCAGAACAATCTGCTATCCGTCTCCTCAACAATCTATCTCCTTCTTAGTCTGGAAGCGACTCTACTTAGTCTGGAAGCTCATGCAGGATAACAGCATTAGTTTAATTCAAAGTTTCATATATTTTAAATAAGTGTATCTTTGAAGAAATATACTAGCGCTAAGAAATATACTTCCGTCGGACGAGGAACACAGTGGGACGAGGGAAAACTCGACATTGGTTAAAAAAAAATATTTTTTTTAGAACTCCAAACACGATTTAAACTGTTTTATTGAGACCTTCGGGAATTCATAAGAATATTTTTAGTTGGCAGAATATACATTTTTCACTATTTTTATTGAATAGTTCAATTGAAAACGTAGTCATTTTGTGGAATTTCGCACGATTTGTAGGTTTTGTCAAACTTCTTGGTTTGAGCTAGTGGTTCATAATTTTTTCTTCAAACTTTACCAACTTTTTACTGTCATTCTACTACTACTAGAAAACTAATATAATAATGTATACAACTTATCTTTTTCTTTATAACAGAATCTTTTTCCTTTTTTCTTAAGAAAAATAAATGTTTTAAATCAATTTTTTACCAAGACTGCTGTTGAAAATTGAAATCTATTAACTTTTTATGAGTCATTGATATAGAGAAATTTGTATTAATTCAAACCGCAATGATCCACTTGAATGTAGTTAAAAAATATTTTGTTATGTATGAACGTGCGAACAATTTCCAAGTATTGTACTAATATCTTCTATAACTTAGCATGCTCTCAAATTTAGTTTTAACAATTGTATTTAACACAAATAAAATAAGGTTATGTAGCTATTTGTTTCGAAAAATACCTCAAACCAAAATAATTAAAAAAAAAATACTATATATATATATATTTTATTATTTTTTTTTTTTTATTGATGATATTTACAACTAAAAATACAACATTAAATATTAAATCAGCATTTCAGAATTTTAAGTTGTTCTTACTAGACAATAAATAAACATCTATATTATTATTCAAATTGCAAATAACCATCGTTTATTTTTCGCTCTAATCTAAATAAATAAACAAACATAACACCGTTAAATGAACTAAGGTTTAAAATTAAATATAAGGTAGGGTCAATGGGTATCCGTTTAAGACAGGCTCAGGGAAAAAACAACTTTTATATACTAGTTCCACTAATATTATTGTCTATTTGTAATTAAATAAAATATTTTCAATCTCTAATCCTTATCATTTTTAAATGTCATTATAATTTCGTAAGGGTAAATTGAATGTGAAATCATTTGGTTTAACCTTTATGACATGATCTGTACCAGTTATTCTTAATATAACTTTCAAATTAATGCAAAGAATATGTATTTTTTTTATCGGAGGATGTGAAGAAGTTTCGATGGTGTTTAAAATATCATTATCGATGGTGTTTGAAATTTTATTGTAATAAAAATTAAAAAAAAACTTTATTATTCCATAAAAACCATTGTAAAATAAATATTTATAATTGATAAACGATACATTATTAGATTATATTTTTTTAATTATTACAAACAAATTATAATTATTATAATATTTAAAATATTACAATTATATTTTGTGTTTTATTGCGTTAAAAAAAAAAATTGAAAGTAACTATTATATGCACTAATAAAGACAGTAGTTCTAAATAGATTTCTAAAATTATGCGTTTCAAAAAATCTTTATTATTTTCGAAGTTAATTTATGGTCTAATTTTAAAAAACTCAGGTTTTAACAATGAAACCGTAATTTTGTACTTTTTTCGTGGAAATGTTGAAGATATATTTGTGTTCCTTGGCCTTCAAAATATAAGGGTACTAAATGTCAAGTTAATCCGACATAATTTACAAGTTCTAGGTCCATGTACACGAAAACCCGTCTTTCGTCCCACTGTGCGGCATGGCAGAGGTCAACCACTAGTCTATTGGCCAAACCATGGTGAACAACGAAAATGTTCTACCAGAATACAAAATAGCGGCCAATTGAAACTGGAGGTTTTAGATTTGTTTTTAATTATTTATTTATAAACTCTACAGTACTTGCTAATAAAAGCTTTTCATCAAATGGGTAACTAAAATTACAAATTTGGACCAGTATTATGTTCAAAACACGACAGAGTTCACTAATTTTGTTTTCATCCTCATATGATTGACAAACTGTTGTGTAGGGTCCTTAGCGAAGATCATTTAACACTACCTATCCAAGGCATAAGGTAGCAATTCCTATTACAAATCCTTTTTGGCTTTCCAAAGAACTTTCTTGCGGACGAGAGACCATCCTCCCATTACAGTGTAATTATCTAGGGTGACTATCAAACCACCTGTTCAGAAAAATATGATAAAAGTGAAGAAAAAAAAACTAAGGTGTGTGCCTTAAGTTGACAATAGATATTTTTTCTTCTTTATTCACAAATTAATAACATTTAAAATATATACAATTATAATTGTGTATAAATTACTCTAATAAAATTTGTTCTGACTAATCATCATACTGTAAAAATGATACAATAGGTTTATAATAACTAAAATTTGTGACGAATACTTTTGATTGAAATCTATTTGCTAAATATCTAACAAAATCTAAATGTATGTAATAGTATTGCGGTCGTAAAAATTTTCGAATCTGAGTTTTCAACGGAATAACCAAGCCCCGCAAAATGGTCCCTGTGTGTTTTGTATATTGATTACCGCAAAATGGTTCCGAATTCTCCATGGTATTTAAATTTTGAGATATTTTAGTCCAAATATTCAAAAGAGGCGTTATTAATTGTTGTTTTTTTTGGTGATATTATCTAATTATTATTTTTTCTATTCCCGGACTCTCTAATAATAAATAATATTAATATTATCTTTCCAAAGAAAGCTTGGATTGGTTTGGGCTAACTTAAAAAATCTCTCAAATGATAATTGAAGTTATATAATGAATAAAATTTGTTATTAAATTAATTTTATATTAGTGTTGAAGGATTTTATGTTTCTATAAAACAATTAGTTTTCATCCAAAACTTTCTTTAAATTTAAATAAACGAACGAAAAATAACTACCATATATTCTGCATTGTAAAACGAAAATCTGAATCGCCAATAAATTTTCTCTGGCCATCTACAGAGCATATAGCAACACCCCATTTATTAACATCAACACTTTCTAGATCAGGAAATTCATCTGACACCTAAAAAAGAACAAATAAATTTATATAAATAAAAAAAATAAATAAATAAGCTTCGTGATTCTTAAATAATCTACATTTTTTAGTTATGTTCCCTTTTGCAGTGCGTTTAAATTAAAACTAATATATCTGTGTAGCAATGCTATACTTGGCCTGTTATGTTTGATTTTAATGAATCATATAGTGCTTCAACAGTTCCCGAAAAATCCATGAAATCTTCTATCTTCAATCTTTTAGTAACACAACCAGAAATAAGCTTTCTTCTGGGCTCGACCAATCTGGTAAACAGGAAAACAATATCTAAAAATTATAATTTTATCATGAAAAGAAAAATAATATATAATGATATTTTTTCTAATATCTCTTATAGTCCGAAATCTGAGATAAAATTTTGTCTTATTCGAAGCAAACTTTTGCAATCCATACCTATAAAATATTCACCTTCAGTATTAAATTTGGAATGGTATGTCAAATAAAACGGGGGCGTTTTATAACTTTTCTTGATAGATAACGGACTATGGCGTCTTCTTTGACCTGAATATATCTTTTTGTGAAAAAATACAACAAAACTCTTATTAAATATCTTCAAAATATCCACTGTTAAAGGGAAATAAAATTTGATTTTGAATTTTGTTTGCCACTCTTGGAACTCCCTCTTAATTTTGGCAGACATTTATTTTTTTAGGACATGGGCAGGTTTTTGTGTGGTTGGAATAAAATAAATATTCAAATATTGTAATATTTTTAGTTATTTGTAACCTGATTTCGATGGGCGCCATTTTCAAACTCATCATCTTAGACGCAATTTTATTTGTTTTGTTTTTTTTAACACCAACCACCTCACCGAGTTTCTGTTAAAGAGGGACTACCGTATAAACTATTTTGCAGTATAAATGCATGCAGTGTAAAATAACGTAGTAATTTAAGTAAGTTGATGAATTACTATTATTTAGCAATAATATGTTCACAATACGTTTAAAAAATCTTTGGACATTGAAAGAAAAAGTTTTGAGCAGTTCAAGTACTTAGTCAACTTTGAGAGCTGATTGGCACAGACAAAATATTGTTTTTAATAAATAAATATAGTTAACAAATAAATTACAGATTCATTAAGTAAAAAATCTTATTTAATAGATATTTTGGCATAACTTTATTGTTTCACCTGTAGAATTCATCGAAAGTCACCGCTACATCTTTGAAACATCCAAACTCACCAAATTGGCGACACTTATTCATAAAATCTTGTAACCGATAATCCCTCTCTATTATTACTCCTTCTGCCTTTATTTTCTGTCAAAAGAGATTATAATAATATGATTGTAGTAACATTATAATGCAAAGAACGCCGAGTATTAAATTTTAATCATCATTATTGCAAATATTACTCATGCCTTTTAGTTACCCATTTGTGATTCATAGGCAGAGTAGGGTTAAAAATAAATTTTAATAGTTAAAAACTACAATTCGCTAACTTTTAGTTCTAATAAACATAAAATTTAGCCGTTATTTATCGTTGACATACAATTGATTTCTTGACAGACAATTGATATAACGAGGTTAATTACATCTAAGGAATCTACTGCAGTTTGATTTGATGATTTACCAAATTAACCATTTCGTTGTTTTGATAGAGGCACAATTCACAAAAACAGATTTTTTTTACAAATTTTGTAATTGAAGTATTAAAATAGTAAAGTTTGATCATAGAGAACGGCACATCCTTACTGTTTCTAGTTAGACTTGGAGAGCTGTTGTGCAATCATCAGACTATACCTGCATCTTCACAAGCTTAAGCCTATTTGGTTCATCCTGGTCAAGCGTATTTTTTTTTCATGTTTCTCCACTATCAATACATAGCAACAAATTCACTTAATTTTGAAGTTTAAACAATGAATTTTATTAATATCGTCCAAAAATTTTTTAATAGAAATGAATTAGAAGCCTGAAACATCAGAAGCGCGTGATTTACAACTTGAACTTATCGTAATGCACCAAGGAGCATCAGGAGCAGCTGAAAATCAACAATAGATATAACATCCTTGACAGCTTCACCAAGCAACCAGCATTCATCATTAAAATAGTTTCCGTTTGGTAAAATAAGAAACAGGACTGATGTGCTAGTGGTAGTGTTAGATTACGGAAGAACACAGGATTATAGAAACCAGCAAGAGGTTCTTATCGGTCCTACGAACAAAGTTTATATTGTCTTCCTCTGAAGAAATTTTTCTAAATAACAGCCCAAGCTCGATACCGATGTTTATAAAAGAAAAAAAAAATGTCTTCCTTATGCTTGGTATGATTTCTCCCAGCCAGCAAAGAAAAATGTAGTGAGATAAGAACATTAATTTTATGCAGATGCAGTCAAACGGAAAAAGTAGTGTCAGGCAAAAACCGTTGGGTTGGCCTCTCTGTCAAATGATTTTCCTATTTTCGCCAATTAAGGTAATGCCTTATTATAGTTTATTGGATTAGATTTATTAATTAATTCTTAGAATAATTTAACTTAGAAGTTTATTTATAAAGTGGAAGACATTGTTTGTGTGGAATATAATCTATCAAGAATATATGAAAGAAATAAAAATCATAATAATCAAATACCTGAAATAGTTTTTCCAGTGGAACCTTATTATCTTCATTTTTAAGTTGAACATACATAACGTTGATAACTTGATCTTTTTTTAAAAGTCTGAAAAACATATAAATACTAAAACAAGGAATCACAGAAGACTTTTCAATAATTGAAATGATTGAAATTCTATTTTGCTATTTAGTAGCTGTTTAGTTGTTTTAATATTAAAAATTATAAATTCTAAAACAAATTTGTTAAAAATAATTGTGATTAATTTATTATTCACAATTTCCATATAAAAAAATCAGTGTTTAAAAATCGAAAGTTTGGTTCTACGTGCTAACGATAAAAACGTCTACCAAGCAAGGTATAGCTTCCTCACCATTTTCATTTTTTTAAAAATATCTATATTATTATTATTATTATTATTAATTTACTCTATAGTTCTTGGCAGCTATTCTTCTACATTGTCTGATACTCATGCGGCTGAGGTCCTCCTCCAAGTCGTTGTTCCACCGCAGCCGGGTTCATAGTCCCTAAGAGTTGCTCCATCTGGGCGCTTACAGAGAAGTTTCCTAGGCAACCTATTCTCCTCCATTCTCTCTACATGGTCTAGCCATCTGAGCCGGCTTCTTTTGCCAGTGGCTACAATATCGTCGTTTTTATTCAGCTTTTAGAGCTCGTTATTTTTCCGTATTCTCCACTGGTCATTTATTTTCTTCGGATCGTATATTTTCGTTAGGACTTTTCTCTACCAGATAATCAGCAACCTCTCACTTTCCTTCCTCAATCCATGTTTCACACCCATAGGTAACGACTGACTTTATAATGGTTTTAAAAATTATTACTTTTGTATTCCAGGGCAGTTCCTTGGATTTTAGTATTTTTGCCAGATAAAAAAAAAACTTATTGCCAGCTATTATTCTGGCTTTTATTTCGGTCTGAATTTTGTTCTGATCAGTCACTATCACTCCGAGGTATTTGAATTATGTTTCCATTGGAATAATGTGCTGATTAATTTGAACATATTCATACATAGCTACATTATTTCTAGAGAGCTTCATGTAAAGACTTTTTCCTTCATTTATCCTCCGGCCAAGTTGCATTGATGTCGCAACGAATGTTTCGATAGATACCGCAAGGGCCGACAATGTGTGAGAGCTGATAAGAATATCGTCTGCGTATGCAAGACATTGAGTAAGTCGATTGAATATAGTCCCTCCAGGATTGGTCTTTATTGCTCCAATAGCCCGATCCAGGACTAGATTAAAGAGGACTGGCGATATAGGGTCTCCCTGCTTCAACCTCTGATTAACCTCAAAGCTGTTTAAGAGGACATTTTGAATCTTGACTTTACATTTGGTATCTCTTATCGTCATCTCTTTCAAGACAATGAGTTTTTAGGAATTCTCAGGTATAAATTTTTAGAAACCCATTTTTTCTGTAATTCCTTTCTGTCTATAGAATAATACACCTGCTTGAAATCTATAAAGACAATGTAAAGATCCACGTTACGTTCGTACGTGTTTTCCAGCATTTGTCTTACACCAAAGATGTGATCTACTGTTGACCTATTTTTTCTGAAACCACATTGATAGCCTCCGCAAATTATTTCTCCCCATGATGCTAGTCTCTTACTATTAGTAATGGAAAGGACTTTATATATTGTTGGCATTAGTGCTATTCCTCTGTAGTTATCGTAGTTCAACTTGTCCTCGTTTTAAAAAATAGGACATATAACTGCAGTGTTCCATTCTTCAGGTATGGTTTCCTGCACCTGGATCGATCGATCGATGAGGTCGTAGAGCTGCTTTACTTCCTTTTTGTTTTATTTTTTATTTTCAATTTATTTTACTCCTCCATTGTTCGGTAGTTCTGCTGGTGATTTGTTGTTCGTTAGAGACATTATTATCCTCTATTCCTTCTTTTTCCGGCGGTATTTCCTCTTCCCCACATATGTTTTCTCTATTACAAGCGTTTTTCTTCATTAATCAGTTCTATGTTTCCTTGATTTAATAATTCGGAAAAGTATTCCATCCAGCTATTTAATATGTCGTTTCTCGACTCCTTTTATCTTTACAATAGTTTAGATGCGGTTAAAAACCGTTTCTTGCATTTCTTACTCTTTTGTAAAATATCCTATTTTCTTTTGGTGGATACTACTCTTATATATCTTTTATGATTTCGCTTTCCCAAGCTCTCTTTTTCTTTCGACAAATTTCTTTGACTCTTTTTCTTTGTATTGTATAATTTTCGTTTGTCGCTCTAGTTGTCCTCTTCAAATATTTGGCTCTTGCGTCATCCCTCTCTCCAATTGCTTGAATATATTCTTTATTAAACCATTCGTTTCTTTCTTTCCTTTGTATATATCCGAGCACTTCCATAGCAACCTCATTCAACACCGTCCTTATTCTCCGCCATCGCTTTTCAACCGTATGCTCTTCTACATTGCTGTCAGTTAATCTTTGAGTGACAGTTCTTTCAAACGCCTCTTTAATTCTCTCGTTCTTTAGGCCATCCCCGTGTAACAATCTCCGCGTTTCTTTTCTGTTTTTGCACTCGTTAGATATCCTCTGTTTGTATTTAGTTCCTACCAAGAAATGATCCGTATTATAGTCCGCCCCTCTAAAACTATGGACGTCTAGAATATGTGATTTGTGCCTTTCATCTATTAAGACATGATTGATTTGATTTCTAGTGTTCCCATCTGGTGACATCCAAGTTTCTTTTTGGATTTCTTTTGTGGAAATATGTACTACTTATTCCAAGTCCCCTAGCTGTTGCAAAATTAATCAGTGTGATTCCATTTTCGCTTGTTATTTCATGCTTGCTATATTTTCCAATAATAGGAATAAAACCATTTTCCTTTCCGATTTCGGCATTTAAATCACCCAATAATATTTTTGGATTATACTTGAATAGGTCATCATATGCTTCTTCTAGTGCTCCAGTAAACAAATCTTTTTCTTCTTCATCTTTATCTTCTGTCGGAGCGTGTGCGCTGATGAGGGATATATTGTTGAATTTTCCTCTTATCCTAATGCAACATTCATTCATTTATGTTTTAATACTCATTAGGGCATGCCAAATCGAGTTTTTGATAGAGAAACCCTCCCCCAGCAAGTTATTTCTCCCTGTGGTACCGCTATGAATCACGGTGTATTCCTTCAGGTTGACTATTTCTGTTGCTTTCTATCTAATCTCCTGCAAATCCACAACATCCATCTTATACCTCTATAGCTCTCACTCCAATACTTTACTAGCGCCAGGTTGGTATTTATATTACGAGGTCTAAAATTATTTGTATGAGAATGGAGTTCCTGAAAGAAGCGGTTTTCAGAAATTCAGCAATCCCTCAACATATACAGACTGATAAACAAAACTCGTGGATATCAATAGGAGTTTTTTTTTTTATCAGCAAATACTAAAATGCGTCTGTTGTGTTTTCCGCTTGCCCCCTAGTTTGAAACTTTTCATTCCGAAAATTCATAAAGCCGTCGAATTGTGCCTCTCCCAAAAGTTCAAATTCCTGTCAAAATGTGCCTTCCACCAAAATTTGGACGGTGTGACTTGTGCCATGAGCCTCCTTCTCATCTGCTGGGGGCATCGATGGCTATGTTTAGTGATATAATATGTAAAAAAAAAAAATAGCCAGGGCTCATATTTTTCAGTGATAACGACCGTAAGCTTCCTGTGAAATGAATCTATAGTTTTACTGTATTTATTCAACTGTATTCATTGTGTGGATCTTCATTACTTTTTCCTGTAAGTAAATAATGACAATAGTAATGGTAATGACGCATCGGACTGATATTGGTTGTATTCACTCCAAAAATAGGTATTCTATAAATCATAATAAGAATAAGTGAACGTGCATTTTTTTCCTTTATGATTTATCTTTTATTTCTCAATTAGAATTTTGATTCAAGTTGTTTCCAACACATAGACTATCTCTTAGTGCAATTGAATGTATAGAAATCAATGAAGCAATTGATGTTTTTCTGTTTTCCCTAATGCCACACTCTTGCGGGCGAGTTATAAACAATTACCTATTTTTTAAACTTTATATACTCCGAAATAATTTTTCACATTATTCAAAGTATTATGACCATGCAGAAAGAGATTACATAGATAGGTTAGGAAAAAACATTAAAACTCTGATGGAACTACTACTTAGGTGAAATGATAGTATTTCAAGACTAATTGATATCGATTTATTTCATAAAAAAATGAAATAAAATAAGTAAGTTATTAATGTTAATGGTTGCTAAAAAAAAATTCTATATACTACAATTAATTTATGGTAAGAATATAACATATCATCTGATACTTTTTCGATTCCTCTTCCTTTGACTGCGAATCCTTTGAATCAGTCATATTTATTCTGTCGGTAAAATCGAGTTAAAAATTAGCAATTATACTAGAAACTCACAAAAAAAACATACACTTTATAACCCGTTATAATAAGAAATATCACATGTTATTTAATTATTTTTAATATCGTATAAATATCTTTCTTCATTCATTATTTGATGCAGGAATGCCTGTTTTTAGAGAAATCCATTTCTCTAAGTATTCAATGACTACTTCTTGTTTGAAAAATTTCGCATCATCGAGGGGCGTAAAACCCATGCTGGAATGAAATAATAAAAATCTTTACAAAGCCAATTTAATATTAATAATTTATTATAAATTATTCTAACATACATTATTATAGTTTGAATTTATTAATTATTGGATATATGGCGATTAACATCATTATTTACTCCAACTAAGAAATTGGTAATTCTATGTATCTATCTATTATACACAGATTGGGAAGATCGAGATTTTTGTAGTTAAGATACTGTAGCTCCGTTTTTACTTCGTTTTTTTTTTTTTTTTTTTTACTGTCGCTATGAAATATACTAAATATGCTAAATTGGGTTAGCAAATGAGTCCCAAAACAGCAAATAAGGTTTTTCAGTTTATTTTTATGTCACTATGATACACCTCCTATCTGATGAAATAATCCCTAATGTGGATTGTTTATCCTGTTTGTAATATGTCAACAACTATATCTTTTAACTCTTGTTGAAACTAGTTTAGTATTGTGTTTGCTATTGCACTGTGAATATGGAAGATAATATCATTCATTATCGGCATATTTTGATGTATTATTTTAAAAAAGATAAGCGTGCTGCAGAAGCTCATAGAAAAATTTATAGTGTTAATGGAGATGTTGCCTTAATCGAACGCACCTGTCAAAATTGGTTTGCCAAATTTCGTTCAGAAAATTTTGACAATGATGCTCAACGGTCTGGCCGAACTCTTGAAATTGAAACGAGTTAATGCAATGTTATAGCCATTGTTGATCAACATCCCACCCAATCAGTGCGAAAGATTGCTATGACCCTAAATGTATCGCTCACAAGCGTAGATAACCATTTGCACAAGCTCGGCTATGTTTCCAGACTTAATGTTTGGGTCCCTCTCTCCCTTACCGAAGTCAACATGACAACATGCATTTCTGTTTGTGATTTACTACAGAAACGGCTAAAAAACGGCCATTTTTGAAAAGGTTGGTTACAGGAGATGAAAAATGGATATTTTACGTAGTGAACTAGTAGTGAGGTTCATAGAAGGATTCCAAAACCCGGATTGCATCCAAAGAAGATAATGCTTTCCATATGGTGGAATTTCAAGGGTATTATTTTCTATGAGCTATCGCCATCAGGACAAACAATGGATTAAACTCTATACTGCTCACAATTAACAAAATTTGATCAAGCAATTAAAAATAAACGTCCCGAACTGGCAAATCGGAGGGGCGTTGTGTTCCACCAAGACAATGCCTAGGCCCCACACCTCTCATTGGTCACTCGCAATAAATTATTGAGCCTTGAATGGAACCTTTTGCCCTACCCCCTTCCTAATTCACCAAACCTAGCTCTAAATTACTATCACTTATTCCAGTCTCTGCAGAACTCCAGGAATGGAAATGCAATTCCAAAAGGAAGAAGACATAAAAAACCACTTGGATCAGTTTTTTAACAATTAACTCCAGACATTCTATGAACGTGGCATTATGCAGTTAGTGGAAAGATGGGGAAAAGTCATATTAAATAATGGTTAATATATTGTAGATTAAAATAAATTATACGTCTGTAATATATTCACTTTAATCATAACCAGTCGAATCACGGAATACGCCGAGGAAATTATCGGAGACTACCAATGCGGATTTAGACGGAATCGTTCGACTATTGATCACATATTTTCTTTACGGCAAATATTAGGGAAAAAGTTGGAGTATAACGGTATTGTACACCAGCTGTATATAGATTTTAAAAAGGCTTACGATTCTATTGACCGCCAGAAACTGTATAATATTCTAATCGAGCAGGGGATTCCAAAAAAACTATTAAATCTAGTCAGGATGTGCTTGACGGAGACACTCAATAAAGTTAGAATCGGTAATAATTTGTCCGAAAAATTTGAGGTTCGTTCGGGCTTAAAACAAGGGGATTCTCTTTCGCCTGTCCTGTTCGATTTGGCATTAGAACATGCCATTAGGGAGGTAATGCGAACCGAGAAAGGGTTGGATCTGGGCGGGACAACATCCGTGCTGGGCTATGCTGATGATCTGGTACTGTTAAGCGAAGACGTTGAAACTATAAAACTAAATACGACAACGTTAATGAAAGCCGGTAAAGAACTAGGACTCGAAATAAACGTGGATAAAACAAAATATATGATTAGCTGCAAAAATGGCGATACTACTGGTGATATCGATATAGATAGTAATATGTTTGAACAGGTAGATAAATTTAGGTATCTAGGTTCTACGATAACTAGAAAAAACGAAATTGAAGAAGATATTAACGTTAGACTGAAGGCGGGAAATGCTTGTTATTTTTCTGTGACAAAACTACTTAGTTCGCGCCTCTTGTCCCGGAACTTAAAAATTAGAATTTATAAAACAATTATCTTGCCTACAGTTCTTTTTGGATGCGAAACTGGGCCGCTTACATTAAGGGATGAGCAGCGTCTTAAGGTTTTTGAAAATTTTTTGAAAAGACCGAAGAAGGATGAGTTAACCGGAAAGGTCATACGGTTACACAACGCCGAATTGCGTGAGCTGTATCCGGGTAATATAATTGAGGTAATTTCATCGCGGCGAATCAAATGGGCTTGTAAAGTTGTTGGGCTTAGTAACGAAAGAATTCCTAAAAGGTTAATATTTGCTGTGCCGAATGGTAAGCGTCCGAGGGGTAGACCGAAGCGAAGGTGGGAAGATTGCAATAAAGCTGATCTGAAGGGACTGGGTTTGGACGGCGAACGGTGGAGGGAGGTGTGTAACAAGCGATTGGTGGTGTCGACATCGAACCTTCGGGTTTGCTAAGCCTTATTATTATTATTATTATTATACGTCTGTAATAAAATAAGTTTTATTTGAACCTGAAAAAGCGAAAGGACATATTTTCCAACCCAATATATAAAAGTAATAAAAAAACTATACTTTCGTTGACTATGTTGAACGGAAATAAGCCAAGTATTTATGATTTTTTTTTCTTGCATGAAAAATTCATATTTTAATTGCTATAAGTATAGTTAGTATACATGTTTTAATAGTATCACCATCTACAAAATACACTTAATTTCACGGATTTTTCGTAGTTCACTCTGTTAAGTGGTTGGAATTTTAATAGCATTTTAAATTGTTTATTTCAAATTAAACACAGGACTTCTATTAAAATAAAAAAAAAAAACAATTTGAAGTTAATATGCGAACTGGATTAAATATTATATTTATATTATATATCTAATTGGTTTCTATATTACAATAAACTAAATCTTTATTAGGAAAACAACTTGGTCTGCTTGAACACTTTAAACATCTCCACAATAGATTATGACAAAAAGTTGCGGTTGGTAGAGCTAAACTATATGTCTATAGACTACACTTCCTCTATTTCCTACCTTTCCTACTGGGGTATTTAAAATATAAATAGTAATTATAGCCTTACGGGTCTTTCTTCTCAAGCATGTGTGGACACGACTGCATGAAAAACGACACACACTGCATATTTCCTGCAGCTGCAGCATCGTGGAGAAGATTTCTTCCCAAATAGTTGACAAGGCATAGTTTGGTGTCGTCTGTTATCATGCTGGATGGAAATTAATACAAATTTATTTTTGAAGTAACATCCATTTTTACTTATTTTGTTTATTGATGAAAACATAACACTTAAACTGTTATGAAATTCGTAATCGGTAAAATGCTTGAATGTTTTGACAGGGACTCATCACGGGAAATGAATTAGCTTACTGAATCTTTCGGCCACTATCTCCATAATCGTTAGTGTGGCCTGCAAGGCCTTCATGAGTGTTTAAGTGTCTTTGACTGCGGATTTGTGTTGTAAGCCATTGTAATTTTCTTTGTTTCCAATTGATGAAATTTCTAAGTATTTATGTATAAGAGTGTTTGTTAGACTAAACATGTTATCACTGTGTGTCAACTATTCCCCTTAATACTTTCAAGTGCGTGAATTCTAGAGTTTTTAGGAGACACCCAGTTGTGTTCCGTAGGATTGGTGGTATTAAAGAATGTATTGGACAAAATCCTCAAAGGTCAGAGTATATAAAACTTTGATTCGACCTGTCTTAAAGTATGGCGCCAAAACTTGGACACTTACAAGGACTCAGGAACTGGAACTGTCCAGGTTTGAACGAAAGATCTTGAGAATAATTTATGAGGCTGCAAGTGTTAGTAGAGACAGGAGAAGAAGAAGAAACCTGAACTATAACGATATACAGCGACTTAGACGTGGTCGATGTGATTAAATACTCGCGATTGCGATGGGTATACCAGGCTAAGATGAGCCCAGAGGAAATCCCGTTTAAAGTCCTATCGGAGAATTTATTTGGAAGTCGAGAGTCAACCAGCAACCAGTGTACATCGCATCCTAACGGTTTCTAATGGTTTTTAACGGTTTTCCATATTGTTTGTTTGTTTGTTTACTCCTCGTTTTTGTGTACTCCTGTACTATGTGAGGTTATTAGCGAGTGATAAACAGTGATCCGTTAATGCGAGTTAAAACAGTATTTCCCTTAGACAGTCGACTTAAGTTAGACAATGTCCTTTTGTAACCGGTTACATTGCGTGTAACCGGTGACAGGTAACCAGTGTCGCCGACTCGTATCCATTTCTGACCAGCGACTATTCGGACGAAAATGCCACATTCGGACGAAGCACAAAGGGCGCCTCTACCACCATATGAGGATTCCGATATAGATGGCGCCACTAGCGGAGAATGGAATGACGTATTACGTCGCTCCCAGAGGTCGAAGGAAAAGGCCAATAAGAAGCCGCCTGCAATTACAACCTCAAATCAGTATGCCGTCCTAGCCACTCAACCTACACAAGAAAATACGGAAGATAATGCAACCACCTCAAAGAAGCCAACAGTTTCGCCTGTAGTTATTACGAGAAAATACACTATCAAAGAACTACAAAGATTCATTGTCAAAATAAAAAACTACTTAATCCAGTTCACAAGAAAAGACACAAGAATATTATTGGAGTCTGCCTCTGATCTACCAACCCTAAGAAAACACTTAGACAACTGTGGCATAGGATTCCACACATACTCCGCAAACTCATACCGGAAACCATCAAACAAATTCATAATATAACAATTAGATACAACCATTCCACTGACGGATGTTAAAAAGGCGAAGCAACATCTTAATATCATCGATTTAAGAAGATTGCAGCGAACAGCAGCTGATGGCACTAAAACCACCCTAACACCGATAGTAGTCACCGTGCCATCGTCAATATCATTAAAAGATATAGCAATGGTGAAGCATGTAAACAGGTGTATTTTCCACGTAGAGATATACAAGCACAGGAAAGAGATAACAGCACCTCAGTGCTTCCGGTGTCAAAGATTCGGACACACCAAAAATTATTGTGGGCATAAACCAGTGTGTGTAAGATGTAGTGGGGAACATCTTATAGCTCAGTGCCCAAGAACTACAGAGCCCAAATGCATAAACTGCGAAGGAGCCCACGTAGCATCTTACAGAAGATGCCCAGTCAGACGAGAAATAGAGGAAAACGTAACAAAACGAAGACAGTTAAAAACAAAAGCGGAAGAGACTCCAAAGGCGACAGCCACACCCCTCTTAACCAGACCTTGGCATTCAACCAATGATAAAATACACCAGCACACCACCACTCACCGGCAAGCCCCATCACCACAAAACCACGCACAACCACCACCACCACCAGTTATCAATGAGACACCCAATGAACATACAAACAACTCTACATCGATCACAATAGACCAATTGATGAGCGTTATTCACTCACTAGCAAACCAAGTTGCAGCCCTAGTTCAGATACTCACCATTCAAAACACAAAGCCATGAATAGTTTCTCAATAATTAATTACAATTGCTGTGGCATCAGTACAAAAATTGAAGAGATAGAAGCACTATTGGCGTTAACACAACCTACCGTGGCTGTCCTCACAGATACCAGGCTGCAGGGAAGACCACCACACTTTACTGGCTATTCAACCACCACAGACAATACCCATGACCCGCATGGAGGGGTGATGATTGCGGTGCGCCATGGTATCCAGTGGAAGAAAATGCCGGAGCCCATGACGACTTGTGACAGAAAAATTAGTCATCATACGGTGCAAATTTTGATGAAGCAGCCCACTTACATCACAGGCTACTACAGAAGACCACGCGGGTCCACCAAGGAAATGAAATTATTTCTCAATAAATGTGCGGACAGAACAAACCACTGGCTAGTGGGTGATTTCAACGCCAGGCTCACCCACTGGCATAACCCCAACACAAACGAAGCAGGGAAAATAATCACAAAAACGCCATTCACAGTTGTACACCCTGACTCCCACACTTTCTGCCATTTCGGAAGTGGGGCCACCTCCACACTAGATCTTCTCCTCACGCCCTGGAGTTTCTCTCTTCGGTACACTACACTGTCCAAGGAAGACCAGAAGAACCCCTGAAGAAAAAGTTCAGATATCAGAATGCGGATTGGAAAAAAAATAAAAATGAAGTATACCACAGACTACCGAAGATGCCGTCCCTACACACTAAAGAACAAGTAGACAGCTATATTGAAGACTTCACAGAAATCGTACTCGAGGCAGCAACACAGACTATCCCCACCTACTACCCGCCGCACATCCTCACACTAATTGAAAACCGACACACACTGAAAAATAGATGGTACCGCACAAGAGACCCAGACATCAAAACAGCCCTCAACGCCCTCACCACCCAAATCAGAAACCTCTTACGGCAATGGAAGACAGCCATGTGGCACGACCAACTGCATGCAACTCACGGTGACGTTAACAAGTTTTGGAAACTCACCAAAAGTGCAACGACAAAGTCATCGACCATCAGACTACATGACGGGGACAAAATTCTATCACCGGCACAACAAGCAGAACGACTCGCGGAATATTATAAACATGATATAATAGCCCGGACTCTTGTTGCCGAGACCCCACAAATGACAAAAGAACATAACTACATGTTTACAAGCCCCAAACAGATAAAAACTATTCTGAGAAGAACAAACGGAAATCGTGCCCCTGGCCACGACGGAGTCCAGACAATTCTCCTAAAACAGCTACCCAAAAAAGCCTTAGCGCATCTTACAAACCTGTTCAATTCTTGCTTACGAATGAGATATTTCCCGGAGAAATGGAAACATGCAATACTGTTTCCATTGTTAAAACCAGCCAAGAAAGGGGATAAAGAAGAACATTATAGACCAATCAGCCTTATACCACATCTCGCAAAGGTCTATGAAAAAATTATCCTTAATTATCTGAAAGACATTTGTGAAGAAAACGCGATAATTCCCTACGAACAAACTGGCTTTCAGGCACACCTCAGTACTGAACATCATCTTATGAAACTCCAATCCGATGTGTATAGAGACCTCAACAAGAATACAGCGACTGCTATGATCTCTATAGATTGCACGAAGGCTTTCGACTCCGTCTCCCACGGCTTTTTATGTCGCCAACTCGTGGATCTCGGATGCCCCGAGCAACTGTATGGCATCATAGTCTCCTTTCTAAACAATCTCAGCCTAGTTGTAAGAGTTCGTAACAACCTATCCAGAACAATCCACCTGACATGCGGAGTACCACAAGGGGGTGTCCTATCCCCTGTGTTGTTCTCCATCTACACTGCAGAGATAGTAGGCCACAACTACAAAAAAGCGACAATCGCTGCCTATGCGGACGATATTGCTATTTATAGCAGTAGCATAAGCCCCAAACAAGCTCTACTAAACACCGAAGCTACATGCCAGGAAATTGTTCGAAAACTCTCACATCTGAACATCAATGTAAATCCAGAAAAGACAGTCTGCGTGGTGTTTGCCTTTCAGAAATGAAAGAAATCAAAACTTCCACGCACTTTCACCGTAGCCGAAACAATAATGAGCACATCAAACTCCATCTTATACCTAGGTATAAAACTTGACGGCCATATGACCTTCTCAGCTCACTGTTACTCAAAGGTCCGCACAGTCCGAAGAAAATCCTACAGGCTGCACCATCTATTATTATCACCACTTCTTTCACTCCGCCTAAAAATTAAAATATACAAATCCATACTTAGACCAGTCCTACTATATGGAGCCCCGCTCTTCACCCATCTCAGAGAAGGAACACAACGACATCTACAACAATTTTAAAATTCAATATTGAGGAAAATAGTCCGTACCACATCACTGAAGAAAATGAAGATGGAAAAACTACACGAATTCTTTGAACTTCCCACAGTTCCAGAATTCATCAGACGTAGGCACATCAAATTCTTCGACTCACTTCAACTGACTACCAACCCCCTCTTCAAGACATTAACCCCAGCACCAGCCCCTGTTAGATGGCAGCAAGCGGTAATAGAAATAGATTAGTTTTAAGAAATAGATTTAGAAAGTAATATTAAGCGAAAACCAAATCAAAAAGTTAAACCACGCCCCAGTGCTCAGAAATAACATTAAAAATAAAATAAACTAATAAGAATATGAAAATCAAAAACTCCTTAAAATGTAGTCTTACTACAGTAAAAGAAGAAACGTCAGAAAATTAAAAGAGCAAAACTTTCAAATGTTTTGGTTAGGGTCAAATGGTCAATTGGGTCAAATGGGTTTGGAAAACATAAAAAATAAAAATCTATTTGGAGCACGGAAGGTTGAACGCCCTAGGCTACGATGGGAAGACTGTGTTGCTACCGATGCATTATCGATACTTGGTATTCGCAACTGGCATAAACAGAGATGAAAGGTGGTCAATGCTGGAGCAGATCAAGACTCAGCGTGTGGGTCGTAGAGCCGTATAATAATAATAGCAACACTATATTAAATGTTTACACATAATAAACACTCCCACCATATTTTTTCATCCATTGCACCCCCAATTACAATCGAAAGTCAGCGTAAATAAAACGTTTAGTTAATTGTAAACTATTTAAACTAAAATTGTTGTCAATGAAACAAACAAAAGGGAGTAAAAAAAATTAAATATTACTTATTATAGAAACAAACCAGTTGCTATTAGAAATTTCAGTAAGTTATCGTGTTCATTAATTGTATGTTAACTATCGTTAGTATAAAATGAAATAAAAATCCAATTTTATGCGTCTTACCCACTCATAATGAAAACAAATATTTCTGTATGTTCAATGTTAGTTTATCAGTGTAAAATAAATCATTTAGGTTATTTTCGCATGATTTCATTTCATTTCATTTCTAAGTACACATTTGATGTATACAAGTTGAATATTAAATTCAAGTAATGGAATTTTCACCTTGCTAAATCGACGGCAGTTCCACTGCTGGCAATGGCGTAGAGGACGCAATGCCATTGGCATGGCTTCAGGACTTTGATACTTTTCCTTTCTTCGGTCTCTTTTTCGAGGCGTGACTTAACATGAAATATGTTGAGGTTGTAGTGATAGGCAAGGGCCTAAAATTGAATATGATTGATTATCTTCGTTTTTGTAATTATAGTTTATTTTTAATTTCTGCTATTTACATTTAATTTTATTTAATACTAGCTGTACCCGGTCAGGCGTTGCTGTGGCTGAGTCTGGTTGAATAGACACATAAATAAAAAATCTGGTGAGCGCAACACACAACTTTCATTTACCGCGCAACTTTAAATAGAAATTATTTTCTGGCCATGCTGAGCTATTATAAGATTTTTGAATTGCATTTTTAACTGAGCTAAAGCTAAAAAAAGTAAAGCTAAAAAATCAAATAGACCATTAAAATAACAAAAGTCCTATTAATTATATCACCGATTGATTGTGGATTTTACGACTATTAGTTATTAAACTGCTACTTGCCATTGCAAAGTTTACTAAAACGGAATTAAGAGATTTGCATTGTCTGTCATAGATAGGTCAAAACTGGCCAAACAAATTGTAAGTGGATACTGTTGGAATATCAAAGGAAATTTCATCAAACTATTCACTAATTGAATTTTCTAAAAGGTTACATGATGATTTTCTCCTTTATTCCATTATCAAATTCTTTCAAAAGTTATATTTAGAATTTTTCGTAACTCTTAAAAATGAGAGATAGTTATTTATTTAAAATAAACCATATTAAAGCTACTTTAGATGAAGACCCATATGGACATTAGGCATTTAAGCTCTGTAAAGTGACATAAATGGTTATAAGGCCTAAATAATATTAAAAACCACTTAATCATACGATGACACACCGAGTTTAATCAATATCGTTAGAGCCGTTTTTGAGAAAATTGTAAAAATGTATTTCACCGTTGACATGAAGTTGCACTTCCGGTTAGCCGATTTTAAGGAAAAAGTTGCTGTCACATCTAAGGCATATATATACCTATCTTAAATACGTATTATCAGTTTCGTACTACTTTTCGTTTTTGAGCTAGAATGCTAACATACAAACACACAGACATATAGACACACAGACCATCTTTTGGGACTTCTTAGATTCAAAAATTTTCACGATCGCAGTACTTACTGTATATTACATATATACGTAAGTGAAAGTAAAAAGAAAGCAGATGTTTCTAATACATTTTATTTCACAATACTTCTGGATATGCGATATTTTTTGTTGTTCCATTTTTTATACATTCACTGACAGGTAAAAAAATTCCACCCACTTGATTTTTTCATGTTTCATCTAAAAATATTTCTGCTTTGGATTGGTCTATTGTTTTTAATGAATAAATAAGTAATCTTTTTGTTTTTTTTTCAATTAGGAATGTTAATATGGAGGACAATAACCCTTAATCCTTAATTCAATGAAATGATTATAGATTCCAATGTTTACTTTCTGTGGAATCAAAATGTTTATTCAGTATCATTAGTTCAGCGCCGTTTCTTGCAGCACATTTCTTAGTCTCCGGCTTTTAATTTTTTCAATATTAAGTTTAAAAATGCCTCTTAGTGCTGAGGGTGTTGCGCGTAGTGTGGCACTTATAGATGATGGACGCTCCATTAGATATGCAGCTAATGCCATCGGAGTTCCATATGAAACTTTGCGAGACGCCGTCAGGCGTTTTCGGGAAACTGGTTCTTACAATAGAATGCCCAGTTCTGGACGGCCTAGGGTAACAAAACCACGGGATGACCTGTTTTTCACTTTGAGAATTTTACGAAACCGGCACCTTACCGTTGTTCAAGCGATTCATCAGCTCGAAGAAATTCGAGGTGTACAAATTTCTGAACGTACCGCTCGGAGAAGATTAAATGAGTATGGCTTAATGGATTTTCGTCCAGTAAGAGGACCAGAACTCACAGAGTAACACGGCTGGGTTTTGTTCGAGAACACAGCCATTGGACTATCGATGAATGGAGTGTTGTACTTTTTACAGATGAGTCAAGATTCGCTCTTCGATCTCCAGACGGGCGTGAAAGGGTGTGGAGAAGAAGAAACGAAAGATATGCAGCCTGTAATTTTTCCCAGAGCCAACCTTTCCAACGTGGTTCCTTAATTGTGTGGACTGCGATTTTAATGGAACGCCGCTCAGTATTGGTTGTTTTTCTTTGAGGGTCTTTGACGGCCATTCGCTATTTATATGAGACTTTGGAACCTCATGTGTTGCCTATCCTCAACGAAATCGATGATCGTTCTATTCTAATGCACGATAATGCACGCCCACATGTCGCCCGCATAGTGCAGACGTTCCTTCAACAGAACAATGTTGAGGTTTTAGCCTCGCCAGCACGTTCTCCAGATTTGAACTCCATTGAGCATTTATGGGATAACCTCGGAAGACGAATAAGAGCGCGTGCATCTCTTCCTGATACACTGCAGGACCTTGAAAAGGCTCTTCGGGAGGAATTGGCTATCCTCCAGCAAAGGGACATTTCCCGACTGGTGGAAAGTATGCCGAGGCGTCTTCAAGAAGTAGTGAAGGCAAGAGGAGGAAACGATGATGTAATTAATTTCTTTTAGAATTATAATGGTTCGTTTTGGAATCTTGGTAACATTGGAATCTAGAATCATTTCATTGAATTAAAGATTAAGGGTTATTGTCCTCTATATTAACATTCCTAATTGAAAACAAACAAAAATATTACCTATTTATTCATTAAAAACAATAGACCAATCTAAAGCAGAAATATTTTTATATAAAAACATGAAAAAATCAAGTGGGTGGAATTTTTTGCCTGTCAGTGTATATAGAGATTGTCTGGTTTTTCAACTCTAGAATACTCACATATAATTGTGTACGTGAGTCTCTAAATCTCTGAAGAAAAAGTATTAAATGTTTAAATTATTATATTTCTGCACCAAATCGTCCGGTTTTAGTGATAAGAATCTCAACTTCCTTTGTCATTAAAAAATATTTGAACCCGCTTTGTTCCTTTGGTCGGTATAAATTGTTTTATTTCGGAGATTGTTCCTTTCGATTTCAATGGTTTTTTTTTATCATGTTGCAGGAAATTTAGGAAGTTTTCAAATAATCATGGGTGTAATCAATCAAAAGTTGAGTACTTTTTGAGTTATCCGCAAATCGTATTTTTTTTTTATACTCTTTTCGGAGAAGGATGTTGTGTACATGAATTAAAAGGACTTCAAGGATAAGACTTTATCCAAGTTTAATTAAAATCGTTACAGCCGTTTCGGCGCTACAATCTGAAACACACGTTTTTCAGCCACCTTTCTGAAACAAAAAGCCGAAAGGTAATTAAATGTGTATAAAAACACTCCTGAATCCGATAGAAAAGTTATGTAAAAATTTCAAAGCAATCGATGAAGAAGTTTCGGAGATTAGTGGTTTTGAACAAACGAACATTTACACTTATTTTCATTTTAAAAGCACAAATCCAACTGGAGTAAAGATTTTTAAAACCACTTTTTAAAAAATTTCTTTGTTCGATAAGCTTAAAGAAGCCGGACAAGTGGACCTCCAGCATTGAGAACACTTTGACTCATTTACTGGAGACTCACTTTCCGAATAGTAAGGTAATAAATAAAGACAATCCTCCTATTATAAACCCAAATGAAGAAGTCCTAACTAAAGAGGAAGAATGGACATGGGCTGAAGTAGCCGTTACCAAAGGGGCCATTAAATGGCTTTGGGAGAGCTCAAATCATATAAGGCCCCGGGTACGGATGGTATATTCCCTTGTATGCTCAAAGAATGAAGAAGGGCTTCACGTACTACTTCCTCAATTCAAAGCATTGTTTAGATCCTCACTTGCACTTGGATATATACCGGACACCTGGAGGAAATCATTAATAGCCTTTATTCTTAAGAACTGCAAGGAGGATTATAGTGTTGCTAAAGCCTATCGACCCATAAGTATAACCTCCTTTGTATTTAAGATACTGGAGAAGTTGGTGGCAGTTCACTTAACTAATAAAGTGCTGCCTTATTATCCATTACATCCAAACCAACATGCTTATCTCGAGGGAAAATCTACGGATACAGACTTACACTCTTTTATAGAGAATATAGAAAACTTTGCACTTTAAGGAGTCTGCACTAGGACTCTTTTTTGATATAGAAGGGCATTCGATATGCTATGTTCCTGGCCTCGCGTTTCTACGGCGAGTAGGGGGTTCCAGGAACGGCATTTATTTGTATTTATATCGGTCCCAGAAGAGAACCGATCAACTTAATTATTAATGATGTATTTAAATGTTAGATACCACAGACCCCCTACTGTAGTATCCTAGATTGAACCATGTAATTTTTATTGGATTTCTTTTCTAGAGGTATCGTGTTTTTAAATTTACCATTTGTTTCTATTACTAATAGGTGGCATGCAGGGTAGATGGTAAAAGTACTAAGATGGTTTACTAACTATTATATTTACAAGCTTAAATAAAACCAAACCATATATACAAAATAATGAACAAACCTATATACATAATGAATGGTAGAGAATCATACTGGAGGAGAATGCTTGATGTTTGATTAAAGTTACATGTGTTCTATGGATTCTATTAATTATGCGATTTATGGTTGCCAACACAAGTTTACATCTGTATTACTAAATGAGGGTTATTACCTAGCTGGTTCATCATCATCTTCGAGTCTCCTTCCATGTCGCTCTCCTTCAGCGTCTAGTCCGTTCATCTCATCTGCTCCCTCCGGCTGTGTCCTAGCCTGAGTCCCAGCTACAAGTCCATCTCTTGCTCTCTCCGCCTCTTCTGATCAAGTCTCTCCCTCAAAACTCTAACCGTCCTAGCTTCCAGTCACCCCCCTCTCTTTTTGTACTTTTTCCTGATTGGCTGAATATTCCTGGCCTAAGGGATGACCACGCCCTCTCTCCCATGCCAAAGTATTCCACTAACCAGGCATATTTTACGTATTTCTGGAAGGTGTTAATAGTAATTTGGATCCCGTTTAAACACTCAGGCGTGAGACTGTTGTCGGTCTTTCTTAAGGGTTTTTATTTCCACTTATAAAAGGTTACCTTCGTGGGTCGTTACCCTCGTCAGGTACCGCCAGATGTGAGCACTTATGATATTTATTTATTTATACCTTTAAAATAATTAAATGAATTCCACCGGCGGTCTTTACAATACATAGAAGATAATACTGAACCAGAAGCAGTTTGTAAAGCCTTAGAAAATATATATGCCCCAACTGGACATATCAGGTGGATGAGATTTGTACTAAAAAATAGAATAATGTTGTTTCAGAAGAAGCAGTCAGATTGCTGGCGCAGACGGTGAGGGGATGCCCCCAGGGGAGCACCACTGCTGTGGTGCTTGGTAATGAATGGCTTATTAAATAGACTGAAGGAAGCTGGGATTTATGCCCAGGCATTCGCGAATGACGGAGCGAACCTCATTACAGGAGTACTATTTTTGAACGAATACAAGTCGCTTGCAACATTGTTCAGTCATGGTGTACTGATATGAACTTATCAGTCAACCCAATAAAGACTGAGTTGATTCTCTTTACCAAGAAACGCAAACTGGATGCCTTCAAGGCTCCAAGCTTCTTTGATAAGCAACTTCAACTAAGACCTGGGTATTACCATAAATTCAAAACTAAACTGGAGACCACATTTGACAAAAGTTAAAAGGAAAACAATAATAGCCTTTTGGCAAGTAAGACGTGCTGTAGGGATAACTTGGGGCTTTAACTCTAACGTCATGCATTGGATATATACGGCAATAATTAGACCAAGAATACAATACGGAAGCGTGGTGTGGTGGGTAGCCCTAAATAAGGCGACTCATAAACGAATGCTATGTCGCATTCAAAGAATGGCTTGCATTAGCATTACTGGGGTATTCCGAACTACACCTAAAAAGGCTCTGGAATCATATTATCATTGACTTCGCTACAACAATGGATAATAGGTGAGGCGGCTATGGCATTTTTCAGATTGAAGGAAAATAGACAGTGGAAATTAAAAGGGACACGCATCGGCTGAGAAATAGCCAGGAAGGTGGAAAAAGATTTACCCATCTTACGGTACCTCTCTGCGCCGCTTTATAAAAACCTTACTCTGCATAGTAAGGTTAACTACCTGTACCCTAACATAATAGATTGGGTACAGGGTTCTGTAGAGACTCCAGAGGACTACCTGCCCCGTTTTACTGATGGTTCAAGGAAAGACTCTACTAGTTTAACGGTTGCAGGAGTCTGTACAGAGAACCTAAATATAGAACTAAGCATACCACTAGGTAAACATGCTACGGTATTTCAAGCAGAGGTGTTTGCTATACTTTCTGCAGCCAACTGTTTAGAAGTTACCAATTGCGAGAATGCTGGCATTATTATCTATTCGGATAGTCAGTCGGCACAACAAGCATTGGAGTCTCCCAAAGTGATCTCCACACTAGTGTAGGAGTATAAACAGGCATTGGAGAAACTGGCCTGTTCCAAGAGGGTGGAACTAGTGTGGGTCCCTGGTCACAAGGGAATTAAAGGCAACGAAAAAGCTGATTTCCTTGCAATGAAAGGAGCGGAATCTCCTATTGTAGACCCGAAACCTGCAATAGGAATATCCAAAAAGCATTAGCGGAAAGAAGTCCTTGATTGGACTTGGAAGAAAACAGGTAAAAAATGGAGGGCCGAATGTATTGAGCTTAGACAAGCGAAGCGATTTATTAAAAGCCCCTCTTCCTCCAAAACAAAGTGGCTGGTGGGCCTAACTATGAAAAAAATCCGACTCATCATCGGAGTACTAACAGGCCACTGCAGACTTAAAAGACATTTAAAGATCTGTGGGATAGTAGATGGTGAACTCTGTAATCTCTGCAGAACTGTACCTGAAACTTCCCTTCACTTCATAACGGAATGTAACCGATTTGCGTAACTCAATTACAGACTTCTGGGAGCAGACAGAATCCAAGTATGCAAAGCTGCCTCCATAAAATGGTCCAACCTTTTGAACTTCATTAGAAGAACAAAGGTTTGAGACAGAATAGGTAGTATCTAATTTTTGGGTAAAAAAGAACCAAAAAGAACCAATAGGCCCACTTGCAGGACTAAGTCCTCCCACCAGTACCAGTGCCTGCGAATTTGAGCCAAATCATTTTATTTTTGAACATTTTAGAGTCTTAGGTAGAGTCTCTAGGTTTTAGAGATATACACGTATCAAGGGAAACAAGTTTGCGCATATATACGAGAAATCAGAGGATAGAATTCAATAAAATTGACATTACGTTATTTTTCACCATTACCTACATTTTATCTAACTTTGAGCCAAATCGAAATTAGTGCTTTCTGAAATATTATCTTAAAAAAATACGTTTGCGTAAGCGGAAGTGCTGGATGGAGTTTAATAAAAATGATATGGGACCATCTAGGCACCAATCCGCATAATCCCTGAAAATCAGATGAATGGTACTAGGTGATATGCCCATCACATCGATTTGACAGACCGACAGACAGACACTGAACCAAATTTGATCCTTGATGTCTGAAACGTAAAACGTGAGTGAAAATTTTCAATTCTGAGCACAACATTTTTTTTTTTTATCTCTTGCACGAACAAATGCTTCCCTACCTTCGGTTGTGAGGAAGCAAAATAAAATTTAAAACATTGAATTTCTTTAAATTGAAGCGTTACGAAAGCTTTAAAAATTAAATTAAAAATGTTACGAAAAGCTGGCTTTTTTAATTTTTTTTAAGAATGATTGATGTCAAATTTTTTATATGATGGAACCACTCATTTAGATAAAAAATATGCTTACTATTTTTTTGCGAATTTTCAAAACTTTACCCATTTTACGAGCTCGATAATTCGCTTCTAGTTGGATATAGAAAAAAAGTTTCGTCTAAAAATGTTAGAAAATATTAAGCTGTTTAAGTATGAATATAATATCTTAACTATTTTGCTTTAAAAAAGAGATATTTAGAACAAACAAAAAAAAGTGCCTAAATTCAATGATTTTTGAAAAACTGCAGCGGACCCTTATTCAATAACTTGGCTTTTTTATTACCTTTTGCTAGGTAGACCTTTATTTTACTAATTTGGCTAGGATAAATGATTTAAGCCAATTTATTCTTAATCTAAATTTTTTTTCTAGGTCACCTTTATTCTCGATTTTGTGATCAAATTATCTTACGATTCAAGTGGAAAGATAATGGTTGTTCATGAGTTTTTAGAACCTAATAAAATATACAAATTTTTCCGGTCTTCAGATTAAAAACGCCCCAATTCCAAGAATTTTCATAAATAAAACAGTTGAACAAACTTGTTAAATTTTCACAAAATTCCTCTTTAATTTAATTACTCACCCTTTATCTAAAGCTATTCACGATGTTTTAGGCGGATGTTAATAATTTTATAAAATAAGTGAAAACCTTACTTGGCAAAAACTTTTCGCTCTATAACTGCTGTAGTAGTTATCGATTCTTGGTGAAAAGAGGCATATTGCAAACTGCCTTGGTAAAATAAGTAGAAAAGCACCCGATGCTCCCCTGGCCGCTGGTAATCCTACCTAAAGGCAACCATCTCATTAGGATAGATTCAAATTTTTAGTGCCTTTATATTTGTTAAAATATCAATTATAACCGACATCTCTGATCCAAGTAGGTGTTGGGGTACAGTATTGCATCATGGCCATTGTATATTTGCAAGTTTCTACCTTGAGGACTTGTTTTTTAGTTACTGGATTTATTCCATAATTGGCAATAGTAGCTCCCATTGTACTAAAGCTATGAGCGTCTACTTCAAAGGAACATGTCTGTAAAAAATATTATATTTTTAACATATTCATGTAATTAAGCTCGACGGCATTGAATGTTAACTTAGGCTGACCGGCAACCGATTGCGTAGCGGAGCTCAGCTCTGCTTCGCTGCGCTTTCGGTGGCCGGTCGATCTTTGGCTCATTCAATGACGAACAGAACGAAGAATATTTAATTTCTAATGAATCAAAATGACAACAATCTAAAAATATGGATGATATATGTTATCGTGTTAAAACATCTTGGAATTTTACAGTTTTATTTTGTTTTATCAAAAATTTATTCAGGAGAGGAAACACAACCTGACCTGAAAATCTTTGGATTAAAACTCTTGTATCGAAAGCAATTCAACTTATTAGTAAATCTTAGCTGTTACTAATATAAAGGTCCTTAAATGGAATTTAGCCACCTTTCTACTTTGAAAAAAAAGGCAAATTAACTCTAATGAGTTCAACTTCAGGCAACATGCGATATAATTTGGCAGTGGATTGTATTTTGATTCAATTGGTAGGTTATATGAATTGTGAAAAAGCAACTCACCCTTTCTGCTGTCATAAGGCAAATCTTTAGTAGTTGGCTAAAATTATCAACCAAGTACCTTGGCTGGCTTTTGGGGGGCGCCCTCCTCCAGTCCAGTATTTTAGGTCTTTAATCTACAAGTGTTCTTCCGAGAGTGGACCGAGAGAGGTTCTCGGGAAGGCATCTCTGTCTTCACTACCAGCGGCTTGGCAGCGTTCGGGTACAAAATTACGGAATTCACAAAACAGGAATAGAAAATTTTATTTTAATAACTGACGTTCTTTTATGTTTTCGCGATTGAGTTTGAAAATGTCTACAGAACTTCAGTTAGTCATTAGTAAACATGTTTATATTGTATGTGTTTTTTTGCTTTTTTTATATGTATTGTATATTGTATGTATATTTTTGAATAAAAAACTTGCGTTTTTATTTCTAAATTAAAATTAATAGAAAATACTGGTTGGCCCTTGTGGAAATTGGATAAATCAGAGAGTTAATCTGTGTTATTGTGAATGGGCTGCTAAGCTCCATGCCCTCCCTGGTTTGGAATCTGGCTGTTGTAAAGTAATTTTTAATCAGCCGTGAATCGACCCAGATCGATCTAGAGAACCTTCTGGGGCACACCCAGCCTCTATAAAATGGGTACTATAAATTAAATAATTAATTAAGCCTGACGGTTGAGCGTGATCCTGGTCTGATCACTTCACGTCCAATGCACAACCAACCTTGAAACACTACTTCCTAACGAAGTACTGAACCCAAAACCTTCAAGGGTGGTAGTAGTGTGACAGGTTTTTAATTTATTTTATTTTTGGCTTGCGTCTGTATTATAGAAATAATTATATTTACAAATTATAATTGGAAGTATCTTTGTAAAAAAAAAAGAAAAAGATTTTTATGATGGAAATTAAGAAATTTATAGTCTATTTTTCGGAAAAAAAATAATGTAGTCACCATATATTTATTTTAAAGTATTTTTCCCCTGATTCACCGTATGATCCCCAGTATCCCTCTTTCTCAGCTACATTACTTCAATATTTGGAGCAAATATTATTGACAAAGGAGTTGTCGAAACAAAGTGAATTACCTATAGAATTACCAATCACAATTTCGGTTCATGAATTCTTGCTTTAATAAAAGTGATGGAAAAATTGTGGATTCAAAATTCTAAGAATATTTTGAGATGGAGATGTCGGATTTTAATGATTCCCCCCTCCCCTTCCCCTCTCCAGCACCATGATATGTTCACGAAGGTAAGGCACTATAAATATTACTTTTATTTATCTACAGATAAGGCACGATAAAAGTGCTATCAACGCACCCTTATTATTTCATTGAATATCTTTCTCAAAGGATTAGAAATAGTAAATAAACATTTAAATAGGATAGATTTGGATCCAATAAAAATGTGTACATACCGTGAAATAAAATTCCAAATCATCTAAATTAGCATTTTCAGCCAGACATTTCTTCTTCTTTAGATGATAAATTATAGATTTGTTTTTGGACATTGACTCCTTTTCTGCCATGTAAGATAAGTTGCTGAAGCTGACATATTTACCACCTGCCAAATCCTAAAAATATGTTTGCATGAGATATGTATTTAGTATTTTTCGATACAATACACAAATTCAGCATTGTTAATGAGATGAAATACTCTTTATTTAGATAATATGACGTTACTATATTCTCATACAAAATAAACGATATAATAATATATATATGAGTATTATAAATGTTCGAATTGACTTGCTGCAGGAGTAGGAAAAAGTTATTAAGAACATTATAGAATCGCTAAGACTTTGATAAGAGAAATAGGTCAAACCGGTCTACAAGTAAATGAAGATAAAACAAAATATGTGATAATAAGCCGAAAATTCCGTCTCAACAACAGAATTTGCGTGGAAGTTAATTTGCGTTCCCGAGAGTAGAAAAATTCAAGTACTGCGGCTCCACAACAATTTCAATTTAACCATTGCGTTCATAATCATTGCCAATGGTTAAAAATAGACCAGAGCATAACTAGCGCAAGCAGAGCTTTCTTTTCTCTTTCGATGGTAATGAAATCTTGAAAAATCTCAAATTAAGGGATTACAATGCTATGATAAAGCCCGTTTAAATATACTTTTCTAAACACTTCTGTCCATACTACTTCTGTAACCTAAAGGTTAACCATGAAATTAAAATATTGAAGGAAGCTAGTCGACTGTTCTACATATAATGGGTGATAAATTTTTAAGATGCAGTATTTAAAAAAAATATATATTTTTTTTTATTTCTGGCAATGTTTCAACCCAAGCATGTGGGTCATCTTCAGGGCTGAAAATTTTAAAATACGATGAGAGATATAATATTATTCGACCGATAATGGTAAATAATAAACTATAGTGATTGATGGTACATGAATCGTAACTAATATTACAATACACATATTAAAAATGAAATATGTAAATAGTTATACAAACTAAAAATTAAAAATAATGTATATAATCCATTTATACAAATTTGTAATATTTTCTCTTACTAACCGTTGCTATGTTTTATCCCCAAAAAAGGGATGACATTAAAGTTGCTACGTTTTGGGGTGTTTAAATTTATTCGGGATGCCACTAGATAATTATTGATGATAATTATCCAGAACAATTTAATAAAAAAATAGTTATAAAAAATTAATAAAAAAATTTGGATCTATAATATATTAATGGGTCCAGAATTAATTAATTTTATTTCTTTTCTCAAAGGCTGGTTTGTGTTTAAGCTTCATGCTTTCTAATTACACACAGTACCTGTGATCATCATGATATAAATAGGTGGCAGAATCAAAATAACTCTTACTAAAAAACTTGATTTATTTCTATGTTTAATAAAGAATACATACAATTTTTTTTTATAAATCTTAATGTGCAAATACTATATACAATAAACTAAATCAAAAACATGATTTAATAAGGACTGTGCAGGTATGATTTCAGATGGACTGTTTTGAAAATTATATTGCCATGAAATATTATAAGATTGGTAAATTTATTGTTGGGTATAAAACTTATCTATTGTATATGAAGTGGTATAGTTGGTTGATGTCATCACTGCATCTGCTAAGTTGAGATCATCACCACACGGTTCAAAGCTCTGCTAGGATCATCATGGTCTAGGTAGGGCCAAGACTTCAGTCCCCAAGCCGGAAGAAAACAGAAGACCCATCCTCAAGGCCGGACATCAACATAAGACCTATCCTCAAGGCCGGACATCATCATAAGCCTTTCCTCCAGGCCGAAGATCGACATAAGACCTCTTTTCCTGCTTCTCGGTAGATTTTAAACAAACAATCCAGGATGGGGCAAGGATGGTTTCCATTAGTTCTTAACTTCACCCTATTACTTCACAATAGCTGGTAACACCCTAAGAGGAAGCAGTTACAACTTTTTACTCTAAGCCTTCCCCCAGAGTCCAGCTACAGGGTCGGTCCTTAATTTACCTGCTCTCCAACCTGGACGCTGTTTTTGATGTCAGAAGTTGGCTTGGTTCACCTTCGCTATCTACATCTCATAACAATTCCAAAACCCCACTATAGTATATCTTTTAGCAAAACTTCAATACATAGCACCGTGGTTTGAGCACTGAGGGTGTTCCTTTGGTAGGTAAGTGAAAAGATCAGGGGAGGGGGAGGATTTTCCAGGTGTCCTTTTTCAGATAGCAAAAGTTAGGTAAACATAATCAGAGGAGAAGGAAGCTAACATTTCTGTTTGTATATATATATATATATATATATATATATATATATATATATATACATACACTGACCGGCAAAAAATTCCGCCCACTTGATTTTTTCATGTAACACGGCTGGGTTTTGCTCAAGAACACAGCCATTGGACTATGGACGAATGGAGTACTGTACTTTTTACAGATGAGTCAAGATTAGCTCTTCGATCTCCAGACGGGCGTGAAAGGGTGTGGAGAAGAAGAAACGAAAGATATGTAGCCTGTAATTTTTCCCAGTGCCAACCTTTCCAACGTAGTTCCTTAATGGTGTGGGCTAGGATTTCAATGGAGCGCCGCACAGAATAGGTTGTTGTTCGTGGAGGGTCTTTGAAGGCCATTCGCTATGTAGATGAGATTTTGGAACCTCATGTATTGCCTATCCTCAACGAAATCGGCGATCGTTCTATTCGAATGCACGATAATGCACGCACACATGTCGCCCGCATATTGCAGACGTTCCTTCAACAGAACAATATTGAGGTTTTAGCCTGGCCAGCACGTTCTCCAGATTTGAACCCCATTGAGTATTTATAGGATAACTTCGGAATACGAATAAGAGCGCGTGCAACACTTCCTAATACACTGCAGGACCTTGAAAGGACTCTTCGGGAGGAATGGGCTATCCTCCAGCAAAGGGGCATTTGCCGACTGGTGGAAAGTATGCCGAGGCGTCTTCAAGAAGTAGTGAAGGCAAGAGGAGGAAACACTTGCTACTAAACGATGATGTAATTAATTTCTTTTAGAATAATAATGGTTCGTTTTCAATTTTTTTTTCTCTAGTCTTTCTTACCCAATCACATTTTGATTATTAAAGGTAAAATAGATTATAAAACTCCATAAAAACTAAGTATTTCCATAAATAGCATGCATTATATACAAATACAACTTTTTTTACAAGTGGCAGAAATATTTTTAGATGAAAACATAAAAAAATCAAGTGGGTGGAATTTTTTGCCTGTCAGTGTATATTGAACTTGCTAGATTAAGGTGGGCAGGGTATGTGGCCAGAATGAGCACATTTGAAATACACAAGAAAGTAATAATTGAGGAGCTGTACCTCGCAAGACAGGTAGGAAGGCCGAGGACGAGATGGTTGGACTACGTGGCCTATGATGCGAGAACCCTGCTTGGTGTACGGAACTGGAGAGCTGCAACAGAAGACAGAGCCAACTGGCGGAGGCTCTTGGAGAAGGCCACTCTCGGTAACGGGATGTCGCGCCACATATGTATGTATGTATAAATGGATTATATACATTATTTTTAATTTTCAGTTTGTATAACTATTTACATATTTCATTTTTAATATTTGTATTGTATTATTAGTTAAGATTCATGTACCATCAATCACTATAGTTTATTATTTACCATTATCGGTCGAATAATATTATATCTTTGATTGTATTTTAAAATTTTCAGCCCTGAAGAGGACCCACATGTTTGGATTAAAACGTTGGCACAAATAAAAAATTATTTTTTTTTTTTTTAAAGACTGCGTCCTAAATATTTATGACCTATGATGAAAGTAAAATATATCAGGGCATATATTCATTTGTCTGCCTCTTTTTTTTTTTTTTAAGGTCGTATGGTGTCCATTCCGTGACGACGTATACACCATCTATCTTCTTTGCACCATTAGAGATGTCCAGTCCGTTTCCACTTTGTTTTCTTTATCTGAATGATTGTGTGTTTAACTTACAATTATATCTTTATCTTATAAAGCAGAGCACTGACCTTTGAAGGTGCCATTGTATATGACCTTTTATTTTTTATTATATATTTGTTTATTAAGAAATATTACATTCTGTCACATCAAGAACATTTATAATAGTGTTCAGAGAGCACACTCACACTCTATTTACAATAAGTAAAAATAAATAATACAGAAACTAATAATAATAATAAACAAATAAATGCATATAAACATGAACTCCAATATATGCTTATTCACAGAAGGTCTCTGGGCCACTGCCGCTTCAACCTTCGAGGAGGGTTGTAAGGATGGGTGGTGCTGGATAGAGATTGTGCAAGGTGATTTGGATGATAGGTAAGGTTCTGGTGAAATTTGGAGAATTTTTCTGGGATAAGGTCTAGGACAAATGGGATATTAAGGTCATGGTGTAGGATTTTGTTAGTTACATAGAACAGAGCATCAACTATTGTTCGAAGGACTTTAGATTGAAAGGATTGAATACGTTTGATGTTAGAAACTTTTGCTGTCCCCCACAGTTCAAGTCCGTATGTCCATATAGGTTTCAGTATTGTCTTATAGATAAATAATTTGTTTTCAATTGAAAGTTTGGATGTTCTGTTTAGTAGTCTTTATAGCTGGCCGTATCGTGGGTTGAGTTCTTGTCTTTTGAGTCTAGAATGTGGGTTCCACGTTAGTCTTCGGTCTAAATGAAAGCCAAGATACCGGACTGTGGCTGAGTAAGGAAGCTGGATGGAATTAAAGTGTACTGGTGGAGAGGAATTCCGTCGGAGTGTAAAGGTAATATGTTGGCATTTAGATTCATTAAGTTTAATGCGCCAGTTATTACACCAGTGCTCAATCAAGGTGAGGTGGCTTTAGACATTTAAGGATGCTATTTCGGGTTCAGAGTTGGATGATAAGATTGCGGTGTCGTCAGCGAATGTTGCAAGAAAAGTAACGGGATGAACAGGGATGTCAGCAGTAAAGAGGATGTTAAGCACGGGACCCAAGACGCTGCCTTGGGGAATACCGGCTTTAACGGGGTAGATAATGGAAAATTCTGTTCCACAGCGAACTCGAAAGTAGCGGTCAAAGAGGTAGGATCGGAGGACTAGGTACAAGGACTGAGGTAAATGGATTTTAAGCTTGAAGAGCAGTCCGGAGTGCCATACCCGGTCAAATGCCTGTGCAATGTCCAGAAATCCACCCGAACAGTATTCCTTGCGAACAGTATTATTGAATATTTTGGGATTCTATAATGGGTAGGATTCGTTTCAAAAGGATCTTTTCAAAAATATTTGAAATAATCGGGAGTAGGCTAATTGGTCTATAGGATGGTTAATGTTCCGGCTGAATCGGTTGATTCGCCGAGTTTGTTCTAGGTAATCTTCCAACCGAGCTTAGTTGTTTCGTTTATTATCGGAATCTACTCTTCTACGACCATTTGACATTTAGGATATTTATAATCCAAGATTATTTATATCCCTATTTTGTTCATTTATTCATTTTTCTCTCTGTTTGGTTTATTTTTATGTGTAGTGACTTGTTTCTTTTTTTGTTGTAATTGTTTTTTTATTAATACCTATTGAATCGACCGATTCCGAGTGAATCCTGGTTCTATCGTGTGAATTACCTGAGAGTACGATTCTTTCAGAGGAATCGACTCTTTGATTCGATCTTCGATTCATTTGCCCATCTCCTACCACGCCTCCCTGATATCTGCATGAAACTTTTAAATGGCATAAAATATCTTGATTCTAAGCATACAAAGAAATAATAGCTCCCTGAGGTACCCTGTGCCCCTTAATGGCTGCATAGTACGATATCATAGTAAAATCTTTAATGACATCCTAACACTTAATTTATTTCTCTCAATGAGTTCTTACTCTCTTGTATGCATTAACCCTAGTAGTCCGCAGTACAGACTCAATCCATTCTATTGAATTTAAATAACTTACGAGGAGGTCTGTTGATTCTATCTGGTCTGATCATTAAATTTACTAAAACTATGACAGATAAAATTAAATATTACAAAAGATACTCACTAAAATGCTCATTAAGCTCATAAAATATGACTGGGAATCCAAGTTTCATAGAATTCAAGCCGAAAAGAATTGAAGAAAGTTTTTGACCGAGGATTCCGAAAGTACACTCGCTATAGACTGCAAATATGGGCGTCTGAAAACCCTAGATAGGTTGCAATACAATTTTATGGGTTCAAAGTCGTCATATTTTTTTTTTAAAAAGTTTGAAGAAGGGTGGAACCTTTTCCAAACAAAACTAACCATTAAGCCTAAAAAAACAACGTCTGCTGTCCGGAAGAGGTTGTATTCTGTCGGCTGACACGCGTTAAAAACAGACATTGTATAGACTGGACTGGTTTTGTATAGAAAAGGTTTCAAATGACAAAGTTGTGGCAAAAACTTTGTTTTTTGACAAGCGTCTGCTGGACGATTACAATCACTTCCGGGCGGCAGACGTTGGTTTTTTAGTCTTTGGAGTGCTCTAGTTTTTTTTTTTTTAAATCTAACCCGACATCCAAAAAAGATGCTTATATTTGCAGTCTATAGCGAGAGTAATTCCGGAATCCACGGTCAAAAACATCCTTCAATCCAAACCACCTTTTCGGTACTCACCTCCCAGAGAGGCTAAACCTAGTCGGAATATATAATACTATTTGTTAAAATCTCATTAGGTTAGAGAAACTATATTGTTTCCTTTTAATAAAAGTATTTTATGTTAATAAGATTCGAGAAAAAAAAAATGGACTACCTTTAAAAAATTCAGTACGTAGTCGAAGACTTGCGCCTTCGTCTTATTTTTCAATGCCACGTTTCTGATGTACGAGCATAAAGCTATTCCTCCTGTGTTTATGTTAGCGTTCTTTGGAATACCTAATGAGTTAGTTTCAATTAAAATGTAAATTAAAAACTTTACAACTAAAATATTACTTGTCCTATTTCAATTTTACTTCATTTTTTATTTTTTGCGCATCATAGTCCTTGATTTTTTAATTTTTGTTTACTTATAATAGTCTATTTAATTTTTTACTTTCACTTACTTATATACGTAATATAAAGGAAATAACCGCATGCTCAAAGCATCCAAAAAGCTGTTGGATACTTTCCACAATTAAAATTATTCCTAAACCTTCCAAACCCACTGATAATCTCTCCTGATAGTCGAAAAACTATTTATAAGACTTTTTCTAAATCGTTTAAAGAACCTATTCAAGAAAGAAGTAATATAGTTTTGAATCATCAATTCGGTTTTAGATTATGTGCAATATTATATATATATATTTTAAATACGTAAGGTTTACTTGAATAGTACAAACCTTTTTCGTTGAAAGAATTGAGTTCAGTTGGTTTACCCATGTGATAAGTCATTCCAACAATCTTCATCACTTCTTCCACTCCCAAAAGTTCTACGGCTAAGGCATACATTATGGGTTTTCTACAACCAATTAATAAGTTTTTATCTTACTTTATGAATAACTGCTATGCAATAAAATAATTATTTAAATAGCAAGATATTTGCTATTTGCTACTCTGTTAATTTTTCCTTTTTTAGTTTGCTCTTAATATAAGTTTACAGGTCAAGATTGGCTATAATAAAAACAACTATCTCATTTGTTTCATTAATTTAATTAGCTGAAACTAGCCTATTCTTAGAAAAAAAAAATTAATTACTCTCAGTTTTTCTTTTTAACTCCGGTTAATCCGGAGAGGCGGTTAAAAATAAGGGGTAGTTATTTGTGATTATGATAGTTTTATTTTATTTTATATTTTTCTGTGACTTACAGATTGGGATTACCAAATATTTTTTTAATTATTATGTTATTATGGATAAAATTATTATGTTTTTTTATAACTGCAAAAACTATATAAACTGTTTTATTGATGCCTTCTGGAATTGTTTAGAATATTTTCAATTGACAGAATGCACTTTTTTCATTGTTTTTATTGAATAGTCAATTGAAAACCAAGTCATTTTATGGAATTTCGCGCGATTTGTAAGTTCTGTAAAATTGCATGGTTAGAGCTGGTGGTTTGTACATTTTTCTTGAAACTTTATCAACTTTTTACTGTCATTATGCTTAACTAGAAAAATATATAACAATGTTTAAAACTTGTTTTACTTCGAATCTTTTTTCCTATTTGTCAACAAAAACAGATGTTTTTAAATAAAGTTGTTACAAATATAGCGATTAAAAAAAGCTCCAATATCCTCTGGAAAATTTATTTCTTAAACATTTTAACAGCCATTGCTAAAGATAAATTTGTATTAATTTAAACCATCATAGTCCACCTAAGATAATTAAAATATATTTAAAGTTATTTTTGTATTTATAAGTGTTCGAACAATTTCTAAATATGTACTAATATCTGCTATAACAAGACATGCTGTCTAATTTAGTTTTAAGAATTGTATTGAATATAAAGAAAATAAGGTTCTGAAGGTATTTGTTTCGAAAAGTACCTCAAACAAAAACTATTAAAAAAAATTTATATTGAATATTAAATCTTCCGTTTTCATTGTTTTAAAATTTAATTTTGTCTACCTATATATGAAATAAACTTTTATATTATTCTTTTAGCTGTAACCATCCTTTATTTTCGCTCTAATCTAAATAAATAAACAAACGCAACACCGTTGAATGAACTAAAGTTTAAAATTAAATAAACAGTAGGATCAATGTGTACCCGTATAAGACGGCCTCTAGGACAAAAAAAAAACAACTTTTATTTATTTGTTTCACTAACATTACTGTCTGTTATTAAAAAAATATAATTGTTTTCAATCTTTAACCGTTTTTCTTTTTAAATATCCTTATAATTACATAACGGTAAATTGAATCTGAGAGTCTTGGTTGAACATTTATGACTTGATCTGGATCAGTTGTTGTTAATATAATCTTTAAAATTAATGAAAAAATTACATATTTTTTTCATCGGAGAATGTGAGGAAATATCGACAGTGTTCAAAATATCACTATCCATGATTTTAAAATTATTTTGAAATGAAAATAAAATAAATTGTTATTATTTCATAAGAACTATTATAAAATGAAGATTTATAATTAATGAAAGTTACACTTTTTAAGTTATTACAAATACATATATTATACTTATATTTTGTGATTTATTGTTTTAAAAATAAAATATTAAAAAACGGTAATATGTAGTAATATAAGCAGTAGTTATAAAAAGATATCTAAAATGATGCCTTTTAAGAGGTCTATATCATTTTCAGAGTTAATAGATTGCCAAAATTAAAAATTCCGAGGTTTAAACAAGGAATCCTGGATTTTTTTTTGCTTTTCGTGGAAATTGTTTAATCTTGTCGTCATATTCGTGTTTCTTGGCCATAAGTGTTCTTAATAACAAGTTAATCCGGTATCATTTACGAGTTCCAGTCACAGCTGGATCTACGGGAGAGGGAGGCTTTCGGGCTGAAGTCCCCTCCAAAATGTTAAAAATAACCATGTTTTATAGTAAAAAATATTAAAAGGTATCTTAATATTAAAGCATTATTGTTCTTGTAATTGCATTTAATAGGATTTCAGGAATCACTTAAACACCATGACGTATTGGTAGTTAGTTTCTTTCTTTTTTTTTTTCAAATTAATTATCGTTATATATTTGAAAAAAAAAGCTTTCGGGCTAAAGCCTCCCCAAAATTAAATCCTGGCCACTGTGCGGCGTTTCGTTGTTACAATTTTAAATAATAGCCTATTTATTACAGAATCCCTTGCTGACAATATGCAGGTCCGAATTTTAGTTTTCGAAATGTTTTATATAATTGCTAAAACAGTTTATCTCGACTCCAGCCGACTTTACCCGAGCGTTAGACATCAGAGATCTGACGGCTCAATGTAATTCACTCTCCACAAAAAAAGTGCAAAACGCACCGAAAGAAGTTTTCATTTCAAAAACTTTCTTTGCTTTCTCGATGGTCAAAGCTCATTGAATTGTTTCTTTATTACAATTAAAATATTTAAATCAATATTTTATAAAAATAAAAGAACATTAGAAGTGTAAATAATAAAAGTTAATATGCTACGTTTTCAACAATAGTAAGAATTGCATATTTCATTTTCACAGAAGCGTTACATGGCTGATTGTATGGTGAATTTGACTTCAATATCTCCGAAATAGGCCGCCCTTCCACTTATCGTGAACACGGCAGCTGTCCAAGTATCCATATCAAATTTGGGAACCGCTAAAGTCAAATAAAACACCTAAAAATTAGCCTTGGATGTTAATATGCTAATAATAATATGTTAATAGAGACATAACAAAATTAAAATGGAATGAAATCTTTGTACTAGAATCATTTGTTTATTTGTAAAAAAAGAACTACTTGAGTATTGTAAACATCACCTAGCACATTTGGACTTTACTGAATGAATTTCTATTCGAATAATTTATTTAATGAATTTTCAACCACTAAATTGTTAGTGATTGACGATTCCTAGCATCACCTGTCATTTTGATTTATTCTGAGAATTATTAAGTATTTTTAATGGAAAAACAAATTATTTAATAAACATGTACTAAATAAATATTTATTCTAAGAAAATATCCATTGAATAAAAAATCATTGAAAAAATTCCATGAATAAACATTTATTCTAACCTTAAGCAATAATAAAAAAAGTCTGCCAAGTAAGGTCAGTATAGCTTCCTCACCATTTTCATTTGCTAAAAAATATCTATATTACAAGGTCAAATTTTTCATGTGAGAATAAAATCTCTGAAGGAAGCCGTTTTCGGAAATTCAGTAATCCCTCAACGTATACTGGCTTGATATTCATGAATTTTGTTTATCAGGAAATACTATAATGCGAAAGAGTTCCGCGCATTTGTAGATTGCATATTTGATGATTCATGGATTAAAAAAAAAAATCCAGTGCATACCGAATATGCATATCGCTACTGCTAGTGCAAATGGTCGTAAGTAAAAATTGAGTATTTTACAGGAGGGCATGAAAACTAATTATTTCTTTATGATTTATTTGTATAATTTTATATTTTATCACCCTCTGCTATTTTTCGTAGTAGTAGTCTACTTCGTCAAAAACAGAATACAAATTTAAAACTGGCCTCGTGATCTACTCATGTAGACAAATTATTAGAGTGCTAGCAATGGGTAGTTCCTCAACAAGCGTGTTTCATGTTATTATATTCCTCTGTACACATTTGCTTGATGTATTCATACTAATACAGTTGTAAATATCATAATAAAAGGTAAAAAAAAATTTTTTTAAACTCATACAAACTCAACTATTCAACTCTTATGGAAAGGACGCAGGATAATATTTACTACCCCAGAGAGACTCGATCGGATTTGGGGAGTCCCCACTTACGTCAAGCCTAAAGAAGGATTGTGGTTGTCGTAAGCTGCTGTATGTACTGACTCTAGCAACTTGGAATGTTTGCAGTATGTTCCAGGCAAGAGTGAGTAGATACGTAGAGGTACAACTTGAGAAATACATTGTAGATGCGGCTGTCCTACAAGAAATTAGATGGAGTGATACACGACTGCTGAGCTCAAGAAGTATATCGTCATCAACTGCGGAAGTAAACAAAACTCTCTAGGAACGGGCTTCAGGATAAAGAAAGGCCACAAGCACGCTCTCCTGAAATTCAACCCAATCAACGAAAGAATCTGCATGCTGAGACTCAAAGGACGTTTCTTCAATATATCTTTCATAAGCGTCTATACTCCAACAGAAGAAAAAGACGAAGAAGTGAAAAGAATGGCAAGTTATATGGAGTGTTGGAATCGGTGTATGACGGACTCCCGATGTCAATATTGTAATGGGAGATACAAATGCCAAAATCGGTAGAGAAGAAGCTTTCGTCCCAACGACTGGAAGACAGAGTAAGCATGACGAATCCAATGATAATGGTATCAGATTGATTGATTTCGATATGATGAGGGGTCTCAGAATAGTCAGCACTAAATTCCTCCACAAAGAAACGTGGATATGTCTAGATGGTTTGGCTGCAAACCAAATCGACCACAACCTCATAGACAAAAGGCATGCATCACACGTTACAGATGTACGAAGCTACCGTGAAGCCGAATGCAGTAGTGACCCTTGTGATCGGAAGGTACAAACTAGCAATAGCCCAGAAGCACCTAAAAAATGACAAGACCATACAAAGTGGAAACTCTGAAAGATGACCGGGTCAGGCAGGAATGTAGAGAAAGGCTCAAATACATTTAAAAGAAATGGTTTCGGAAGATAAAACAAACACTGAGAAGAGACGGGGTTCAGTGAAAACAACCTTGAAGAAAGCTTCCGAAACTCTAGTAGCAACCGGAAAGTCGTAGAGAAAGGATTGGTAAGATGAAGAGTGCACAAAGGCAATTGAAAATAGAAATGAGGCCATGATGAAAGAGCTATAGAGGATGACCAGAAAAATTTATGAGGAGTTTGTGAAAGTAGCTAAGAACCTGTGTTGCAAGAAAAGAAGAGAAAACAAAAGGATGAGCTTTGCCTATCATATGAGAAGAAAGAGAGCAGAAAGTTCTACAAAGGCATGAAGAACATTAGAACTGGCTTCAGATACCATGCAAACCACATCACATATGAGAAGGGAAATGTCATTGCAGATGTAGCAGGAATTCTTGATAGATGGACCCAATACAAGGAACTAGACGGATCTACTCCTTGTGCACTGTCTGTGGAAGGTGAAGAACCAAGAGAAGAAATAGAAGATGAAAAAATACCACCGGACCGAGAAGAAATCATAGAAATTTTAATGGGTCTCAAAAATAATAAATCAGGCGGCATTGATGGTTTTCCCAGCAAGCTTCTGAAGTATGGGGGTGAAGATCTTTGAGAAGAGCTGTACCACATATTATGGGACATACGGATGAATGAAAAGATGCCAAGTGTGTGGTCGGAAACTATAATATGCCCAATATTTAAAAATGGACACAAGCTTCTGTGTAGTGTTGCCCAAAATCGGTCTCGGTCTTGCAGTCTTGGTCTTGGCATTTTTGCAAGACCAAGACCAAGACCACGAAAATTGTTGCAAGACCAGACCTTCCAAGTCTTGCGCAAGACCAACACCAGACCCTGCAAGTCGTGCAGGTCTTGCAGTTAAGTCAAACTGAGACTATTTTCAGATATAGAACGGTGCTTACACATTTTAATCATCTATTCTAAACAGCGTTGTTTTTCTCTCGTGGAATTGTATATTTGAGTAAAGATTTCCAAATTATAATAAAAGATTAATCTTTTTTTTTTTTTCTCCCCTCGTCATTTAGGTTAGGCGGGGGATTTTCATGAAGAAATATTACTAAAAATACCAGCCCGTTTTAGTTATTATAATGAAACTTCTCTTCATAAGAAGCGGACATTCACTGAGAATCAATAATTGCCCGCTATAGAGAGATGTATGTTTAAGAAAAATAAGAAGAAAATCATGTTAAAAAATAACGTTTAGAAAACTATTAAAACATTTTTCTTTTTAAATTTACAAATTAAAACTTTTTTATGGGATATTTAATAATATAATTTGCATAAAAATATTGCACATAACAACGGTAAACTTGTTTGTATATAAAAAAAAAACAGTAATTTATAATTTTTGTTTGGTCTAGCTTAAATATTTTATTTTCCAATTTGTTATGGATAGATAAAATCGTTACAATTATTCCACTATCCTCGTTCAAAATGAACATCGTTTTTCGGCCAACTAATTTGTGAGAGAACTTCTTAAATATCCATTGAGAAATTCTTAAATATTCACTCTGAGATCACGAAAATGTATTGTCAGCTCAAAGGTCCAGCGCAAGTACTTGTTCGAAATGAATGCGTGAATGCAGAAGGGTTCATATACAAGCCTGACGAAACCATCTATATGTTACTGCAACAACGGCATATCTCGAAAGAAATTTTTTTTTTTTTTGCATTATCATTTTCGTGTTTGGCCCGCTGTTCACAGTAATAGTTATTTCTTTAAAATATCTAATCACCAAGTTTTAATGAGTGTCTAAATTGCGAATACTGAGCTTTCTGGTATACTCATTATTAACATAACTTTTTCTTTGAAATTTCACCGAAACCATGTTGATATATTACAATCAAATCAGTGGAAATAGCAAGAAAGGGCTAAGACTCTAAATTCTAGACTCTGATTTCAAAACCGGATTCCCTGTATTCATAATGGAACTAAGCGACAATATAGTGGATTAATGTTCTCAGAATATGAGCTTCATAATTTCCTTGCGTATAATGATTCATAACTGGATTTTTTTGGTCATAATTCTATAACTCAATTATTTTTCAGCAATTTCCTTGCTTCTTCGTTTTATAGCAACATTACTATATATACCCTCTTATGTGAGCAATGAATATATTATCAGAAATAATTTTTTATTTATTTTTTTTATTTTTTTATTATCGAAATTTACAACTGTAATTAATAATAAATACAACAAGTAAATATGAACAAGTACAACATGTACAACATGAGGAAAAACTAGCCATTGGTAGCACTCCAAATCAAAAATAATATATGAAAATAAATGACTCTGTGGTAGATGACGTGACATATCATATTATAATATTCAATTTTTTTTCGAGCATTAGAAATTCTGGTTTTATTCAGCTACTAAATACGTGTTATTTATTCAGCTACCAAATTATATATATCAAATAAGATATTATACTTTATGTTTTTTTTTATCTTAATAAGTTTAAATTTGGTTCATTCTACTGTTAAACTAATTTCTCAAAAACTGGTAGATTTTTTATTAAAAATTTCAGATAATGCCAATATTATTAGACTTTACACTAGCAAAATAATATTTTCATTTTTTTAATACTTGTATATGAAAAAGGATTCAGAACTTCAACATAAAATTTAGTATCAAATTATTTTATCTTACCTTACTTTTTAAACGATTTTGTGGACACGAATCGGTTAATTCTCGTCCATGAATTGTTCTTTATTTTCCTTATAGTTGGTCATTCTTATAATTGATAATTTTTTTACTGTACATCCTACCGGTTTCTTATCTTTCCTTTTTTTATTTTATTTGATATATAACGTATGACACAGAACTACATTAACGTTTATTGTTAATCTGGTCATGATAGTTATTATCAGGAGTACCCATCTCCCCAAGGCCGATATCGTATGCCCTCCACCCCCAAAACAAAATATTATTGCCCCTCTCACTTATATAATTAATATGTATCTATATGAGATGTAATATTACCAATAAGTTATTTTAAAAGATAGTAGATATAATATTGGTTTGTTTCTCCAGGATATTAAAACCACAATACATGAGGCAATTACAATCAATAAGTAACATCAGTAATATTTAGAGAAGGCAAGGCTTCCCCCATCCCTCCTCTACGAATGCCCATGTATATATTTTTCCTTTTAAATGAGAATTTGATCTGAAATAATTGCGACAGCGTTGTCAAAAGGGGGTACATTATTTTAAAATGAGGGGGGGGATCAATTTGAAGATTGAAAAATTAGTTTTTATTTCCTAATTAGCTTATTTTAGAATGTTGAAACGAACTGTCACTGATGATAAGATTTAATAAAGTTATTGTTTTGTTGCTGCATTATTTTTAATTTATTTCTGTGTCTTATAACCAAAGACAATGCATTAGTTGTATTTATTATAAACACACAATACAATACAATGAAGGTACCGCATACCACGGGCGGATCTAAGGGGGGGAGGCTTTCGGGCTGAACCCCCCCCCCCTCCAAAATGGTAAAATATAATCATGTTTTATCGAAAAAAATATTTAAAAAGTATCTCTTAAAGTACTATTGTTCGTGTAATTACATTTAAAAGGGCTTTAGGATTCACTTAAACACCATTTCATAAAGGTAGTTAGTTTCTTTCTTTTTTTCCAAAGTAATTATCGTTATTTTTATGAAAAAAACAACTTTCGGGCTGAAGTCCCCCCCAAAATTAAATCCTGGATCCGCTAGTGCCGCATACCGATGTTTCTAACAAGCGGCGCCCTTTGAGTTAATGCTGACAATTCTCTGCTTGTGTTGAGTACTAGAATAAAATCATATGTACCGCTTTTCCAAGTAGTCGGCGCTCTAAGATATTTTTTTATATAAACGCTAACCTTAGTGCTTTTTTTTTTCTTTGTTTCCTGGTTTAAATATTCTCTTAAAATTGAAAACTTAATTTGACCCAAAAAAATTGATGGCGCAACTTGCGGCATATGACCCCTCCGGAGAAGAAGTGTCATGTCCATTTGGTACCACTGTGTGCAGTCCGTTATGGAGAAAGTTTTGAATCAAAATCTAAATAGAAAACTAATGTGAAGGACGTGCGGCACTCGTTCATAATCTCTAAGTATCCAAAAACCACGTATACATCTTATCGGTTTTCAAGAGATATAAACGTTTCTGAATCTGTTCTGAAGCCTAGTATTTGAAAGGTCATTAAATTTCTGACAACATTGTCAAAAATCAATTGAATCGGACCAGTTTTAGCAAAGTTACGGTATATTGTTTTTTATAAGCTGATTCTATTGGTGGTTCACTTGCCCGTTTACATTGCTTGGTTCATCCAAGAAATCGTACTCAAATGATTTCAGTGATTAGTGTTTAGGAAAATGAATCTAATTCAATTGTCTGTTTTTTTTTCTAATGGACACATTTAAAGTTGTATTTTTTAAATAGATAGGAAAGTCATGTAAGTGGACATACTCGATTTTTCATTAAAATCTTTGGTAACAATATATAAATTGTCTTTACTCTACAAATCTTCCATGTATCTATTCCTTTGTGTTCATCAAAGACATAAATTAACGTGTTTAATAAATAGTAATAGGCTAATAGGTAATTGGAACTGCAAGACTTGCGAGACTGCAAGACCAAGACCAAGACCAGGTGTGAACACTGCAAGACCAAGACCAAGACTAGCCAAGTCTTGTGTTGGTCTTGCATTTGGGCAACACTACTTCTGTGTGACAATTACAGGGCTATATCTCTTCTGAATACAGCATACAAAGTACTGTCAATTGCTTTATGCCAAAGAGTGAGCAAATAGGCCGAAGAAACGATTAGTGAATACCAAAGTTTCGTAGGTTTTAGGCTAGGAAGATCCACAATTGATCACCTCTTTTCGCTTAGGCAGCTTCTAAAAAAGTCGTACGAATACAATGTGACACTTCACAACCTATTTGTATACATTAAGCAAGTGTACGACAGCATTGATCGGAAATGAGTGCTAATGATTATAGACAAGATGAACATTCCCAAAAAGCCTATAAGGCTTATTAAAATGACGCTGAATGAAACTAAATGCAGAGTGAAAGTCCATTCGCAAATGTCTAATGTGTTCAAAGTGTAACGTGTGCTACGTCAAGAAAACCCTCTTTCCCCAGTACTTTTTAACCTGGCCTAAGGATATGCTATTATAAAAATTAAAACAAAGATAGGAGGAAACATTGGTAACAGATCAAGAAAACCCTCTTTCCCCAGTACTTTTTAACCTGGCCTAAGGATATGCTATTATAAAAATTAAAACAAAGATAGGAGGAAACATTGGTAACAGATCAATTCAACATATGGCCTATGCCGATAATGTAGTAATATCCGCAAGATCATTACCGGCACTAGCAGTGGCACTAGAATAGTTTGAAACTTTATCCGTTATTAGTTCACCATCGCCTGATGTTCAGCTGGCGAAGGTCCTCTTCCACGTCGTCCAGTCATCGTTTACGAGGATCCCAATAAAGGATAAAGTAGAATGATGTAGGATATTGGAGGAGCCATTGGTTATTAATGGACCGTAACGCTATGCAGTAAGTAAGTAAATGGAAAAGTACGCGAAGTCTAAGTAGCAGTAGTAAGTGTCATGTCAGTAACGTTTGGAATCGACCAAACAATACAGTATAAATTAACTTTTTTAATATCTAAAATTTTATAACCTCTTCAGAATATTATATTAACCTAACTTCTCCTCCATATGATAATAAATGCCTTCCACATTCCACAGCCATTATATTGTTAACAATTATTTATATTAATTTTTATTATTAAATGGAATTAAATGAAATTAATATTAGGTAATTTCTATACTATTCTCCAAAGTTCCACCAAGTTTGGGTCAAATCGAATGAACCGTTTTCAAACTATGGGCGAGTGAAATAATACATTTTCTGATCTGAAAGCGGAAGTATTTTTTTGGATATAGTAGATAGAATTTGTTAAAATTGATACATTCTTGATTATCTGTTTACCAATCCCTAATTTCACTCCAAATTTCAACCAAATCGAACGTGCGGTTTCAGAGTTATAGACGTTTGTTCATATTAAGAGAAAGTATTGGACGGAATTAAATGAAATTGACACTACATTATTTTTTTATTAATACCTGCCTTTTTTCCAACTTTGAGCCAAATTGAACGAGCCGTTTCTGAAATACTGGCATATCCAAGAAAATATATTTACGCGTTCGCAAGCAGAAGTGCTAGATGGATTTTGATAAAATTGATATGCGACCTTCTAGATGCCAACCCGCACAATCTCCGAAAATTTCATGAAAATCGAATAAACAGTAGTAGGTGATATGCCTGTTAGATCGACTGACAGACAGACACTGAACCAAATTTGATCCTTGATGTTTGAAACGTGAAACGCAAACGAAAATTTACAATTCTGAGCACCCACATTTTTTTTAACCTCTCTCACGAATAAAAAGCTTCCCTATCTTTTGGTAGTGAGGAAGCAAAAAATTAAATTTACAAATTAGGGTCCACTATTATATTTTCCGGGGCGCTTTTTATAAAAATACTGTCGAATTTCAGTTTGCGAAATTGCACATAACGTTTTTCTAATTTTTCGGGTTAATCGATATTAAAGTCCACTATTATGTTATCGGGGGCGCTTATTGTGAAAATAATGGCGGATTTCGAATTTTGAATCAAGTTTGTGTAACTTTTCAAATTAAATCAATATTAAGATCCATTATTATGTCGGGGCCCATGTTTATTCTGTTTCATTGGCCGTGGGGAGACTCTGGGTATGTACACCCTCCTGGGGAACACCCATCCTCTATAAAGTGGGTACCCATAATTAATTAAGGGGAAAAACCTGGCGGTTGAGCGTGATCTCGGTTATATCACCTCCTTGCACAACCGTAGACCAAGAAACAGTGCTTTCCCTAAATAGTACTGAACCCAAGACCCTTCATGGGTTGTAGTGGTATAGCTTTTTTCTTGTTTTTATTTTTTATTATGTTGGAAATTTTAAAAAAAATACCGTTGCATTTCAGATTGCGCAATCGAGTACCAATTTTTGTAAATTTTAGGATCTAATCAATTAATTTAAAAAATCAAAATCAAAGCTGTTAAAAATTTTTAATAATCAATTGATGATTTTTATCAAACTTTGTTCAAACTCTTGCCAATTGTTTGTAACTTTTAGGCCTTCAAAACGTTTTTGCACAATATTTATTAATTTAACGATTGAATATATGTATATGGGTGTGTGTATTTACTGACAAATAAAAATAGTAACAGTAAAATATTACATTATACATCATCCTGTATCATATTTCATATCCAGATCTCATATCATTGATTCAAATGTTTTTAAAAACAAGCAATACCTGCTTACAAAGAAATTAATCAGGGTTTGACATTAGTAATTAAAAATTATTATAAAGCAGGCATTATTTTTAAATTAAAATCAGGCATGATTTTTAATTTAAAAATCATACATAATAATTACTACTTGATTTGGTGAACAAAATAATTATCGATTTCAAACTCTGAAATTAACCATAAAATTTTATGAGTGAACACTTGAAGCCCAAATACTTGTATTTTTATTCAATAAATTTATTATTGTCTAAAAAAAATAAAAAAAATATCTTACTTCTCCTCTGTCATCACTCCTGCATATATCGAATATCCTTTTGAGTACATATTTAAATTCTTGAAAATTAGGAATTGACAAACTATTAGTTAGTGCTTTAGTTATCAAATCGCCAGTCAATCCCACCGCTCTAGAAGAAATACTTAATTTTATTCTTTTAACTAATTAAATTGTTGTTTATAACATATCCGAAAGAGAAGTGTACGTAGAAGAGAGAAACTCCTATCGACGATTCAATAATTATTAAATTTAGAACCTTTAACAAAAATAAAACCAACACCAAAATAGCTATACATTTAAGAGAAAAATCAATAAAGAAATGTCACAATTTTTTTAAAAAACAACTTATATTCAGTTTTAGAAAAATTATTCACATAAAATGTAAAAAAAAAAAATAATTTGCTACGTTTTTCTAAATTTGAAACTTATAGTGACAGAAAGTGATGTAGACTTTTGTGCTATTGTCGATGAGCAGCAGCTACTGACAAACCTGATATGCACCGAATTCACGGATGCCAAACATATTTCTTCCCAAGAGCACGACAATTTTTATCTGGTATTATGCTAGCTGTTAAGGCATCCATTTTTGTGGATATGAAAATTAGAAAATAGCAAAATGTAAATGATAAATCCGAGGCTCTGGAAGCAAATCTGTGGCATGGCAAGCGGCACTTCCGAATATTCGTAATGTATAACCCTCCACAAAACAAACCGGACCTCACATGGTTGGAAAGGAACTGGAACGAAGAGAGTATAGTACATGACATAATTCAAAAATGCGCTAGAATTAAAAACAGGCATAATGCCTCTTGAGACACACCGAGAGCAGCCGGCCATTATGCCTTATGAAAGGCTAAAACGTCTTAAGATCAACTAATGGCGTACCTATGAACCCGCACCTGAACGCCTTAAAACACAAATTACTTTTATTAAGGTAGTGGAAGCTTAGATACAAAGGAAAGGACTAGAACTAGCTGAAAGGGAGCCTCTCCCGACATTAACACAAGTTCCACACACAAGCCGATTGGTTGTGCACTGTGACCTTCAGAACGTTTCAAGGGCTCAACACCAATTTACCAACTAAAGGCTATAAACCTAGAAACTATCGGAAAACGATTCCCAGAAACAGAATGGCTCTATGTATATACTGATGCCATTCCAAAAAACATACTGAAGCTGGAGTTTATTCAAAGGAATTTAAACTTGTCGCCCCGGTCGGAAAGGTAGCCTCAAACTTTAATGGGTAAGTGAAAGCCATTCTCTTAGGCCTTGAAATTGGTTGAACGTAAAGACAAGAAAGTTGCTTTCTTTGTTGACACACTGGCAGCCATTTTGTCTCTCCAAAATGTATATAATATGAATCCAAATATCCTTAAATGCCATCTGTATTTGGATCGATTAAAGGAAAATGGGACAGAAGTCTCTTTCCAGTGGATACCAGGACATTGCGAGCTCCACGGACATGATGAAGCTGATAAACTGACCAGAATAAGTTCTGGAATTATCCAACCAGATACTGGGCATGGACCTACCAGGCTCTGGACATTCGACTAAAAAAATAATAAAACAGAGCCTCTAAAGTTCACTGAAGGAGAAATATACGCAAAAAATTGATGGAGTAGATTGCTTTAAGAAAGTGGCAGGATCCCGAGAGACCTCTCTAGAGGGCAAGCCGTGGCATGTTTTAGAATGCTCACAGGGCATGATTTCCTGCAGAAACACCTCCACCGCATTGGTATGAAAGATAGCCCGACCCCTGCCCTCCTTGTTCCTTGGATATTATGAAAAGAGAACATCTTGATACTTATATCCTGCATTACAGAACATAAGATGTTCCTTTAGTGAAATCGACAGCCCTTATACTAGGAGAGCAATATTATATTGGACTGCAAGAGTACGCATGGCCGATCAAGAAGGCACAAAAAAACATTTTAAAAAAAGGAACGTTTTCCTAGATCAAGTTTAAATCGTTATTATAGGTGGATGCCTTTTCTATTCAAATGTTTTATTACCATTGAGCAGACGATTTTTTATAGGACAAAAATAAATTACATGTGTTAATTATATAAGGTATGAAAAAGTACCTTAAAAATATCAAATCATACATAAATTTTCTTATATCTCATCATAAGTTAAATTTACCTAGTAACATTTTACTATTGTATTAAAGAGGCTTTTGATGTGAGGAAAATGAAAATCCACTTTTCTTTTCCATTAAAAAGTATTTATAAAAAAAAATGTCAATTCAAGATGAACCGACTTCTGTTTTCTTACTTGTTGCTTTACCTTTTCATGTCTTTCATTCTTAAGTGAAAACAGGCCTTAAAGAATACGCGAACTTTTCTTTTTGTTTTTCTTACAATCACGAAGATCCTTTTAGGGGGAACTCGTCATTTCATTAGTTTTAAAATATAACATTAAAAAAACTAAAAGAAAAGCAGGACATCTCCATCCTTCTGGCTCACAAGTTAGTTCCCTTCCGCCTCCGATAAAATGGTATCAGCATCAACCAACACAGAACATTTCGACAGCCACACTGCTAAAGCATGTAAGAACAAAAACTAAAAACCTTTAAGTTTTAGACGAGACTAAAAAAAACTGCCTTATTTTTGTCCTATGAGCATTATATTTTCGGATCAATTTTTTTCGTAAACCTAAGACAAATATGTAATGCTCTATGTAACTTTTTTGATCGTATTTCTGCCAAATAATCTTTTAGAGCCATTACTTCTAACTTATAGCTTTTTATTAATTTTAAAAACAGGTATTAGTTAGGTAAAATGATTCAAATTTATTGTAGTAAAACCCATAACTTTGTTAATAATGATCAAATAAAGACAGGAACAAAGTCAGTTTCCAAAATGTAGAGTAGCGATACTTCAAATGAAAATTTGTAAAACATTTGACTGAAAATCGAGTATTTGATTACACGGGTTATTAACGTTTTACTCCCCATTGTAGGGGCTGCTCGAAGGGGTGCATTTTGGAGTAGCCTTTGAAAATTTGGTTTTTAACATACTCAACTTTATATGGACATGGATTGATTCACGAATGCTTGGTATGGTCAAGGTAACCTGCTGAAGTGTAGATCACTTCTTTTTTGAGATTTTTGCGATATCTTTTTTCGTCTTTTCTTGAATTTCTCAATAAATGAAATCAATTTTCTGTCTCTCAATACCTGGAATTCGACGGCATTGTAACTTTTTTTTCAGTTGATTATTGTTGTTGATTGTTGTTTAAGCTGATTTTGCAATCGCCAGGAGGTTTAAATTGTTTTGATTTCTTCTTTGCTTCGTTCCAGACTAAGCAGTGCCGGCTTGAGGGAAGGAGAACTCGAGCATTTTCTGAGAGTGGAAATGCCCTCTACTTATTAGAAATGAAAAAAAAAGTTAATTGATAATTTATACTGTATTAATGAAAACGCATTTACATGGCAGTTCAGTGTTAGCATTGGAAGAGAGAAGACGTGCCTCTACAGTCGCTCACAGATAAGATTAAATACATTTATTAATTTCTTTATAATTCTTCACTTATTATTTGTTATTTACTATAAGGATATATATTTTTTTTCTATAAACTATAAGGATATATTTATTTTATCAATTTTGTTTCTTCTTTTTCTCTTTACCAATTACTTTCTTTTATTACGTTTTATTTTGTACTTCTATGGGGGACCCTATAGGTTTAAATAGCCCAATGGTTAAACGAAAACGACCTCGGGGTCGTCTTAAATTCGAAGCCGAAAATACGGATGGTGCAATCCCAATTAGCCCATCGTTCTTAATAATAGAAAGATCAGATGATCAAAATTTTGAAAAAGTATTCTCATTCTCAGTAAATAAGTTTTTTTCAGGTTTAGTAGGAAACTTAAAAAGTGTGAAAAAGCTAAGAAATGGTACACTACTTATTGAAACCAAAAACAGAAAACAATCAGAAGAACTATTAAAATGTAAAAGAGAGTTTTGGTGGCCAATTTCCTGTTCAGGTTTCCCCCTATAATACCTTAAATTACAGTAAAGGAGTGATTCGATGTTACGACCTCCAATTTCTAGAGATTGAGGAAATCAAAAATGAATTATCTCCAGTGATAAAGGATTTATTACGCATTAAAATTTTAAAAAATGGAAATGAGATATTGACAAATTCTTATATCGTGACCTTTCCTACACCGAGGATTCCGGAAACAATAAAGATAGGATTCCATACGGTCAAAGTGCAAGATTATATTCCTAATCCCCTTCGCTGTTTTAACTGCTTATCTTTCGGACACCCCTTAAACGTCTGCAAACAACAAAGTAAATACATTCAATGTGGGTAATCAAAACATAAAGATAACGTGAGATGTACGCTCCCAGCCCGCTGTAATAATTGTGCCCAAAATCACAACTCATTAGATCGTCGGTGCCCGATTTTTATTATGCAAAAAGAAATAAAAACTATCCAAACAATAAATAAAATATCTTTAAACGAAGCAAAAAAAAAAATATATATAAAGAACAGAATCCAATCCAGTTTACTAGATCTTTTGCTGAAATTACAAAACAAAATCCTAACACTATTGAAAAGAAAGACATCGGCATTCAAACAAATTCATTGTTTAATTTTGGAGAAAACATATTTAATACCACTTATACAGCTAATACTATAAATACTCAAACAACAACAAATCATACCCCCTCCCTATCCCCACCACTAATCCTCCTCCCTAACATTCCTGTGATTTCTATCTATCTTATATTATATCTTTTTCTATAATAAAGAAACACTCTATGTTCACTAACCTATTTATCTACATAGCATGCGTTTATTTCTATTATAAGAATATTCATAGATGCGTGTATGGATATGTGAATGACTTTGTTATACATTCCTGTACGTATATATGTATATATGCAGGCTTATATTTTTTTCGTGTATACGTGTTTACTTTTGTATTTTTACGTAAGTATATATGTGATTGTGCTTATATGTCTATATGTATATATGTGTGTAGATATTTGTATACGTACGTACGACCCTGTGTTTATCTAAAATACCGTTATTCTCGCCATTACCATAGGGATCTCTGAAATCACAAACAACGAAGCTAGCTTAATATTATTGCTATACCAATACGAAAATGTATATTATTGTTCACTATTTAATTTTTTATTATCTCTGAAGCCTCTACTTTCTACTATCTCCAATATTTCTTCTTTTAGAAACTTATATTATATAAAATTTTGTTGTTTTACTCATATATGCACATATAACAATTCTATTCACTTCGCAAATCAAATTAAATTCAATATAGTTTTACAAATTACTTTGCATTACGATAACTCTATTTATTCTCCTGAAGATCTGTTATACGTCTCAAGCTCCGAAAAACATATAAATAATAGATACGCTATTTCCGTCCATATATTTATCCAATTATTTTTTATTTATTATTTTTATTTGGAAGTATCAATATGCACGAATACGTATTATAACGCCTACATATTATGTATTATTGTATATATATCTGTATGTGCGAATATAGATATCTGTGCGTATATATATGTTTATGTATATAGTTCCAAATGTTCTCTTTGGTATGTACATTTGTATCTTTGTATATGTTTGTGGGCATGTAATATCACACAAACATTATATGTGTGTATAAAATTTATGTATGTATGTATGTATATGTGTGTGCGCGCGCGCCCATCTGTAAATGTGTGAATGTATGTTTGTATATATGGTATATTCTATGTGTTTATGTGTATATGTTTAACTATATATATTCCTATACGTGTTGTGTGGATGTGTATGTACGGGAACATGTATGAGTATCAATGTTTGTATGCATATGTGTAGGTATATTCCTCGCATATGCGTGTATATGTATGTATGTATTCATGTATACATTGTTGTGTGTGTGTATATATATATATATATATATATATATATATATATATATAATACCTAAACATGTCGGTACTTCAATGGAACTGTAATGGTTTAAAAACTCACTTTAACGATTAAAAAATACTAATACAAGATATAGACCCGTTTTGCATTGCACTACAAGAGACATACCTCACAATCAACGACAACTTTTCTATAAAAAATTTCGATATATACAGAAAAGACAGTCCGAACCCGAACCACAGTCCCCACGGAAATTTAATAGCTATACATAAATCCATATATTCCGAATCAATCAACATTAATTCTCATCTTCAAGTTGTTGCAACCAGAGTTCACAAAGATTTTTCATTTTCCATCTGTAATATATACCTTCTACAAGACCGTACCATAGATACACGACAACTCCTAGATATCTATAACTAAATGCCTCGTCCAGTTCTTTTTATTGGGGATCTGAACGGTCACAACCCTTTATGGGGCTCCCAAAACATTAACATGCGAGGTAAAGTAATAGAAAAATTTTTAGATGCTTCTAATCTGCTTCTACTCAAACCGGAGAACCTACCTTTCTCAGCACAAGATATGCCACTAACTCGACTCTTGATTTGTCATTCTCCGATTCCTCGTTATTTGCCATTACAAATTGGACGATTTTGCCCGATTTATATAGTAAAGACCATTTTCCAATACTGATAAAATTCAAAATAACGAATCCCACTCGAGGAAAACCGAGATTTGTTCTAAATAGAGCTGACTGGACTTTATTCTCTTCATTAGCCTCGCCACCTCAAACTCCCCCCGTATCAAATGAATGTCGATAAAGGCTGTCAAACTATCACGAATACGATCATAGAAGCGGCCAAAGCATCAATACCAATGACATCAGGCTCCCCAAGAACACCGCTGGTTCCCTGGTTTAAGGATGTTTGCAAAGAAGCCATTAAAGATCGCTGTAAAGCCTACAAAAAATTCCAGAAATCTATGACCTCTCAAAATTTAATGGAATATAAAAGACAGCGTGCTATATGGAGAAAAATAATTAATCAGTCTAAGACCGAATCCTGGAAAAAATTTATAAGCTCCATTAATTCCTCAGCCACATCAACTGACTTTTGGAACAAAATCCGTAAATTTACTAAAACTTCCCATTCCTCTCGCTATACTATTTTGGTCAATGGACGACTGTCTGACAATCCTCCATCGTGGATAATAGAGAACAGCAATTTAATTCAACCTTTTCTATCGGGATTCCGTAAGGGTCGATGGACATTAGATCATTTAGTTGCACTAGAAGCCGAAACGCAATTTACTTTTATCAACGCACAACAGATAATAGCCATATTTTTCGATATGAAAAAAGCTTTTGATAATATAAATCACTCCATTATCCTCAATAAATTATCATCCGTAGGAATTAGAGGCCAAATGTACAATTATGTTAAGCAATTTCTAACGCACCGAAGCTTTAGAGTTCAGGTAGGAGGAGAATTATCCGACAACCACCATCAGTTCAACGGTGTCCCTCAAGGTTGTGTCCTCAGCCCAACTCTGTTCTGTCTGGCGGTAATTGACTTTTGCCTTAACTTGCCAAAAGGTGTTAAACCGCTTCTATTCGCGGATGATCTAGCCATTCTCTGCCGATCTGGCAACATTGACACTAGACGAAACAAACTACAGGACGCTGTTAATAGAATCAAAAACTGGTCTCTTTCCATTGGTCTCCAATTTTCTTCCGCAAAAACTAAGTGGATGCATTTTAGTCGAAAGAGAAACACCCCATACTCACCCGAAATTCCATAATCTCGAACTCGAACCAACATAGATTCTTTGGCATGATCTTTGACCGAAGACTAACTTGGGAACCAAACATTTCTGCCCTAAAGACAGCCACTACAAAAAGAATAACTATCTTGCGATATCTAAGCGTCACTTCCTGGGGCTCAGACAGACTTATGTTAATAAAACTGTATCAAGCTCTGGTAGGTTCGAATTTAGACTATGGGTGCTTTATATATGGTTCTACCCGCTATCGGATCCTAAACAAACTCGATACAGTCCACCATACAGGCATATTAGCATAGCAACTGGCGCATTTCGAACAAGTCCCATCCTTAGTCTCTGCTCTGAGGCCGGAATACCCCCTCTTTCATTTAGAAGGAAAAAACTGGCCTTTAACTACATTTCAAGGCTACTTCCCCAAAATAAACATCCCACTGACAACTACATTTTTAACCTAAATTTTCAAACGCTTTTAGAAACAAAACAAATTCCACACTCTCATTGTCAGAAAGAATTTATTCAGCAGATGAATCCCTTAAGAATTTACCATTATTCAATATAGAAAACCAAAACCCACCTTGGATCAATCACCCACCTTCCTCTCAAAAAAGAAATATTGGATAGTTGGCAGTCTATGTGGAACGAAAGCCCGCCCAGCAAATTAAAAGTTGTTAAAAAATCAGTTAAGCCCTGGATCACATCAAACCGCCCTAAACGTAGAGAGGAAGTCGCCGTGACCAGGTTAAGAATAGGACACACGAACCTAACTCATGTACATCTCATCACTAAGCAGCCACCACCAAATTGTCAGCATTGCAATAGCCTTCTCACAGTCAACCATATTTTCCAAGAATGCACTTATTATACTTCAAGCCTAAATCGATTATCTCTAAAACCGGATATATCAGCAGTATTAAACAACAACGAATCAAACATAGGAACCGTGATAAAATTTCTTAAAATCCATAGACTATTAAATAAAATATAAAAATAGATATAATTTGTATTTTATTGTTCTTTTTTTGTATTTATTTTAATATATTTCATTTTTATATGTTTTTAAATATTTTTTTCAAATACCACTATATCTATCTATTATTAATTTTTGATTGTTCATTTTTTTTTTTTTCTGTTTCTCCTCTAAAGAGTTTACAAACATAACTGATTCACAGGCGTTGATGACCTTGGGGTTTTACGCCTTAAAGCCTGAATAAACAAACAAACATTTACATGGGCACCTTTTATCGGGCATTTCATTACGTTTTTTTGGTAACGACACAATCTCTATAAAGTTTATTGTAACATAAAGTTTTTTACATTACAGTTTGCTGTTTTTAACTTACAGGTTTTTACAAAAGGCCATAGACAAGAAATGAAACATCGTAGATCTCATTTTTTGGGATCAGAATATACGCCAGGACAAGAATGACCAGACAATTTCAAAACCTCATTTTCCAAAGATATTGTCCTTGCAGGTTTTTGCAGGGTGGCTGTCAATTTGTTCTTCACAGGGAACTGAAATCGGTTTTGCAATAATAGGTGTATCAGGAGAGAAGAAAGGTAGACGAGCTGCCCCCATCACTAAAATAAAGTAGCAATAACTATACAAAAACGAATGAATGAAAAATTGATTTACAGTTACAGGATGGTACTTAGTATCTCAGCATTAAAAAAGAACCGAATTAGAAAATCAAGAATAATTCTCATAAAATTAAATTAAAAATTTTCCGTTTTGGTTACACTGTTGTGTGACATGGTTAACTTGAGTCCTGAAATTGCTAAACATAGATTAAATTCATGATTAAATTAAATATTAAATTATTAATCGTCTCTTAAACTCTGCTTGTTAATGAAAAAATATGTATTTACTTAATGAATTCTTCTCTTGTCAATTTATTGCCCTTGGTACTAATAAAGTCCATAAATCCTTTCAAATTGGGATTTTCCAACGGTAAAATGCCCATTTCTTCTAATTTCTGAACAATTAATTTACATTAAAAAAAAAAATTAAAATTAATGTACATGATTACTTTATTTTATCTACCTCAAGCATCTTCCCAATACACAGGTACTTTTTCTTTTCTGCGTTTTGATCAAAAAAATTATTGAGAACTTCTTCGTTTTCATTACTGGTTATGTCAGATATATAATATATAAGTATTATATACTATAATTTATAATTATTATTGTTTATATAATAATTATCATTACAAATAAACAAGAAATGTAATTATTATAAACTAATTTTCAACTAACTGTAAATAAAATTTGCCAATTTTTTATACTGAAATTGGTTTCAGTTATATATTGTAAGACCTAAAGCCCCAAAATCAATATTGTCTAGCGTCTTTGGTATACACCATTTTCACTTCTGGTTTTTTACCTCCCAGTACAAGCCCTGAATTAACCGCACTCATTTCAACGCCATATTAATTAGTTAATTATATGGAAGATTATTTAAGCTTCTTTATTTGTGTTTCAGTTTAGCTTTTTTAATATGGTAATAATCTTAAATAAAACGAAGTTGGCAAAAGCATTATATTCCTACTCACTAAAATCGCCTCTCTACTCATCGTTAGTAACACGTGGAAATTATCGCATATGAGGCCACTAAATCCCCTCTCTCTCTTCCATATTCTGTGTTATACCTATATTGAGATGTTTGAACTCGAACAGTTCGTCAATTATTTTCCATAGTAAGTATTCCGAGAATGTCCTGTTCAGGAGTTCCATCATGATTACACATTGTCATATCTGAATCCCAATTAATTAATTAAGTCGCCATTGGCGAGTTCCGGGATCGCAACGACCCAAAGATGGGCAAATGCTAATCAGAGTACCAAGTACCAAGTATTTTACTCACATTGAATCACTTTTGGGAATTCAATAACAACTTCAGTTAATCGTTTGACTTCAATTGAACTAGTAATTAAATTCTTTGGTACTCAAAAAAAGGTCAGTATTTGAGTAAAATACTTGGTATTCAGTACTCAGAGTATCATTTGCCCATTTCTGCAACCACCGTTTGGTCGACGTGCCCTTGAATCTAGTAGCAATATTCTCGATAGCTTTCATCGTAGGCCTGTACGAATAAGTTTTACTGTGTTTTGAGAGGAAAAATGTTGCCTTTGAAATTGGCTGAAGCATTGGTAAGCATTAAAACAGTAATTAACTAATTGTTTTGTTTTTTACCACATGTCCATCTATTTATCCCTTAGATTTATGTAGTTCACAATATATATTTTCTGCAACATGAGCATCTCGTCAAATGTATGGAAGAGAAAAAGTAATCAAAGAACAACATTTATAGCATAACCTATCTTGCTACGAAAACCATAGTAATTAAAATAAACTATGCTTATAAGAAGATAGATAGAGGCTTGAATACTATATTTTAATATAGCAAATAACATAATGAAAAATCCAGCATTTGCAAGGTGATCTGGATTCATAAAAGAACTAAAGTATTATTAAAACAAATGCGAATTAGCATATTACTAAAACGACGAATATAATATAAATCGTTAATTTTTTATAAATTTATCGATTTCTACCTAGATAGATGTTTCTATTCTTTTATCGATTTCTAGCTAAAATTTTAATTATTTTTAAAAACCTTTTCGTGTTTCCTTTAGATTTGGTTGCTCCTTTTTCCATTTTTATGTTACCTCACTAGAGTTAGCACTGCTGTAAACAATAAAAAATGCAAAAGAATACTTATATGATACTTATAGAGGTTAATGTTAATTAAAAATATTTTATAAAATCATAATTTAATGATGATTATCCTCCATATGTTTATATAACCAAACACGATTATATTATTTGGACTAGTGTTTTGTAAGAAACATCCTGTATAGCTATTAATTCATTAAATGTGCGGAAATCAATTGAAATAAACGGCATTATTAAAGCCAGTTGATGCGTTATATGAGGGAAAAATTATAAAAGATGAAGATACATAAAAAAGAAATAAAAAACCTTTACAGAATAAGCTTTGATTTCAGCTATAATAAAGTATCAGAAAACAAAATATAGGTAATTTGGTAAGTAAACGAATTTTCGTGCCGCTTCAATCACTCAATTTATGTAAATCTGTTAAATATTGCTTGAGTTATTAGTGTTCCCATAGACCAGAGGTATTCAATCTTGGATTTACAAAAAATAATAGTGAGAGATTACAAAACCTGGTGCGGTGTGCGCACCACACAACTTCCACTTACCACTTTATAAGAAATAGATAAGTATTTTCAGACAAAGGGAAGTGAAAGTAAAAATTATAGACGGTATGAATCATTATTTAAAACAATAATTTACCATATGTTTTTCATAGCCGTCTAATGTATTATATCTGTTTTGTTTGGCAATACTATTTAATTTTACAACTGTATATTTCAATTATTTATTTGATTATAACAAATAATTAAGTGCCATGAAATATTTTTAGTCCGAAAAGAGTACCACTGATAAAGAAGGCCGTTATATTTATGTATGTATCATTGTGGGCATTTTTATTTTTATAATAAAATAATGCAATATCCATCGGCTAATCGGAAGTGCCACTTTAAACAATCAATTTTAGATATTTTTTGATTTTCTCGAAAATGGCTCTAACGATTTTGATTAAACTAATTACATCAGTGGAACATTAAGTATTTTTTAATATAATGTAGATCATTATATTAAAAAATTTGGTGCGCGCAACATACAACTTTCACTTACCGCTCTACTTTGAATAGAAATTATTTTCTGGCAATGCTGGGCTATTATAATTTTGAAGTGCATTTTAAACTGAGCTAAATCTTAAAGCTTATAGATAACAAATCATTAAGGCCATTCTAATTACAAAAAGTCTATTTATTATATCGATGGTTGGAAATAAAAATCTAGTGACAACATCTGCTTTTATATACCAAACAACTTCAATCTCTGAGCATTTCAGCTGACAGAATGACTAGCTCCAATTTCATCATTTTTGAATAATGTCATTTTAGTGATATTTCTAGTTGAAAAAGTTATCTATATAGACAGCGAGTAAGTTGATTCCGGAGTAGCTGATTACAGTGTTGAAATATAGAACTGTGAATAAAAGTACAAATTTCGCCACTAGAAACATCACTAAAATTAATAATAAAGAATATTGAAATTGACGTTATTCATTCTATCAACCCAAAGACTCATGTATATGATACACGTAGTTTTTCGCCACTCCCTTTCATCTACTACAACTTTCTATACTTGATATCTTTTTTTCTAAAATTCTCAGCTTTCCAACGATATATTTTACCTTCTGACTAGTAATTCCGAAGGTTCATTTTCGACCTGGATAAGCATTTTTATTTTTCTCTCCATTATTCAAATATCAAATTCTTTCAAAAGTTATATTTAGCATTTTTTCGTAACTTTTAATAATTATTTAATTATTAGAGTTAATTATTTAAAATGAACCATATTAAAGGTACTTCAGAGTATGAACAATGGGTACACATATGAACAATGGGCTTTTAAGTCCTATAAAGTGACATCTACGAAGATAAGACCTAAATGATATTAATAACCATTTAATTAAACAATGATACACCGAGTTTAATCAAAATCGTTAGAACCGTTTTTGAGAAAATTGTAAAAATTTTTTTCACCTTTGATATAAAGTGGCACTTCCGGTTAGCCGATTTTAAGGAAAATGCAGCTACATATAAGGCCTATACGACATATACCTATCTTAAGTACGTGATATCAGTTTCGTACGACTTTTCGTTTTCGAGCTGGTGTGTTCACATACACACAGAAACACAGACCATTTTTCGGTACTTGTTTATTTGGGCTCAGGGGACTTCAAAACATGTATTTTCGTTGAAAACTCAGATCCGAAAATTTTCACGATCGTAGTACTTTTGCTTACTATATATTTCATATATATATATATATATATATATATATATATATATATAAGTGAAAGTTGGGAGCGGGGTAGCTCAGGGGTAGGGAGTCCCTCCTTGGGTCAGGAGTCCCTCCTGGGGCACACCCAGCCTCTATAAAGTGGGTACCCTTAATTATATAATTAATTAGGGGGAAAAACCTGGCGGTTGAGCGTGATCTCGGTCAAATCCCCTCCTTGCACAACCGTGGACCTAGAAACAGTGCTTTCCCTAAATAGTACTGAACCCCAGACCCTTTATGGGTTGTAGTGGTACAGGTTAAGTGAAAGTTAAATTATTGTCTTTTATATTTTTGTTTTTTAAATTATGCCTCTCTGTATTGGCTGTCGCCGTTAGAGACCTCGCAGTCCAGTACCTTTCCAATTTTACGACGTGGTATCTCTTGTGTTCAACAAGCGAAAATTCATTTTATCTTTATAGGAAATCTGTATAGTCGTTCGTAGAAAATTATTGAATTTACTTCTGAACGTTATTACGTTCTACGCATACGCTCTACGTTCGCTTGTAACTGCATAACATAGAAGTCTAAGATTTCATGGGTGTAGATTTCGGCATATATGCGGCAACAATAACATATGTCTTTCACAATAACATCTTCATTATGAAAATGAAATTAATTATTAAACAGAAAATAAATGAGATGTTGTGAAAAGGAATAATGATAAAAGAATAATACCCTCAATATAAATTATTAGTCTATTATTCTCAATATACAAAGGTCTCTTACAACAGAAGAGCTGAACTTGAATAAAAAACGCAAAATAAAAAAATCGGCCAAGCAAATAATTTTATCCTTCTTTAGAGAATGGAATTTCACATCTATTTAAACATATTGATAGATTGTTTGGGAAATTGAAGTTTACGAATAATTAAAATTGGCGTTGTAGTCCGGGTGTGCCTTCATCTCCCGAACGAAACCCGACTCTTTCGGATGGTAACCATGATTCAACACATCGAACCTAATCTGTTTGCCTAGAAGTTGTAATATGTAGTGAAGGGCACTCGACTACTACTCCAATGTTAAATATTCGTAGATCTCTGTTTTCCTTACAATCTACCAACATGTTTAAGCTGATATGAAGTATATTCCCTTAGGGTAGATATTGTTTGAAATCCCGTAGAAGATTTCCTTTTTAAATTAATTTATGTTAACGATTTTAGTTAATCAATGGTTCATTAACCATTTTTATTATCACATATCACCAACTTACACGTGATATAATATAAAGCCAACTAAAATAAAATATTTGTTTAATGATTTGAGTTGTACAGCTGATCGATCATCTGATTAAAAGGATATTTAATATTAACTGTGTGCACAGTTATTAAATTACCTCATACTTCTATTATGACATGCAGTTTGATCACCAAGTGATGTCCAGTAAGGCGTCTGGGTCATTCTCCCATTACGTACGAATTCCTGTCCCAAAGCGAATGTGGTTTCTACATGAAATTTCTTGTAACCCGACTATAACAATAAAGTAGGTGAAATGTACTTTCATTTTAAACATATACTAGTTTTACCATGGTTATTGATTTGTTTTCATGGTTAAATTTGAATACAAAACGTCAAAATCTATTTCCCTCATGTGTCCCATACCCATAACACGAGCTGGTGATGTTGAAGGCGAATCATTTCTCCATTTCTGCAATTATTAATTTACTTTTTTTTCTATTACATCTGATAAGTTGCAACATATCGAATTTAAATATATTACATATAAAATATAACATACATATATATCTATCTATATATATATTTATACAACATATAAATGGGTAGTGGGACTAATTGCATACAATAATAACAATGACCTCTAATGCATCGGTCCCATAGTTTCAATCTATTTCCCTCATATTGTTTGAAAAATACCGCCAAAGAACAATCAGGATTCATTTCATTACATTATTATTTTAACAATACTCCAGTAGCGTCCCTCCAAACTGAGGGTAACCTTATTTACAAATAACTTTCTCTGTTTGTTTTCTAAAGTTCGTGTTAATACAAGTGTTTGAATCACGCCATTCATCATTCTGTTGTCCTCTTATAGTGATTTTTCAAAGAAAGTAAGTTTGATTATTGTTTTATTTTCACCAAAGTACATGTTAAGGAGTTCAGAGTTCCATTTGTTTTTGTTTTGTTTTTAAATACGAGTGCATGGTTAACCTCAAAGTTCTAATTCCCTCATGTCTATTACTCTCACACCAACAGTGAGGAAAATAGATGTGAGGGAAATAGAGCACAATATGATAAACTGTAATTTAAATAAGATAAGACCTTTGGTATGTATATTTTCATAGTTTAATTGAAAAATAAACCTGCAAGTAAATATAAATATTCACTGAAACTTTTTTTACACTTTCCAAATTTTACCCCAATAGCTACTTTTTTAAAAAAAAAAGTGTAATAATAAATTCACTAAAAAAATCATTTACAGATTGTAATGGCACCAAGGAAGAACTGTACGGATTCAGAAGAAAAAAAAAGAATATGATAGGCTTAGGCGATAAAAATTAAAAAATGATTCGGAAAGTCTTAGAAAACTGAGGTTAAAGCAACAGCTCAAATACCAGAAGAAGCTAGAAAAAAACAAACAAATTAAGCCAGTATCTGACATGATTGCCCGCTAACAGAGGGAAAATCCTAAAATTTGGAGGGCTAGGAAGTGGTACAGTGGTACAAAATGGTACAGGAACAAATGTGATACAGAAACAAAA